CTGTGTGTAGATGAGCAGCTCGTGCCTTTTAGAGATAAAGCATCATTCCGAGTTTATATGAAGAGTAAACCTGACAATTACGGATTAAAGATATGAGCCCTTGTGGACTGCTACTTCTTTTATTGTAAACATGCAAATTTATTTAGGTAAGTTTTGAATTGCCAATAAGCAAACAAGCAAATTTTTAAATCTATAAATTTATAGGAAAACAAGGTCCTAAGGGGGAAAAGCTCAAGGCCAAAGAGTTATCCTAGACTTGATAGACCATTTGAAAGGAGGGTTTGGAATAACAACTGACAATTTTTTTACGAGTTTACAACTTGCGGATAAATGGGAGATGAATATAACTCTATGTGGAACTATTTCGAAAAAATAAAACGTTTATTCCAAGGGAGCTTGTACCAACATCATATAAAATAGATTATTTAAGTATGTTCTTCTTCTTCTTTTTGTTAAAGTGCCTATCCGTTCCAGATGTTGGCGATCATCACGGCTATCTTTACTTTGTTTACTGCAGCGCGGAACAGTTCAGTGGTAGTCATGTTATACCACTTTCGTAAATTTTATAGCCAGGAAATGCGTCTTTTTCCCGGTCCTCTCTTACCATTTACCTTTCCTTGGAGAATCAGCTGGAGAAGGCCGTAACGTTCTTGATTTCTCATTTCATGTCCTAGATATTCCAACTTTTTAGTTCTGACGGTCATGAGAATTTCACATTCTTTCCCAAGAACTGCAGTCATCTTACTATCAAGTGAGCATGTTGACGTCAAAGTGGCTGGTGAAGAACACTCCTATAAACCTGAAATTATTCTACATTACAACAAAACGAAAGGAGCCATCGATACAACCGATAAGTCAGCTAAAGAATATTCTTCTTCTTCGCGTGCCATATCAGAACTATCCGACGTTGGCGATCACCATTGCTAAGGCTTCTCGATCTTCTGCAACATGGAATAATTGTCCTGCATTTGGTACCTGAGTCCATTCACGAATGTTTTTTAACCAAGAAACTTGTTTCTTTTTTCTCCTGAAGGAGCTACATACAATTGTAGCGAAACGTCGAGATGAACCCACTTTTGGGTCACTCAAAAATGACACGGTCCAAACCCGGAAGACGAATAAACTATAAAGAAACTTGTTTTCTTCCTACACCTCTACGGCCCTCTATTTTGCCTTTAAGGATCAGTTGTAAAATTTTATATCGACTTCCCCTTACTATATGTCCCAGATAAGACATTTTTCGATGTTTAACAGTCTTTCGCAGTTATCTGTCTTTGTTGACGCTCCTTAGTACTTCTTCATTAGTTTTTCTTACTGTCCAAGGTATCTTCAGCATTCGTCTATGAACCCACATTTCCAATACTTCAATTTTGTTCATAATCGATACTTTTAGCGTCCACACATCTGCACTATACAAAAGTACAGACCAAACATAGCATAGAACTTGCCGTAGTTCTAAACTGAGATAGTTATTGCAAAGAAATGACTTCATTTTCATAAAAGTAGTTTTAGGCATTGCTATTCTACGTATTATTTCTATGTCTGGAATAAACGGTACAAAAAAAAAACAAAAAGTTAGCCGATGGCTACATTCTCTCATCTTATTGGTATCGCAGGTATTAATTCCTATAAATTGTGGCTACTAAAATATCCTGATTGGAAAAAGCACAATATGAGTAAGCGTAAAATGTATATTTTGGCACTAGGCAATGAACTTATACAGTAATATGTTTTTAGACGTTATAACAATAAACACATCCAAAGGAATAAAAAGCTTCATGTGGCAGATATTTTCCCAGAACTTTTAAATATTATTGAGCCCAGAGTAGAACAAACAAAAAATACAAGGGAGCGGTGCCATCTGTAGGAGAGGCAAAGACAGAAAAACTAGTAAAATATGTGTAAAATGAAACAATTTAGTATGTCTAGAACACGCAAAATCAGGGATAGTTTGTGTACATAATGTGTTACTGGTACATCTTTTTTTTTTCGTATAAGCATAGTTCAGCTTTTTAAGAATGGGGTCCGTTCAGATCCCGGCCCGTCTTTTGTGTAATATTTTGAGGCCCATCCGATGAAGGTTAATAAATCTTAAGAAACGTACTGGAATATAATAGATGATAACATCACTCTAATAGACCCAGCGAAGAGTTTTTAAATGATCTAGTTTTTAAAGATGCCTACATACGAGACTACTAGGTACTCAAACAAATTATGTTAATATATGCACAATTTAAATAACAATAATAATATACATATATATTCTATTTTTGTAACTACCAAAACAACAATAAAATGGTTTTCTACAACCCCATGAAATAGTACTTCCAAATTACTTACCTTGAACAGCACCAATAAATGCAAATATAACGCAAATTGTCTTCATTGTGCAAAATTTGTCTGTCTAGACAAAACAATGTATAAGGATAAAATGAACTGAAATGGTAATATCTCAATTGAATTTGTACTGATAACAGATGGTCTTGGTATTAATAATAAATTAATCAAGTGCTTGTTGCAAATAAAATGTATAAAGTGTTTAATACTTTTAAATGCGAAAACTCGTATCTTGAATTTATCTTGAATTAATGATAAATTTGCGAGAAGTAATAAAAGTGAATCAACAAGTTGTGATAGAACCAAAATTATTTATTCTAATAAAAATACAATAGGGGAACCTTTTTTGTTGAAATTTTTTCATTAAAATTTCTCTATCGTTTAAAAATAAGAAGCTATATTCCAGAAGTGACGGACGAAAATGCCATTGAATCACTAAAAATCATACGAACAAGCTAAATTTTGCTGGGAATATCAATTTTGTGACCACAAAAAGATGCAATGTTAATATTTTATTGAGTGATTCTTTATTATGTCCTTAAGTAATGGGATGTCCAGATCATTGTGAAGTATTTGGTTAGATACATACCATGGAGCTTTACTTTCATACGGAGTATTTTAGATTGGAATGTTTGAAGGTTTACCACAGCCCCATAGTTCTATTCCATATGCCCAAACTGGTATTAGTATAGCTTTGTACAGAAGCAGTTTACTTTTAAAAGATAACGGAGACCTTTTGTTAAAACGCCAGTTCATATTTTTTAGCTTAAGATCTAGTTGTTTCCGTTTAGTTTTAATATGTGTTATCCAGTAAAGAAGGCAGAAGAAATATGCGATAACTTATCAATCAAGAAGTGAGGAAATATAAAAAGGATGAAAAAAATAAAATAGTACAAGAGACGGGTACAATACCAAGAATAACAAAAACACAAGAATATAGTAAAAGAACTAATAAGAAAAGAAAAAGGAAAGAAAAAGAGAGATTTGAAGTTTGGTGAATGACTAAACTAAAATTACAGAGACAACAGAAGTTTCTGGAAAAAAGTAAAGAATCTAAGAGGAAAGTGAAGAAAAGAACTCCAGAGAAGTAAGAGATAAGCATAGCCAAATAGAGATATAACAGAAATATTAGTGTGTAGTGTCCAGGTTATATAATAATCAGAAATGTCTGGTCGAGGAACAAAAAAGAAACCCTTACCCCTTTTTATTATTACCCCTTTTTTCAATTAGCTTGGCCCGAACTTACAAAAGAGCAAAACCCAATTTCAGTCTCTGTTGTCAATAAGTTTTTAAATCTATTAATATGCATTCAGACGTTAATGTAGTTGAATTCTGATCCAGAACTCACATATTATGATGTGGTAAGTTGATCGTCCTCTTTTTTTAATTGATTACAATATTAGGAGATCCTTTTTTCGCGCATATGGAGATCTACTTCTTCTGTCGATTGGTAACTTATCTCTTGCTATTTTGACGATACGGGTCTCTTCCATTCTGCTTATGTGGTTAGGTATATTTTATACTTACTGACGTTATATATTTTTATTGACTTGTTTATTTATTTCGAATTCAGCGAGCACTTGTCATTAGATAGATTAATCGTAAGTTTCGTATCCATTTCCAGGCCAGTCTACTTTTGATTTATTTGAAGCTGTTGCTTTGTTTCTTTTAACATATTTTATCCATATTCCACTTCCATTGTTATCTGTCTATAATAATCTTTTTAAGAGGTCTATTGACCTCATACAAGTTATGGACCTCAAAGGTAAGAGATTGCTTAAATTTTATTGTGAGGATTGTCAGAATGGGATAAAGCTTATTCCTAAATTGCTTGCGAAAATTGATCATATGGAGTTAGAAATTAAACATTTAAAAAATATATCAGATTCTGTTGACAGTAATGACCCTAAGACTAGAGAAGACAAAGAAGAAATATGTGAGATGATTGAGCGGCAGAGTCGGGCTTCTAACATAATTGTCTGTAACGTGAATAAATCAAAAATGAAAACGCAAGTAGAACGTGATTCTGAAGGTGCAACAGCTTTTGGGAAAATATTGAATAATTTTAATATTGACAAAAATAATTTAAAAGTGTTTCGCTTAGGAAGATATATGGGAAGCAAGAGCAAGCCGCTCAAAGTTATTCTTAATCCAAAAGAAGATGCCAAATTTGTTCTTAAGAATAAACAATTAATTTCTATTCCAAGCATCAGAATATTTGGTGATCCTCAACAGGACTATTTTAAAGCGATTAAATATAAACTACAAACTTTGATTGATAACGGTGATACTACCAAAACTATTAGATATATAAATAATAAACCAACTAACGTTTCAAAATCCATCCAAAAAAAACATTTTGTAAACCCTAATATACCTTTCAACTCCGATATAATTTATCTGAACGCCCAAAGCATAGTAAAAAATAGAGACCAAATCCAAGAATCCATAACTTGCTATAACCCCAAAATGATTTTATTGATTGAAAATAGGACATCAGATATTGAAGATATCGAAGTGAAACTTGAAAATTATTGTCATATTCGTTGTGACTCAACGAGTAGATACACTGGAGGTGTTATGCTATACATCAACAAACATTATATTTTAAAACATTTCAATTGCGTAATAATTATTGGTGCAAAATAATAAAAGTTGATGTTAAATCCATGGTTTACTTGGTGGGGTTACATTTTCACCAGTCGACAGATGAAAATTTTAATTTAGCTATTCAAAAAATGAACACTATTTTAGATATGGTTAATATATTTTTAAAAATGAATAAACTGAAGTTGAATGTAAAAAAAACAAAGGCAATGGTTTTCACTACCAAACATAAATATAGCTTGCTTGATTCTGAAATCATAAATTTAAATATTAATTAATTACTATTTATAACTGGGAATAAGCCACAATTAAAGATAAAAATACGTTTATTGACGTTTCAATTTCCAATTCGGAAATCGTTCTCAAAATACAAACAGTAAATTAAACAAATTTTGTTTTTTGTTACATAGTTGAGAACGATTTCCGAATTGGAAATTGAAACGTCAATAAACGTATTTTTATCTTTAATTGTGGCTTATTCCCAGTTATAAATAGTAATTAATTTACAATGCCACAAGAAAATAGCTTCAGAACAATATTAAATATTAATAATGAAAAAATTGAAATTGTCACAACAGTTAAATATTTGGGATTCCAGCTTGACAATATTCTGAATTTTGAGTCACTTCGAGTACGTTCATAAAAAAATATCAAAAAAACTTAACTTTCTGTGTAGAATATCTCAAAATTGATCAATGGAAACAAAAATAACAGTCTATAACACAATTATTCAACCTCATTTTGACTATTGCTCATCCATTTTATATTTATTTAACCTTAACAAACTTAACATGCTACAGAACCGTGGAATGAGAATGGAACCTTCTTAAAACAAATCGCCGTACTCCAATGGGGACGATGTTAAATACTCTAAATTGGTTCTCTGTTGAAAATATACTGTTTTATTTCACCAGGATTTTGGTCTTCAAAATAGTAAATGGCTTATCACCTGAATATTTTCAAGAATTAATTTCTTTCAACAAAAGTATTCATTCTTATAATACCCGAGGTTTAGATGACATATATGTACCTAGAACTATGTATAAAAGTACAATGAATTCGCCCTTTTTTAAAAGCTTCCTTAAATTTAATCAGTTACCAACATCTGTAGAAAAAAATGTACTAGTCTCAATAATTTCAAACTGTTACTTAAACAATATATATCAAAAATTTATAGTGTACTTTCTTTATATGTATGTGTATTAGGGTTTATCTATCTATCTATCATTTATACTTTATTTATTATTATTTTATGATTATTTACAATAACATTTCTCACTTGTTTGTTTATTAAATGTTTTAAAAATATCACATTCGGCATTGACCTAATTTCAATACTAACGCATGTAGAACAATTTGCTTTGGGTATATTAAGATTTATTAATATTTCTTTAGATTTTGTTTCCCTTACCTTACACCAGCCCCTTTAACAAAACCTATTAGGGCGATGTCTTAGAGCACAAGTTGATAATGCTTAAATGTATTCCTTAAATGATTTTTTTCCTTTTATTTCCAAGTATTTTAAGTATTTTTCTGTTGGTATTTCATCTTGTTCTTCATCTTTTCTATTTTTGGCTATTTTTATTGCATTTTCTAATTCTTCTATTGTTAGTGAGGTACCGGTAATACAATTTTGTATTTCTTTTATTTGTCGTTAATGAAAAAATTCGTTACTTATTTGAGTATCCTCTGGTTATTTTATATGTCCTGATTAAAAAAAGGATGCGCCCAATTAAAACTTTTTGTTTCCGCCTTTATCTTGCTGGAAACCTTATCCAAATATCTTATTCACGACCAATTTCGCTACAAAAACTAAATGACGTTTGCAGGAGGTATCCTCCCATTCTTAGTTCCGGCTTCTTCTTCTTCTTCTTCAGATGCAAATCCACTAATGGATGTTAGCGATCACATTTTCCATTAATTATCTATTTCTTGCAATATGTATCAGAGATTGTATGTCGTTAATCCCTGTCCATTGCCTTATGTTTCGGAGCCAGGACATTTTCTTGCGTCCCATTCCTCTCTTGCCTTCAATTTTACCCTCGATTATAAGTTGGAGGAACTGGTATTTTTCATTTCGCATGATGTGACCTAGATACGCCGTTTTCCTTTTCTTGATGGTTTCGAAAAGTTGGCGTTCTTGGTTTATTCTTTTAAGGACATCTATATTTGTGATTTTCGCTGTCCATGGTATTTTTAGGATACGGCGATAAAGCCACATTTCGAAAGCTTCTAATCTGTTTATATCTCTTTTGAGTGTCCAGCCCTCTACGCCATATAGCAGCACTGACCATACGTAGCACTTAGTAAACCTTAGTCTCAGTTGAAGATCAAACTCTGAACAAGTCAGTACTTTCTTGAATTTTACGAAAGCTTGTCGAGCTTGCTCAATGCGACATTTTACTTCCCCGTCCGATGCCCAGTCTTCAAAAAGCCACGATCCCAGGTATTTAAATTTACTCACTCTTTCAATGGACTTAGTATTCAGTGTTATGGTGGAGTTTTTAAGTGCATCTAAGTTTCTGGAGATGATCATAAATTTGGTCTTTTTGGTATTAATCTCTAATGCCAAGTTCCCAAGTTCCGGCTTCTAACATCCATAAAAAAGGAGGTTTAACGTTTTTGCCCTTTAGTACTCACGATCTCTTACATCCATATGTCGGGGTTATCAAAGTAAATAAAAAACTTAAATGATGAAGCAAAGTTATATATTTGAGAAACATCTCAAGTACAATTAAAAGATAAAAAAACTATATTAATATTAAAATGAACACTTTTTAATATATCTTGTCCCAATATTAAAGCCATGAAGCCCATAAAAATAGTGTAAGAACAGTTCACACATAAAAAATGTTAAAAGAATATACGGAACAATAAATATATATAATCTGAAATATATAATCTTCAATAAATATTTGTTTCTTATTGCAATAATAATATTATACTATCTAACTAACGTTTAGCAAGAGTAAGCGACTAAGCCGGAACCTAACTAATTTTGAAAAAGTGTGCGTGTGAACTCGATATAGTCCAAAGCTCCCTGGATGGGACGTTCTGTCTTCGGCTCTACGTAAGGCTTCATCCTCGCCACACAGTAGTCCGCCATTTCCTTGGTAAGATTCTGCAACAAAAAAAAATATAAATATCGGATTTATTTGAGTAAGGTACGTTCACGTGTAATGTAAGTTATGGGGGTAAAAAAAACATGTAACAGGAAGTTTTTGTGCTAATGTTATTTTTAGAATAGATATACACATATAGTACTGAAACGAGTATAGCTAGCTAAAACAAGTGGTATAAATAAGATACTTACGGCATATAATTCCTCTTTGGTGACATATGGACGATCTCCTGCCGTTATTGCCCTAAATGCTTTCTCTATTTCCTCGGAACTCTGGACGTTCTCAGTTTCTTTACTTATCATAAAGGCCATGTATTCCTGTAGAGAAACGTGACCGTCTCGATTCGGATCCACTACATCTGAAAAAGTATACAAAACAAGATAAATATAAAAATTCGATGTAAGACGTAGCAATAATAGAAAAGATATTTAAATTTAGCTTACCCAATATGGCATCAAATTCTGGATCAGGTTGGCCTTCTTCCACCATAGGTAAATCGTATCCAAGAGCTCGGAGACAACTCTTGAACTCTTGATGGTTGAGTTTTCCGGATTTTTCTTTGTCGAAGTGCTTGAACATCATGGAGAACTCTTTTAGGGCATCCTCGCTTACACCTATCAAAAAATATATATAAATTAAATCACGGAATAGATAATAACATAAGAAAAGAAATATAATTGGTACAATGAATATGGAATTGTTCCTATTTCCCACGAGCATGAAGGTTTGTAGAACTTTTGGAGTTCTACAAACTCCAGCAGGCTGAGACTTGGTGAATTACTAAGAATGTCGTGACAGAAAAACTTTTTATGGTCGGAAAATCTGAAACTGGTGCGTTTAGGACGCTGTGAAAGGTGTCAATTATTGGAATTTTGTACTTGCTAACACTGGTTCACAACGTCAGTAGTGATTCTGGTTGTCAATTGTAATCCTATTTTTAGAATGTAGCACATGTTTAGACTTAGTTCTTCTGTAGAATAATTCACTGCTAACTCTTTATTATCATAACTGGGAACAACAAATTCTAACAAAATTTTGATAAGTGGAAAAGCGAGAAGAAAATATAGGCCCGATTGTACATTGCAGGCTTAAGCGATCGCTTAATTGAACCGGCCTCAAATTTGAGCGTGGGTTCAACTTCATTAGGGTTGTTCAATGGCAAGTTTAGTTAAACCAAGGCTCATACAAATTTTGATAAGGTTGGCAACGTAACGCATGCGTATTCATATTAAGGTTAAATATCAATTTTCCCGCTAATTTTATATTATTTAGTTTTTGAACGGTTTTTGTGAATACAAGTCCACTAATAATTCTGTTATTTAATATTAGTTTAATTTAATTAACTAGTTTAATTTTTAATCGTTTCCCTAAGTTAAATTTATGAACTAACCATAACCATTTGAATACTCACGTAAAGTATATTCTTGCAATATGTTTATTTTCATGTGAAAAATTGTTTTTAGAAGTATATTTTTTATATTTATTTGGATTTTTTATTTTATTAGCAATATTTTAATGTAAATAATGAACTGTATCTTTAGATAACCTAAATCTTTGCAAAAATTCATTATCATTCCATTTTTCAAAATTATTCTCTCTGGTCCTAAATTGTTTTTGTGTTCTTCTTACATCTACAATATTTATCATTTCCAGAAAATCTTCATCGTCAGTTAAATTTTCAAAGTTATTCATTTTTTATAATATAACACTACAGTAACAGATAATTATTAAGCTTTCTATTGACAATTACAGAGAAATAAAAATATGTGAGGTTAAAAATGCCTGAGTTGACGTTGAACCGTCAAACTTCTATCGCTCAGTAGAACCCATGTTTAAACCGAGCTCAAGAATTAAACTTTAGATGCACAACCCACTTCATGCGTTAAACTCGGTAATGGCGCTGAGCTTGAGTTGGGCTACGAATGTACAACCGGGCCATTGTCGGACAAAAATTTTACGTCACTGTCAGCGTCAACTAATGACTTGCGCATGTGCTGCCGTTTTATTCCCATCGATAGTTTACGTCGGTCATATTGCACAGAACTGTCGTTATGTTCCTGTGTGTTGACAGACACTCGTGCAAGAGTATTTGGATCATAAAAGTGAAAATACTATGGCAACGCCTGCTAGATGAAAAAGAAGAGCCGTATTCATAATCTATACAAATGCAGTTTTGCTAGAAATGTTAGAAATTTGGGACATTGGGTTAGTTGAGTCGGATGACGATTGAGCAGTGACAGAATCAGAGTCGGGCTCAAAAAAAACTTGGGAAAATAATATTTCTACGATCAAACAGGTGATCCGTGGTGGAAATCGAAATGTCAAATATTTCAATATTATAATACAAGAAATATTACAGCGCGATTAGCCCGCATTAACAGATCGAAAGATCTTTAGCAAGACGTTTTATTGACTTATTTTGTCTTTATTGAAACGCTCCCTCATTTCTTTTAAGTTTATCCATGGTCTTCTAATCCTACTGTACATCAACCCATATATTTCCTCATTGCATATTGAAAGTAGTTTAAATAAAAATCTAAATGACTTATAAAATCATTTCACTATTTTATCTAAATTCTTCTTCTTTTTAGGGTGCCTGTCCGTTCCGAACGTTGGCGATCATTCTGGCTATGATAATTTTGTTGGTTGCTATACGAAATAGCTGTGTTGAGGTCTTTCTATACCATGCTCTCAGGTTAGCAAGCCAGGATATTCTTCTTCGTCCTGGGGCTCTTTTTCCTTCAATTTTACCCTGCAAAATGCATTGGAGTAGCTCGTATCTGCCTTGATTTCTCATAATATGTCCCAAGTACTCCAGCTTACGGCTCTTCACAATGTTGACCAAATCCACGGTTGTGTTCATCCTCCGCAGTACTTCTTCATTGGTGACTTTGTCTGTCCATGGTATCTTAAGGATTCTTCTGTATAACCATAATTCAAACGCCTGAAGTTTTGATAGAGTTTTGATAGAGAGATCTAAATTCTAGAGACTCTAAATTATACTAAAAGTAATTACACTTCAGAAGTTCTGTCCTTATTCTATTAATTTTTAAACCTTTTCGTTTGATAGCCTATTTTCACTATTCCGGCCTCTGCTCTATCCTTCACCTTTTGGGGTGTTTTACCCCTTCATTCCTGTGCAAATAACAATTATTTTAATGAAATCTTACCGGACTGGTTTCTCGCTTGTATCTGCTGTTCCAAATTGTGCTGCATCCTCATACCCAACTGATCCAATTGATCCCATTGCTGAGCCAAACCGACAGTAGAATGTTCGGTGTATCTGTTGTCCAAGATGAGATGTTCCTCGAGAATAGCTCCTAGGTCCTCTATCTTCTTCAGATCTGATCTACGAGCACGTACTTCCGCCGCTTTACGTTTCGTCGCTTCCAGTTGCTGCTCCAGAGAACCTGAGCCCTCCATCATGGAGGTACTAAAATATCATAATGTTATTTATTGTACAAAAAAAAGGTATAGTTTAGTACACATGTCATATTGTATGTTAGAGGGTGTGAAATATATAAAAATATTTTGGTTCCAATAAGTAAAAAATATAAGATTAATGATTAAAATTGAACTATTATTAGAATGTTACTATTGTAATATATTGCAAAAAGATGATTTGCTACCAGTACCATGAGTTATCTTCATAAGATATGATTTAAGTGCTCAATACAGTCTAAACTTTGTTTAAAACTCTTGCAGAGCTCAAATGTTATTAAAAAAATGGCTATAATAGAAAAGAGAATGGAACCAAAATATTTTTATATCTTCAAAATAGTTTTATTTGCATCCGACATTGATTAGCAGGTTGAGTTTGTTTGCAGAACATCGCAATATTAATATTCAAACACCAAAAAGTTATTAAAGTATTAGTTTTCAAATCAAACACTCATTATTTACCCGTCCCATCCTAAAATTCGATAACTGAAAGGATAAACAAATCATAAATTTTATATATTAAGTAATTTTTAGGGTTGATTTAAAAGAGGAATTAGATGTGCTAACCATATATGTATACAGTATAAGAGTGTAGTTTTTTTTATTTTTCCCTAATAAGTGATTGGTGTTTTCCCTTGATGAGGCTTGAGCTGGACAAACTGCCCGAGAGGGGATCAAGAGAATAGCAACACGCAAGGTAAAGGCATATATGATACCTGGACCAAATTAACAAGATTTAATTCAACTGTGCGTCTGTTTCCCTAGAGCTTAAAACAGAAGAAATGTCATAGGGATAATAAGCCTAAACGACCATTCGCCATATTAAATTACATAAGAAAGCTACAAGGTGCATTCTGGTCATTTTTGGCTGTTTTCGTGGACGTTTAACATCATAATATGTGACATATTATGTCAAAATATCAGGTCTGATGTAAATATTACGTAAAATGGCAGTTTTCACGTCAAACGTCACGTTCTACTTCACGTGAAACGTCAAAACGTCATGATTTATGTCAAAAACGATACGCGTGTGTCAAAACGGCACGTATTAACAAATATGACCGGACGTTCGACGTGACATAAGGGTAGGCGTGAAATATTTGAAGTGAAGTTTCTGATACTTGCATGAGACTTGCATTGACATTTGACGTTTTGACATAATACGTGACTATTTATATTAAATTTTACGTAAATTTTAAGTCAAACGTAACCTTGAAAAAAGGCAAAAATAATTAGAATAGAGCTTAGCGCTTTTTATGAGATTTGACATGGCGAATTAAGCTATTTTGGCATAGTTATGGGTACACCACACTAAAATTGAACCCTGCATGTTTTGTTGATCTCACTTGCGTGACCAGGGGAAATTTTTAAACTCTTCAGAAAAAAATAATGGGTTTATCCAGAGCTTCTTGATGGAACACGACAATCTTTAGGTACAAAGGTCTCACGATCAAGTAATGAAGGCAAGTTGGCTCCCGTCTAAGGCAAAAAAATAACTGCTAAAAACTTAACAGTGATTAGAAATTAACTGCTTTAAAAATATAATGTTCCTCCTGAAGAAATTGATAAGTTTTTTTGTTGAGTGTTACAATATAACATTGATTGTGCGTCTAAACAAATGCAATTCTTTGTTATTTATTTCTCCAATAACTGTAGCAACTAAAATATCGTATGTCTACCAAGTTAGTTCATTTGAAATAGTGTCATCTATCGGCTGTACCTTGAACTTTTTTGTTCAAACAAATTCACTTCTTTCCTTCTTTGGTATTTATTTCTGCAACAAGTGTGCCAACATAACAAAGCAGTTAGTTTATTTTTAACAGTCCCATCTATCGGCTGAACCTTGAACTTTTTTGTCTGAACAAATTCACTTTTTTGGTATTTTTTTCTGCAGCAATTGTGCCAAAATAACAAAGCAGTTAGTTCATTTGAATCATCTATCGGCTAAAACTTGAACTTTTCATCTTCCTCTCGATATTTAACACAGTGAAGTATGTGCTACGGTATACTCAGTTTTCAGATATGTTGCTTCTTTTGTTGGCAAAATACTCCTTCATAGTGCTTCACACCTTTTTGTAGTATTCTTATTTAAACCACAAAGAATTAGGGTTTTAGTGTTAATATCATTATTTTATGTTTTGTAAATGTTTACATTTTTATTTTTTAATTGAATATTTGATTTATTTTTGAAATATTTAAGGTTAAATTGAATAATTAAACTTACCGTGTCTCCGTCAACCACTGGTGGAAAGCATTAGCATGCTTAGCGAACTCCTTTCTAAGCTTATCGTTCTCCTCTTGTCTCTGCGCCTCCTTGTTCAACTCAACATCCCTCTCGGCTATGATCTTCTGTAAATTCCTCCAAGTATCTTCCAATGCTTCCATATTGAACCAAGTGTAAGGATTCGGTCCGACGTTGAACATCTTGATCTGTTGATCTAGCGCGGCCAAACCGTCAAAGTCGGCTTGTGCACTCGACAAGGAAGCTTGGAATTGGGAATGGGCTTCTTTCAACGCGCGGATTTCTTCGATTGAGTTACAACGCACGGGATCTGTCAAATCTTCTTCGGCGTTCTCGAACCAGGAGTTGAATGCGGACGCACGTTTGGCGAACATGAGGAAGAGCTCTTCGATTTCTTTGAATTGTTCTTGCATGCGCAGCAGACGTTGCTTACGTGCGTCAGAGTCGTTCAGAAGTTTTTGCCACCTACAAGAAAAAATTTAGAAAGTCGAATTGGAATAATTTATTTGAAAAAAACCTACCTGGAAATAACAGCTTGATGCCTTTGGACAATAGCTTGAGTTTGGTCGTGATTTGAAGAAATTAGTTGATCTTTAAGTGCAGTTATGTTTTGAATACCTTCATGTTCGAATGCAGTAAGACCTGAAATGTAAAATATAAGGAATAATTAACTGATTGAATAAATCATTTTGGGTTTAGTTACAAGAAATAATAGAGAGCCGCTGAAAAAAAAACAAGGAGAAATAAATCCTGGAACAGCAGACAAGAAAACAGAAAATCATTTTGCATATAAAGTTTTTTGTATTTTAGAGCAAATAGTTTGTTTTTAAAATTGAAAGGGCAATAATTTCAGCAACTTCTGCAGTTTAATGTATATTTTGATTATTATTTTGGTATTAAATTTGTTTCCTATTCTGTTGCAGCATTATCTTGGCGTTATAAATTTTGTTTAAAATGAAATTATCATTCTATGAAAGTCATACAGTTAATAGAAAATACTTAAAAGTGCCTAATCTACTACAATTATAAGTCAGGTAATGGTTAATACATACCAGCGTCAAAGGTCTCCTGTTTAGTCAATAAGGTCTGAACAGAAGATAAATCTCTTCCAAACTCTTCGCTCTTGACATGACTCTCCTTATCGGCGATCCAGCTTTCAACTACATCAGCCTTCCACATGAACTGCAAATAGGCCGAATTGTCTACTAACTTAGCCTTGCGTCTACCAGCCAAAGCCGCCAAATGATCCAATTTGGTTTGCAATTGCTGACAACGTTGATTGATGCTGTCAGAGTGATGGTTGCCTTCGGAAACGAGTCGTTGGCCATCGTCGCTGATGTCCTTGCAGCGATCTCTATGAGCCTATAAATTAATTAAAAATTTCTTCAATACAAACCGGTCTGATAGAGAAAATCATTGATTCTTTTATAGTATATTTTAATCATATAATTCTAAATAATTACCTGGAAGTCAGTTTCAAAAGCATCATGTTTCTTCAGCAATCCTTGCACAGCAGCCATAGTATCACCATAATCCTCGACACCCAACAATTGTTGTTTCTCACTAATCCAGGCCTCTTCTTCCTCGACCTTGGCCAAGAACTGTTGGTAAGTCAAAGATTCATCCAACTTCTGTCCTCTAGTAGCAGCTAATTGTTTCAATTCAGCCCAAGCTTGGTTCAAAGCCTTGAGACGTTGTTCGATTTCGGGGACTCCCAAATTAGAGACGTCCATGAGCTTCTCGCCGGCTTCTTGAACGGCTTGGATGGCGGGCTCGTGAGAAGCGAGTTCGGCTTCTAGACGTTTGTGTTTCTTCTTCAAGTTCTGGACACCAGTCAAGTCGCGGCCATAGTCGTCTGAACCGACCAAGAGTTTCTTTTCCCTAAACAAACGATACCTCTTAGAATGTCTACATACATATTGACAAAGAAAGCATACAGAACTTTTTCTACAATGTTCATCGTAAGTAATTGATCAATTTTTAACCTTTATTCTGTAGCCACCATACAGTGGTGCCTAATCCAAGTATATAGATAATTAAAAAAAAAACTAATTAAAATTTATATGCTTTTCAAAAAATCAGTATTTTACTTACTTGATCCAAGATTCTTCATCAGCGATATCTCTGAAGAACTGATGTAGAGTGTTTGCTTCGTTAAGCCTAGCTTGTCGGTGGGCAGCCAGATTCTTGATTCGTTCGTATCTTGAATTGATGGAATCCCGTTTTTCTAAAATGGATGTTGAATCGAATTGTCCGCTCTTTACTAGGGAATCGGCCTGGTCGTTCATATCTGAAGAAATGTGAAATTTTCATTAAAAAAACAATTGCCAATTCTGTTAGAATCCAAGACTGTATTAACTTGAAATGAAATATACTGGACTTACCTTTAATCCTATCATCGTGATGCTGAATATCGGCTTCCACTAACTGGTGTTTCTTGATCAGATTTTGAACAGAAGTCAAATCTTTACCAGCATCTTCGCTGGTCAACAAGCTCTCGACTTCACCCAACCAGAAGTCCAGATCTTTAACTGCAGCAATAAATGTTCTTTGTTTATTGGCTTCCTTAAGTTTAAGCGATTTCTCTGTAGTTTTCTGTGTCAAGAACTCCCATTGGTCGGCAATGGATTCAAGACGTTTTTGAACGGCCTCTTCTGATCCGGCACATTGATGCTTGTTGATCAAATTGGCACCGTTTGCCAGCACAGCTTGAATTCTATCTGCGTTAGCCGCCAATTCAGCTTCGAATGCTTGGTGTTTTTGGTGTTTGGACTGAATGTTGGCGGGATCTTTGTAGCTCTCTTCGGTGGCTAACTGAAGTTTTTCTGCTATCCAGTTCTCGATTTCGTCTGCGTCTCTAGAGAATTGCTGCAAGGTTTGACTTTCGCCCAATTTTGAACGTTTTTCGATAAGAGCATCTTTGAGATGACGCCATCTATCCAGAACCTATAAGAACAAATTCAGACATTAGGAAATGCAAATTGTTTTTATACTTATTTCGGGAATTGATTCTTTAACGCATTTCGGTAAATGTCTTGAACCGAAACTACTTGCATGGAATTGCACAGTGTGTGCAATACTGGTTTTTTAGGTCATCAACGTAAGGAATTGACCAGTTAGTTTTTTCTTTTACATTATATTCACAGCCAAAAGAAAGTGTGTGAAATGCATGGAAATGGCCATATAGAGAGTAGGGGAATCATATCGACATACAGGGTTTTGTATGCTTGAGTTTGCTACTGTGATCTAAAATCAGGATCACATATAAACATTTTGGTACGATCTTTCTTGGCTGTGAATAGACTTTATTAATACGGTAATATCAAAGTAATGGACAATTAAAGGTAACTTACTTGATTACGTTTGTCATCGATTGGTTTGGCGGCATAATGCTCCCTTTCAATCAACTGATCAGCCAATGTCTGCAAGGCACCGATTTTCTCCTCATGGGCATTAATAGCTTTGTCGAAATCTTCGTGTTTCTTGATCAATGCTTCAACATTGTCTCCGTTACTATCTACTTCGTCAGAAGCCAAGAAGGCTTCTCTGTCAGACATCCAGTTTTCAGCCTAAATAATAGATCACATATAAGTACGAAATTACAAAGTTTTGAAGGAAAAGTGAAGTTTTCGTGATTTTACCTGTTCACAGTCTCTGTAGAAAAGATTTAATTCTAAGTTTTGGTCCAACTGTAGGCGTCTGTCGATCCAAGCGCGTTCCAGGTCAGCACGGGCTTTATTGAGTTTTTCGAGTTTATCTTGTATTTCGGGGCTTGCATAGTGATTCGAGTTAAGCAGCTGTTGACCGAATTGTTCGAGTGCATGGAAAGTTCCTGCGCGTGCGTCTATTTCAGTGCGATGTTCCTAAAATGAAAGGTGAAGATTCGTTTAGAGAAAGTTATGGCAGAAAAGGAATACACAGGTGCGTCAGAATGTGTTTCAGTTTAGAATTAGAACAGATAGTTAACGAAAATACGAGAAATTTCTAGATCAGTGTGACTTTCCTGAATTATGTAGTATTATATCTTAGTATTATTTTTAATATTTAATAAAAATTTCAACAAACGTTATCACTACTTTAATACTATTTTACAAGTAATGTAATTTTAAAATATTTATAGGAGCAAAAATACTACTAACGGAAGAGAAGAACAAACGAAGGGTTTTTATAAATGCAATGCAAATATACAGGACGTAAAAATGTAAGATCAAGTCATACAATAAAAATATAACTATATATCTGTATAAATATAAGAGTTTTAAATCAGGTCATATAAAGAATTCTAATATTTTTAGAAGATGACGTTTCAGACGTAATAAGAGTAACACGGAGAGTGAGACATGGATGATGTACATTGGGCCACTAGTATTTAACGTCTATATTTATTCATTTGGAATAACCGTTAAAGGGGAAGTAATAAATAACACTAGATATGCAGACGATACTGTGCTGTTGGCAATAATATCGGAAGAGCCTTAACTTTTACTAGAAAATATGAATAGAGTATGCAACAACTACGGTATACAGATTAATACCAAGAAAACCAAGTATATTATCTTTAGTAAAAATCCAATTAATCATACAAACATTACCATAAGTAACAGACTTACAGAAAATATCTATTGTATTAAACTCATAGTAAAAGAAGATAAAATGAAGTGAAGGAAAACAGTAATACATGCTGGTAAAAACAAAATATTGGAAATATGTTTTTATACAAAAAATATCACAACTGTATAATGTTTTAAAAAAAATATAAACCTTCAAAATGACAGAGAAAATACGGAAGAATAGAAAGGGAAGGAGTGCATTCTACAACACAATGAGCGAATATTCTACAATTTTATACAAAAGGGAAAGAAAAATAATTACAATACACTATTAAAATGAAAGTTGCAAGGTTGTTATATGTTGTTGTCATAAAATATAGTCTGGATCTGAATCTCTGGAACCATTTTACTTTAGAAAGTTTACTAAAGTAAAGCCAAGCCAGGCCTTAAGGTTTAAAGTAAAGCCACTTTTATTTAGAAAGTTGCTAAATGAAGAACACCAGACGATGGGCAGAGGATGTGAGCCCCCAAATAGGACGAAGAATGGTACAGCAGTAGGAACTGATGGAATACCTGTGGAGATTTAGAAGACTTTGGGAGAAAAAGGGGTTAATATGTCGTGGCAAATGATGAGTAGGATATATGAGGAATAAACGATGCCTAATGCATGAAGGGAGGCCGTTATGGTCCCACTATATAAAGATAAAGGAGGGATTCAGGACAGTAAGAACTATAGGAGTAAAGTTAATGTCGCACAAATCAAATTTTGGGAAAGAACTGTAGAGAGAACGTTAAGGAGAGGGATATCGATGGAAGGAACAGTTTGAGAGGATAATGATTAGGAATATTGCGCAGCTCGGTCTTACAGACTGGACGATTATATGCAGAGACAGGAAAGAGTGCAGAAAATTTTAAAAGACGCCAAGTTACACAACCAATAATAAAAGTAAAGAAGAGTAATGGGGACTAATTCCCCAGTGCAAATGAATCGGAAGACCCCAGCAATCATTCTGCAGCTAGAAGCAAAAATACGATGATGATATATATATGAAGAAACGACTATAAATTGAATAAAATTGAGAAAAACTCAATTTTCTCCATTTTTTTTAATTGGTTAAGAATTGCGGTTAAAATATTTTGGCATTTTCAAAACTTTAAAAAAAACGTACAGCTCGGAAGAAAATATACATGAAATGTGTAACTATTATGTATAAATACAAAATCAGAAGGTGAAGACAGAAGGTAGCTCCGATTTCTAATTTAGTTTGATTAAAATTTAAGCTTCGACCTAGAATTTTCTATGTTCGTAAATTTCTAACTATTTTACTGACACCCTGACATTGAGATATAGCTGTTAAATAAAAATGAATGTATATTAATAAAATAGCCAAAATAGAAGTATTATAGGTCCAGCGTCCTGGGTTAACTGGAAAAACTGTTGAAATATAAAAGAAGTCAAGAACCTGCTGAAAACAGAGTTGAAGCGTTAAAAGATGGATTAATAATGACTATACAGGATGGAAACAATCATGTCCATAGACTAATTGTTCAATACTGTATAATTTGTTTGAAAAATGTTGATGTTCACGACCACCAGTACACGATTTACAGCTTTGAAGGTGTTTTAAAAACATTTGCCAATCTTAGTTGTTGAAATATGAAACGTATCAGTCAGAAAGCACATAGATTGGCAAAATGTCGTTAAAATATCTTTCGACAACTAAAGCAAACTAGAGGTAAGAGATACAAAACTCAATAATATCGTTTATTTTTTATATAATTACAACTACTACCAAGTTTACCAAAACTAGTAAAGAATATTTGGGAAGTGTAATAAAGAACCCCGGCATTTATCTCATGTATAAGTGATTTCAGTTAAATTGTCTGAAACTTTGCAAAGATAAAGCTTTGATCATGCTCAAATCAAAAGTTCTCATTTCTCCAAGACTCAAAAATCAATTGTTTCTGAGTTAAAGTGTTATAAAGTGTCGATTTTTCGAAATCATTAATTTCGAAATGTGCTGTCTCACATATTTAATATATGCCATCTGAATCTCATTAAACACGAATATAAAATCTGAATGACATTTCTTAATGTACCTCTTCCATTTCTTAATGTCAAAAAAATAAGTGGGTAGGACTAAGAGAGATATGCCACTTTCCCACATAGATATCTACGGTTGGTACAGTGTAAAACCCGATGCACGTCATCAGCGCCATATTAAGTGTCAAATGATGACAATTAATTTATGAAACTTAACACGCTTTGAAAAGATGATTATTTGAGTATTTTCCTCCTAAATGGTAACTTTATTACTAGCGAAACAGATAAGCGGCGATATAATTTACACTACCTCTATGAATAACATTTTACCGCTCTGTTGTTTCAATCAGCATGCTCAACAAGTTATCGTTTATTGGTTTTAATATTTTATTGCAATAGTATGAGTACGGAATATTTATTTAAACAGTGAATTTATTACATGCAATTTTTTTTTATTTCTTCTGACGTATCGTATAATGTAGGTTTACCCAATAATCAAAGTTATGCATTTACAAGAACATATTTGAAAAATACGAAGTACCATGTGTCATAATTTAATCGCCTTTATACACACTTTGTTTAGTAATATATTTCTTAAATCCACACTATCATTAAAAAATAATTTCTGCTATTTAAAAATATCTTTCTGTTAACGACACTGTTATCGACAAAGTAGATCAAATTCAAACTCGTCATCTTATTACACTTCGGTTTATCGTTAAAAATTAATTGATGGTCGTGGAATGTATTGGTGTTATTTAATAATTTAGCAAAATACATAATCAGCAAAATTTTATTTAAAACATGCGAACAGTTTTTGCAATCACAATCAATGCAGTATTTATGCTTGTTTAGCATTGTTGTTAAATAATTTGTGTTCGACTGCTTCGTCAGTTGTAAAACCCTCGCCATTTTTAGGGAGTAGTAGTTGTATATAAGTACCTATTTTTTATAGTAGTGTAGTGAAGCGGTACTTTAAAGTAAAATGAGTAATTTGGAAGAAAATAAAATACAGTCGAAACGTAGATTGTTAAAACCAAAAGAACGGCGTTTAGTTCTGAAAGTCGAAAGTTATTTCAATTTGGAAAAAAATAATATGGGCCCATTGGCATCTGTTCTGGCAGTTCAGAAACGCACATGCGATGCTTGAGGTACCTTAGAGAAGACATTCCGAAAAATTAATAACATGAGTGAGAATGAAATAAATAAAGTAAGCAAGAGAAATCGTCGACATCCAAAAACTTTTGCACCAGTCAATTAAACTTACAATTAAAAATATTATATATATATATAATATATATATATATATATATATATATATATATATATATATATATATATATATATATGTATAAAGCCAAAGAACATGTAACAATTAGTGCTGTGTTACAAAAAATTAAAGATAAGGAACTGTGTGATTTTAGTTTAACAAGTTTGTGGAGAGTGCTGAAACATTTAGGTTTTCGATATAAAAAGACAAATAATAGACAAGTATTGTGTAAACTCTCTAATGTTGTTTCAAAACGGTGGCATTCTTTAAGAAAATACATGAACGATAAAATATCTGATATTCCGAAGCAAGTTGTATTTTTAGATGAAATTTGCATTTTCGCTAAAGGAAATATATCAAAATCATCGTAGCAAGATGGCACCACAAAATGTTATTCTTCTAGTTGTTCCGGTAATGGTAAACGCTACATTATACTTCATACTGGAAATTATGAGAGTTTTATTCCTGACGCTAGTTTAATTTTTTCGTCCACAAAGAATACAGGTGATTACCACGGAAATATGGATGCAAATATTTTTGAAGAATGGTTTGAAGACCATATAATCATTTTGTTTGCCTTTAATACAGTAATCCAATATTATTACTGAACATAAAATACAGGATATTTTATGTTCTAAAATAAATTAAAATTCTAAAGTAAATAAAATATTTTTACTTTTCAAGCGATCGGAATTAAATATTAACGCCCCACTGTTTGAGGCCCAATGATCATATCTTAATTGCATATCGGCTGTCATAGGGTAAAGGAATTTAAGTCAAAAGTTTGGGTATGTATAGTATGTCTAAAAAGTATGTGGTATGTTCCTATTAATTATTATAGGTCTGGTCTATTAATTACTTATTAATTAGTGAAGTAAAACCATCTATGGCCTTTAGAATTTGATTTGTGAATATTACTCACGAATTTTTAAGTGTTTAGGTACTTCATTTATTAGCAAGTAAGATTAGTACTACTTTTTGATAAGGAAAGTTCAATTTTACTCAAAATATTGGTTTACCAATGTTTTAACTTCTACATACTTTCTGTACATACTACATATATTAATCATTTTGTAACATTACGAGTTTTGTATCCACGTTGCATTTGACACAAGGATTTAACAAGCTTCACATTAGGTATAAAATTAGTAGCTGTAAATTTAAAACACCATAACCACAAGTAACTACCTGAGGAGCACGAGCGCCATACATTGCATCTATTTCTGCCTTGTAGTTCTAAAAATCGAGTAAGCACATGAGATAATCCATCAAAAACAAAAATTCAACATTAATGACAAATAAACAGTACTGCTAATATGAACCAAAAAAATGTCTTCTTAAGTCTAGTAGTGCATGCAATACTATTTTGTAAATCAAGTAAAATGTATTCATTCATAGAGCTTATATTCGCATTTGTATAGAATATTATAGTTTTCAAATTCTTAAGTTTGTTCAATAAAGAATCGGGATACTTGGCTGAGGAAGTGACTCCGTTTAACACATTATTAAAGATATCGGAAAGAAACCAAGAACAAAAATAAACTGATATCATTAATAGTAAAGATCCCCGCAGATTTCTTGAACACTTTACCAAAAGAAACCTACGTGTACAATTTCAAGATTCTTTGACTTTTTCCTTAAAAAAAAACACATAAAAATATGAAAAACATACTTATTCATCCCGAAATTAAAAGACTGTCAAAAGAGTAAAAAATTGTGCTAAATTTTAGGACTCTAGGCCTTTTTCTCCAAAGAAAGAAAAGGCATAGGAATATGACAAGAGCTAGGTGCTAAATTTCAAGATTTTTACGGATTTCCCTTTAAAACAAAGTAAACGTATAAGGATATGGGAATGAGAATACTCAGTGGCCCCAAATTTCGTAGTTCCGTACCCCCAAATGAAGCCTATGTATCAAGTTCCAACAATTTAGGATTTTTCCCTCCGGAGAGAGCAAAACGCGTAAGAATGTCAAAAGAAGAGGACCTACATTCAATAAATTCTTTCTTACGCCAAGAAAAACGTATGTATAAAGTTTGAAAGAGCTTTTTCTTCATAAAGAAGTAATAGCATAAAGACATGAGATGGAGAAGAAGATTTATTTACGCCAAATTTCTCTTTCTATTCGTGAAGTTTCAAGATCCTAGGTCTTTTTCCTATCACGAACAAAAATAGTATAAGATGAGATGAAAATTTAAATTCAATGAGATCCATCTTTCAGGAGCTATATCATTAGACAGCTAATCAAATACTGACTAATGAACATCCTTGACTGCATTTCCCAGCCTTAACCTTGCTTTTTTATTAGCCAGAACTTACCAGAACCGGAATTCCGTCCCTTACAACTGGCCGTCTAGTCGAAGGTATCAATGTAAGCCGATTTTCAATCAGCTTCAGATGATTTCTAACATAACGTATCTACAGATCCAGCTCGAGCTCTGATTTTCTATACGAAGGGATAGAGAAGTAAACGAACGGCCCAAAACTAAAGAATCGAGTCAATTTTTATTTCGATCATACTAGTTGAAATAATTTGGCCCCAAACCATATAGTCCAGGTCTTCCATCATGTGATTGCCATGTGTTTCGTCAACTAAGTCAACTTTCGTCAACTAAGTGGTAGAAGTACCACTTTGTTAAAGACATGACCTCATGCTTTTTATGTAAATGGAATACAGAAAGTAACTAGATGCTGGTTCGATTACAATATTACAAAACGTTAGATGAAGCACTAATCTCAACCCAGGTGTATAAACGTATATCCACATCTAGTCCAAAAATAAAAGAAATAAGATTTTACGAAAGTAAAGAAGTCACAACCGCAGATATCCGACAATCTATTATATCCCAGATGTTCAGATGATTTATTCCTATTAAATCCACTCTTATATCAACATTTGTACTTTCGGATTCTTGCTCAACGAATTGACCCCAAAGTATTGTCTACCAAGATTATCAAGAAGTTTCTCCGCTGATAGATCATCCATACCATTCACCTCCGGCGGTACCTTTTAATTTATATGTTTTGAAGAGACAAATTTTTATAAAAACGAAAAAGACTTCAGGCAAGCACAATACAAAAAAATGTACATAAATTAACAGTAGCAAATATCAAAGAAACATTATGAATAAACAGAGTTAAAAATCATGTACATACATTTTATTTCAAGTAACTGATAATTCTTTAATATATCAGCTGATTGGTTGTAAAGAATTTTTAATGCAAAAATATGAAAATTTCATTCCTATATAATAATGAAACATTTTAACTTAGTGTTGCAAACACACCATGCTTACAAGACACCCCGACCCCGTTACTAAAATCCAAAAAACATCTCACCTGGTGGCGTTCAATCAAAGCTTCTGCGCCAGTAACGTCGTTGGCCAACTCTTCGGAACTGACCAATCCAAGCATAGAGCTGATCCAAGCCAATAGATCGCGGTGGTCGTTGAGGAATCGTTGGAGATCGTAGGAATCTAGTAGTTTTTCCTTGCGGCTGTTTGCTTTCGCGGTCAATTGGGTCCATAGTTCGGTGATTTCTTCTTGTTTGAGTCTCGTTTGTTCGGCGCTTTCGGGATGGGAGTTTACCAGACGGTTGGCAGTATCGTCCAATTGTTTGATCTAGAAAGAATATGTTAACATCTAAAGAAATCGATCTTAAGACAAGTGTAATTTGATTATTTATACAAATTGATTTGGATATCAAAAGAACAACATTTTGATTGAAGAGTTTAACAATATAATTTAGAAAAGCATTGGTATGTGAACTATATGTGTGATAGTAACATGTAAACAAAAATGTTTTAATATATTACCTTGTCGCCTAAAGCAGCTAGATCCCTTTCCAATCCTTCATGTTTTCTTTGCAAGGTTTGTACACTTCTCAAATCTTTACCAAGATCGTCATTATTCAAAGCCTCGTCTTTTTCAGTGATCCAATCTTTAGTTTCGTCAACGTCTCTGTGGAATCTTTGGACCTCGTGAGCTGATCCCAACTGGTTGGCTCTATTAATAATGAGAACAGTTAATTATTGTGTTACAATTGTGGAAAAAGAAAGCTTTTGTAGAAAGCAGCAATATATTTTTTGTTTTTGGTAAATATCGATCAATGCTTTTTGTAATTACCTCAGAATCTGAATCAATTGTACAAGGGGTCTCTGGAGAATATCTAACTCTTGATTATGACCCGATAGAGGGTGTCCATTCAAATTTAACGCGGTGTGACTAGAGAGCTTAATTATGTAATATTAATTTTATAATTATATTATCATTCTTTTTCATTTCTTGGCAAAATATATCATTTTACTAACATTGATCGTTATTCCCCATGTTTACCAGTAAAATCTGATCAATTGAATTTTTATTAAAAATGGAAAAGCAAATTTGAAAAGTGTGCACTGTTAAAAAGGGCGTTAACTTTCCAAAAATATAGCATCCCGTAATTTATAGCTCAAGCTAGACGCAGATCAATACCTTGTGTAACTTTATAAACGTTAAGATTTAAACATGGATTTTTATTAATTCGATTCCGCTTTACTTTCTGTATAACGCTTGTATAGGCATATCATTTTAACGTTGGTAGAACTGTTGAAACCTGTCAACTTGTCAGCGATGTTTGTAACATATGGTTCTAAAGTTTTGGGAAAAATTTCACCTGGTTTGATTGAGAAGCAAAATGCATTTAACAAAGAAGGCCATGGAATTGAAATGTCATCAGTTATTGACATTTAATAAACAAAGCAGAATATTTTGGTTGGTAAGTCAAGTTGCCACTGGCTTTGTAGTAACTAACATGAATTTCCACGAATGCAGTAAACCCACCATAAAGCAAAGATATAAAATTAGAGTATTAACAAATATAAACAAATGGAGAGGCCGGTGACGAAGTGTTACTGGGTTGAAGGGTTCTTCCCAGAGACGGTGCACGAAGTTGCTCGGGAATTCTTCGAGGTCTTCAGAAGGTGTTGTCTTGGAAAATCGCTTAAAAAAAATTCCATTAATGCTAATGAGAGTTCGTGATGTAATTTGAGAGAGCTCTACTTATCTTTAAGCCAGTGAATTGCCTAGAAGTGATCCTGATCTCTGAGACTGTCATGGAAAAACACTACGAAAAGACTTTCTGTAACCTTCTGGGAGTGCTTTGATTATTAGAGTAAAATATGATCTATGGACCAATATTATAAAGTCGATTTAACTGTATATAATGAGTCTTCTACAACAGCACTGGAGGATACGTGACTTATTCATCTTGAGACCTCATTAAAAACTTTTTCGGATATTGGAGCGACCAATCTAAGATTGTGACATGTCAAGGTACGCCATAGAGCACCATCCTATACTTTTCATGGTGAAGAACAAGATCCCTTATTTTGAATTCTCGTCATACTTTTTCTGAATGTGAGGAGTGGATAGGATAAGAAGCAGTACCGTTCAGCAGGAATGGAGTTATATGCATAAGACTTTCAGGTGCGGATCTTCGTAATTTTAGTGTGTGCTCAGAAGATACTGAATAACGTCTCATTTGGCAGGAGTTATCTGCTAAGACCTTCAAGCAATATTTTAAGAGACTTTTGATAAGGAGGTTCCTGGACATCTGGACCGGTAGTAAGGCTATCAAACGAGCTGGTTCCACGAAGAATTTCGTGGTTGTTCTAAAATTTCCACAGGTCAACTCCTGCTTAATCGTAGGAGGCGTTGTGTGATGGTCGATATGCTCTCTAGCCATATGGCCTACAATTACTCGGATTATGGATTATTTAAGAAATATCCTTTAATCTCCTTTGTCAATGCTCAATCTTGACAGATCAGAGATATTACGTCTTTGGATCGACATTTAGCAGTCGAACCAGGTCAAGGTGATCCCGTCGAGGAAACTTGGGGCTAGATGTAAATCCTACACAAACAAACGAGGATTCAGCGCAACTGGGTCTTCTGATACCTTTGCTATCACTATGGTCTAGTCAAAGAAGTTAACAATGGATCCGATTTATGTGATCTAAATATCATAAAAGCTCAGAAATGGCTAATTAAAAACAGGTTGGATCAAAGACCAACCAAACATTTATTTCATATTTAAGAGTCAAACCTAGTATTTAATCAAAGAGAATCGCTCAAACTTTAATCAATTACTTAGCTGGTTTTTATGATTATTCATGAGATTGAAAGAGTTACTGCCGTTTATTGATTACCAATACCTATTTTAAAGAAAATGTACTATTAAACTATAATATAAATAGAAATAACTTTTAATACATATTAACAGATTAATTTTAGTGCTATCCTAATAATTTACCAATGAGTTCTTATAATATGATAAGGACATTATGTCAAGCTAGATATGCAATATCATTAACGGCATCTAAGCCCATTGGCAGCGTTGGAAACCCAATAGAAAAAGCTGCCATATTTTTAAAATGATCCTGTCAAACCTATCATCATCGTTTCTTGCACCTGGTGCTTCTTGATGGACGTCGCCCACTTTTTTAAGAACAAATTCCTCTTCGCTGTAAGGTTTTTAAAAAAATGTTTTTAAATGATGCTTATAAATAATATTCAAAAGAAAACTGATCAAAAATAAAATTTAAAATTTATGGTACAGGAAAAATGTTTATGTTTGATAGAAAGATGAAACCAGAAAATTTTAATTACAGGGTTTTTAGTATTAAGGGACTTTTTCGAAAGTTGATTTGAAATGTTAAAAACTTTCAAGAACCTTGTTTAAGTTTGGAATGTCCACAAATTTATTTTTCAATAAAAGTAATGGCTAATGAGAAAAAATAAAAAAAAATAGATTATAATATAATTAAAATTGGTGATTTAGGTGAAAGACAAAGGGCAGATCTAAGTATGGTAATATTATAATGCACAATGAAAATCTACCATTTCAGAACGACAATGAGACAATACTAATAAAAAATCTACAATCAGCGACGCTAAAAAGTAGAAAGTAAATGTTTAAAATACATATCAGCATTAATTGATCTCTATTTCGATCAAAGAGCCTTACCTTTCAGATGTCAATTTTTGCAAGTCTGTCCATTTGGTATTCAAATCGTCTATTTGGGTTCTAATCTTCATGGCAGCCTCGGTCTGATCAAGCGAGACAAGTTGCATTGCTATTTCGTTCATTTCCGCCAATCTAACTTCGTTTGCTTTTAAATCTGTTTGGAAATCGTCGAATTTCTTCTGTAAAACCTCAACTTGTTCTAGGTCTTCTCCGACATCTTCGACTTGGGCATGCATTTCCTTATCTGAAAAGAGGTAAAGCAAAATATATAATGTACTTAAGATTCCATGTTTAAAGCAATCTGATCGGTTTAAAAAATACATAGAAAAGGAAGGACGGGGAAAGAGAGGGGAAATGGGAATGAGAGGGATATGAAAATACAAATGTATGTAAACAGAAAGGCAATATTTCAGTCCTTCAGAAACCAGCATTTAGGTTAGTTTCTATACCTTATTTCATTAAGCGATGCAGGGCATATAAACAACGATAAATTTAACAGATAATTGTTAAAGATGTTCCAAATGAGTCTACTCGTTCCGATAAGTAACAGTATAATTATGACACTTTATTATTTTTTTTCTTTTCTCAAATATTCGTGTTTATTGTCTAGTAAATAAATTAATGTTATCACTGAATACATAGTAAGTGAAAAAATAATCCTATTTATAAAATTAATGAATATTTTAGGCATAAATGCAAGTGACAGTTCTTCAAAATATTTAAAAACTAACCGAAATGTCCATCTTTATTTCGTCTGCCGACGTTGTCGGCAGCGGCGTTGTCGGCATACCGGTTCGGACACGATTTAATGTTTACATCTTCCTGCATCGCTTAATGAATTTTACTATAGGAAGTTCGAAACTTGAATAATTTACAAACTACCACGTTATATAATTTTTTTGCTTTTAGATTTTTAACAAATCTTACCTTTAATCCATCCCGCCAATTCAGCTGCTTCTCTAACAAGGACGTAGGCTTTGACCGTTTCGTCGAGCTTGGTGCGACGTTCGTTGGCCAACTGTAGAAGTCTGTCATACTGTTGGTTGATCTGGTTCTGTCTGGCCGAGATCGAGTTGCTGTCCAAGAGGTTTTGTTGTGAAGCTGTCAAGCCGGCGTCGACTTTCTTTACGTATGCAGCCGGAACGAACCCTTGACGATCGTGAATTTCGACTTTCCACCAATCCTGAAAAATAAAAATAACTAGATAAATAAATTGTCCCATTTATTATAATTCGTCTATCATTTCCAAATTTCTTGGGTGATTGACATATTTTACAAGATAACAGAGAAAAAATTCGGGAAAAAAGTACTTTAGGTCATCGGCAAAGTGCACTTCCTTAAATATACTTTTTTAAAGAAGAGAGAATCTTAATGCGTTCAGTTTTAATCGGATTATTCCCTAGAAAGACCTTGGATGATTCTCTATAATTTTTCGAGAAGAGGTTTAGTAGATTAATTTTAAAATTGCTCTCTTTAGATATGTATTCTAAGATAAGGTCTCGTCTAAGAGCCCTATCAGATATTTAGTTCAATGGCTCCTTTCAAAATTAGGTTAACCAGATTCACCTAACTCGTTTTATGAATGGAATTACACCACTTTCTTAAGGATCTTAATCTGGAACAAATACACTCACCGGCAAAATTAACGGAACACCTTAAAATTGGGACATGTTAGATGTCTCGAATTTCCTAAACCTGTTGTCCGATTTTAGTGATTTTTTTAGTATGTTATAGGTATATTATTTAAGAATATCAATGAAATAATATTGTTGCTAGACAGGTCAATGTCATTTTATACCGGGTGTAACAATCATACTGTGTTTTTTCCTTAAAGTTCGAAACACCCTGTGGAATATTCTAGCATATATAAAATATTTAAATTAAAGCTCAATTATAGTCTCAGGCTTTCTTAACATTTTCTTTTTTGATTCATTTGCTTGTGTTGGATAATAAAAAAGTTAGGTACGTTAACAACTAGCCATGTTTTTCATCAATAAATGCTCATTTTCTTCTTAGTTTCACCAGCATATTTAAAGGAACAACCATAAAATCTGAGTATTTTCTCTCTAGTCTATATACTGTTTAGATAATATCATAATACGTATGTTGGTGAAGTATTTTGAATTTATATTACAATGGTAGTACAATATAAAACCTGTTTAAGAAGAAATAAAACAAAAAGATGTCAGACTCAACAAAATACGGATTTTAAACGCATTAACTTTATTGTACAGTTTGAATTTAAATTGGTTTTTTATGCATTTTTTTGGCTTTAATAGCGTGTGTTTCCCCTACGAGCCCTTACAACTGCAATTATTCGTCTTCTCATACTTCTGATACCGCTATCGATCAGTTGTTGGGCAGTCTCTCCCATTCCTCAATCAAAGCAATTGTGACTTCCTCTCTGTTTGGAATAGCAGGAACCCGTGCCCTAAGTTTTCTGCCTAGCATGTCCCACATATCCTCTATCGGGTTTAGGTCTGGGGAACAAGCTGGCCAATTCATCGTTGTTATACCCACTTGTAATAAGAAATATCTTACACAGTCTGCGACGTGTGGGCTCGCATTATCCTGCATTAAAATAAAATTTTCGCCAATATATGGTGAAAAAGGTACCACATGGTCTTGGAGAATATCTCTGATATACTTATCTGCTGTTAATGCTCCATCATCAATCACCACTAACTCTGTTATTGCTCCCAAACATATACCGCCCCACACCATAATTGAACCTCCACCAAAAGGTACGGTCGTAGTAAAATTGAAAGGGGCATTTCGTTCTCCTTGGCGTTGATACAATCTTTCTCTACCGTCGATGGAATTTACACAGAAACGGCTCTCGTCCGTAAAGAGAATTTGACTCCAGTGGTTATCATTCTAATTTTGATGTACTCGACCAAATTGTAGTCGTGCTAAACGATGGTGTCTCTGGAGTCTGGGAGCTTTTATTGGCACATATGACTTGAGACCGGCTTTTTTAAGTCTCTTTCTTACTATGCGCTCAATTAAATACAAGTTTGTACTTGTTATGAACAGACAGAATGACTGTAAAACGTAAAAGACAATACAAATAAACAAATTAATTTGACATTTAAGACTTTCTTGTGACAAGGAGCTTTCACAGCTATGTAGATATAGTCTATAAAATACAAATATAAAGAAATATTGCATTAATAATAGGTTCCTTTAAATTTGCCGGTGTGTGTATTAAATTGTTAACTTCTCATAGCCTACTTTAGGCTTGTTTATTAAACTAAGCAGAAAATGAGGATTTATTGATGAAAAACATGGCTAGTTGTTAACGTACCTAACTTGTTTATTATCAAACATAAGCAAATGAATCAAAAAAGAAAATGTTAAGAAAGCCTGAGGCTATAATTAAGTTTTAATTTCAATATTTTATATGTGCTAGAATATTCCACAGGGTGTTCCGAACTTTAAGGAAAAAACACAGTAGGATTGTTACACCCGGTATAAAATGACATTGACCTGTCTAGCAACAATATTATTACATCGATATTCTTAAATAATATACACCTATAACATACTAAAAAAATCACTAAAATAGGACAACAGGTTTAGGAAATTCGAGACATCTAACATGTCCCAATTTTAAGGTGTTCCGTTAATTTTGCCGGTGAGTGTAGTTGGAGTGAACAAATTTTCGCATTTAAAAGACAAACAACCTTTTATGAACATAAAACCACAATACATTTTGTAATAATGCATTACAAATAAAAGTTAAAAAAGTATGATATGAAAACAAAAAAATAATAAATAAGAAAAATAAATATATGATCGAAAAAATCATTGATTATACATAAATATAACATAAAACCATAAATGGACATACCATATACAAACGTGAAATAGTATTAATGATAATAATCTGATTGTGTTAAAATAACAAATAAAATATTGTTATATTGTGTTACACATCAGTTAAATGCAATTTGTAGAAAAAATTGTACCTACTACATTATCAATTTCGTAAACCTCCCAAACACACGGTGCAAAGAATACTTACTGATGTTAAAAACCTCCCACGTTTTTTTCTAAATTTAAAAATGTTACATATTAAGATTTCAACTATCCAAAACGTAACCACCATCACTTCGAATAATACTCATCTGTTTTTTGCTCTTATCTAATTTGTAGATAAAGCAACAAGGTCGATAATACATACAAAACATGTGATTTGAATTAACACGTCTGCCAGAAGCTTAAGGTGGTAGATAATATTTAATTTTTCAATAAGTTCGTGTCTTTACTTGACCTACAAATATAACTAAAACATTGATGTACTATTTTAGTTTATTTATTTGTTATGGAAGTGACACAAATATGTTACTACAATACTTATGTAGGACATGTTTAAGTGTGTATAAATTATAGAGCCACAAAACTACTTATTCACGCCATGAAAAGAGAGAAAATTGGTTGCCATATTACTGAACAACTAGATCCAGATCAAGAGAAAAAATGTAGAATCGAGATAGCCCGCACGACATTTTTAAAAATGAGGTCATTCTTCTGTAATGATAACTTGCGACTTCAACTTCGAAAGCGCATGGTTAAATGCTACATTTGATCAGTCCTCTTATACGGTGTCGAAGCATGGACATTAAAAATATCCACCATTAATCGTCTGGAGGCCTTTGAAATGTGGCTGCACAGACGTATACTAAAAATTCCATGGACGGCTATGCTGACAAATGTGGCAGTCCTTGAGAGAGCAAATGCTGCTCGCGAGCTGCTTGATAACATCAAATGTAGAAAGATGGCCTATTTTGGACACGTAGTAAGGGGAGACCGATATAATATTCTTCAACTTATTATGATGGGTAAAATCGAAGGACGCAGAGGAATTGGTAGAAAGCAGGCCTCTTGGTTGAAGAATATCAGGGAGTGGACAGGAATAAAGAAAGCTGAGCAACTATTTAGAATAGCTCGAGACAGAGATAGTTTCGTCATGTTAATCGCCAACGTCAAGGGGACTTGATAGGGCACGTTAAGAAGAAGTTGGACATGTGAAAAATCAAATATGTCACATTTGAGGTTATGTTGACTGATTTATTCTATTCAATTTTATTATTTTTCCTTTTAAATTAAAATAAACCATAATTAAACTATTTCTAATGTTAATTTCTTGTTTTTATATCAATAATAATAAGCAATAATTTAATAATTTTGACAACTGCTGTGACATATTTGATTGTAATTAAACATTTGACTACAATCAAATTTTGCTTAGCGTTCGAACAATCAGCCCTAAAAAAAAATTTATATTTCTAGAAAATACTTTGCTTTAAAATTCAAGCTCTTTCTTTAAATCACATGAGGAGTATTCTTTCCAGAATTTCCAGAAATACAGTAACAATATGGGCAAGGTCATAATTTCATTCCATGATTACTAGTCAATTGTTCCTGATGAAGTTATTATAGTCCAGTCGTTAGAGACCAAAAATGCCACTAAACCTCTAAAAATCATACAAACAAGATGAATGTGAATTTGGAAGCCCAAAAGAGATGCAAAAAAGTTGTCTCTCCTAACCCCGGGCTTCCCCCTGAAACTACCCTCGTATGAGCCAAAAAGGTGCCCCCTACCCCCTTAAAGTTGCTTGTGGAAACGGAAAATAAATCGTACGAATAATAGTTATACTTACTAGTAATAATAATATTGATGACAACAATAATAACAATAATTATAATTTTTAAGCAACTTGGATCAGATGCTGAAAACAGTAGAAAATTTCTCTAATGATATTAGTATGCACTTCGGTCTTGACAAGTGCCGTGTCTTAAATATAATAAAGAGAAGGTTCAACCCGGCGGATTCGATATGCACAATGGCCAGAACATCGAGGTCATGGGTGAAAATGATATGTAGAAATACGAAGGGTAAAACAGCTGCTTGATTCACACCTTAACGGTGTTTAGGAGGACGAGGACTTATGAATATTAGTGAGCAACAGATAACTAATTTAATAACTTATTTTGCATACAACATATAGTTGATACAACACCGATCCAACTGTGGGAACCTGAAATGCGCATCAATGATCTTACTAAGGACGGAAAGATGCGCACCTGGATGGGTAAACTTCTGCACAAGCGACATCCCAATGAGGTCAGTCAAGACCATGTCGACAATATAGCGTCGAACTATTGGCTGACATCAGGAAAGATGTTCCTTGAAACAGAAGGTTCATTACTGGTCATTCAGGATCAGGTTATACCTACTAAAAATTACCTGAAATATACCGTCAAAGACGCTCAGGTCCAAAATGACAAATGCTGATATGGATGTTAAGCTCAAGAAACCATCCAACATCTTACCGGGGGCTACCAGGCATTTGCTGCAACTGAATATAAGGAACGACACGACTCAGTAGGAAGGATCCTTTATCCAGAGATAGCCATCAAACTGGGACTTCTCCAAACAAACCATCTCCCATATTATCAATACGTTCCTGAGAGTATACTTGAGAATGACAACTACAAGCTATACTGGGACCGCACTATGCTCACAATAGACCACATCTCATACGAGTTAATAAACTAAAGAGACAAACAACATTAATTGATGTGGCGATACCCAACAACAATAAGCTTCGTGTTAAATAGAACAAAAAGATCGCCAAGTACAGGGTACTGGAAATTCAAATACCAACACAGTGGAGAATGGAAAGTACCCAGACAAATTCTATTATTCTCTCTACTACTTAAGTCGTTCCGAAGAACCTCCTAGAAAACATAAAAAAAAAAGCTAGGTCTGAATGAACATCTCTTTAAGACCATGCAGAAAGCTGTACTACTCTCAAGGTCCAGATGTTCAGGGCTCAATAACACAGAAAGAGTCTCACTAGAGCTCAATCCTTTTGATACCGTAGGTATCTGGGATCAGTGAATTTTCCCCTTAGAGGGAGTGTGAGCCGTATGGCTAAATCTGGATGTTTATTGCAAAATGATTTTTATTTAATGTACGAAATTGGCTCATTCATCGATTTCATCGGCCACATTCTCATCTACATCGACAAGGTCGTCATCGTCTAATTCCTCTGGTAATTACATACTTTGCTGCAACCCTTTGTGCAATTACATAATTTTTAACAAATTACTTGGGACGGGAGCTTGGTTCATTTGTATGGGAATAAATATATTTTGGCGGTCCTGAAACTAACCCCATTCTTCAGGTAGCAGAAGTTATATACAAGAATATAAAAATTTCTATGAGGATTTGCCTTTTAAAACTAAGTTATAAAAATAAGCATAGGAGTATAACTATAAAATGAACAATGGTCGTTTGTATATTTCGTCAAATACTGATCTATGAGGATACTGTAATTTTTGTTTGTGGGCTCTTGTATAATCTTACCACTCTCAATATTAAATAAGAAGAGGAACTAATGATGAACCGTTGCAAGTGAAGGCAGATTGTTAAATAAGCGAAGGCCCACCCTGGGCTATAGCGCTAGAGAGAAAGAAAGATACTTCTTGTATTTGATGTTCTCTCATTTACCTATCCATTTGTTTAAAACGCACCAAAGTCAAAAATCACTAGTTTTTATTAGTCGTAATGCACACAAATTTCAAGCTATTTTCGTTAAGAACAAAAAAACTAATAAAATAAAAAAATTCAATTTAAACCATCTTACCTTGTTATTTGAATTCAACAAGTGAAGCAAATCTCCTTTCTTCATCGAAACTTCTCTGGCAGATTTTTCTGTGTAATCATACAAAGCCTGAACAGTTTCTCTTCCAGTTACATCAACTACTGGCGGCTCTTGTTGCTAAAAAATCAATATTTTAATTCGTGAATTCTTAAATTAGGTTTGTTTAATTGAAACCAATTAAGAACATACGAAACGAGCGTAATTTAAGACATTTTGCAAAAGACCATGCCAAGCCACTTATACCAAAAGACCTCATTGAAATTATGGCTAATGCTGAAAAGAAAACTCCGTTCTTAGTAGTGTTTACTACAACATTTTTTGACTGAGAGAATCAAGCTAAATCCATGGTAAACACTAAAAACTTGCAGATATCTTCGGCTACTATTATTCCCGTAACATATAAAAACTTTAGTGAAGGTTATATAAAGAAAAGTTACAGTGATTTTGCTCCATGGCTTAAAACTTCAGTGATCAAACCTGGAATCACTAAGGCGAGTTTTGAGGAGTTGGAAATCGAGATGAAGGGTTTTACGAAAACCTTAGAAACTGCTGATTTTTAAATTATTAACCAAAGGTACTTAAGTAAATAAAATAATGTTAGCTTTATTTTCACTATAATTATTGTTAATTTGATCTTTTTCTTTTGACTTCTAAATGCAAGTAAATACACACTTACAACGTTATAACTTGCATAAATAATGGCACTTACAACGTTTTGTTATCTTAAGTGTTTTTAAATTAATTCACGCATAAACTATTTTATTTAACTAGACTTTAAATTTCTACGCCAATAGTGTTAATTGAACGAAAGTTTAATAATAAAAATATTAAGAATTATTTCGTTCATCATTTTTCCACTAAAACAGGTTTTTGTCTCTACTGAAAACTTTTATTTTGGGCACTTACAACGTTATGGTTTGGGGCCCCTCATTTTCTTTAAAGAAAATGATCTCTATCAGTACCAATCTCCAGTAATATTGTAAGTTCGCACAGTAAAAAATATTTAATGTTGGCACCTGCAAGTAAAAAAACATAAATACAATACAGCACTGCCTCTGCTACTATTGGCTCGGATATGTCATTGCTAAATGGGCAAAATAGGGAGAGGCGAAACTTTTATATTTGTTCTACTTGTCTATCAATAGTAACGTAGTATAATTTCATATCTTTTTGTTTTGTACTATTAACGTTAAAATATTACCGGATATATATAGGACAGACGAACAGAAACATAGACATTCACATAAATGAACACAAAGTTGTTCTTGGAAGTATAGTGACAGTTACAAAGACTATTATTTATGGTTTTCTTGTTTATTTTAATCAACAATTGGTTTCAATTAAACAATATGCATATACATAAAAAAGACAATTGTAACTTACCCTGCAGCTACGAGCTTGTTCTTTCAACGCGTCGATTGTGTTTCCAAAGGCAGCCAAATCGCTCATCAACGCCTCGTGTTTTTTCAAAAGAGCTTCAGAGGAATCTTCGTCCTTTCCGTAATCAGTGTTACTGACAATTGGCTCTTTTTCTCTCATCCAAGATTCAGCCTCGTTGGCATCAGCGTAATATTGGTGGGCTTGAAGAGAATCTTCGAGGTCTTGTTTGCGCTAAAAACGCAGTTGATTAGACATATTCAACAGTAAACTAGAAAGAAATACAGTGGTTTCGGCATACTTACTTGAGTGGATTTTTCCTTAAGAGAGTCCCAGTGGTCATTAAGAGCATTTACTCTATTTCTGATTTCATCACTAGCAAAGTGTTCATCTTCCATCATCTGCTTACCGGCGTCAATGACGGCTCTTATACGACCTTCATGGTTGTTAATTTCGGCCAAGACTGCCTGGTGTTTCTTGATCAAGTTTTGTACTCCAATCAAATCACGACCTATAACAATAAAACATTAAATATTGACCACTTTTGTATCTTCAAACAGTTACCTCTATTTGTGCTTGCAGCAACAGGTTCCTTTTCTCTAATCCAAGCTTCTTCATCCTCAACATCCCTAAACAACTGTTGAACTTGAAGAGAATCCAACAACCTTTGCTTTCTAACGGCCATCGGCGTTTGAAGAGCTGCATATCTGTCGGTCAAAACCTTTTGTTTGTGAGCGATGTTGTCGGCATCAAAATGGCCTCTTTCTACAAAACTGGTTAGCAGCAGAAGTGATGCTTTCGATTCTATCTTGATGGGATGCGACATCTCCCTCCAACAAAGCATGTTTCTTTTGTAAATTTTGCACTGAGGTCAGATCTTTGCCATAATCTTCTGACATAAGCTGACCTTCAATCTCAGATAGCCACAGCTCGATATCTTCGATTGTTCTGTTGAATTGTTGCTGTTGGCTGGCTTCTTGAAGTTTTGAATTCTTTTTATCTGTTGCTTGGACCAAAGTCTCCCAGAGGTTGACAATCTCTTCCATTCTTGATTGAATACGAGCTGAAACATTATTAAAATCAATATCGGCCCAATTGGCTGTTCACAGCTGTTTAACACTAGAAAGTCTGGCTTAGCATACCTACCTAGAAAGCCTGAAGGGATCATTTTGGACCCTTCAGACTTCTATGGTAGGTTTGTTAGAAAAACCATTTAATAAATTTAGTAAACAATATTTTTTTTGTTAAATAAATATTTGTATCAAAATATTAAGTCATAAAATTTGAAATTATTATTGCCTCAAATAAAAAAACTGCAATAACTTCAAATCTCAACAGGGGCCAAAATGGCCCCTCCGACTTTCTAGTGTTAATCAAACAATTCATTGACGGTACTTACGTGCAGCATAATGGTCAGCCTCGATGAGTTCTTGCCCAGTTGATGTAATATCTTCCATTCTCGATTTGTTGGCATTAAGTTCTTGTTCGAAATTTTGATGTTTCTGTACCTTGCCTCCCAAATTAGTAGGATCCAAATAACTCTCGTCGGTTGCGAATTTAAGTTTTTCGTTAATCCACCCTTTGGTTTCATCACAATCTCTTTCAAACTGTTGTAGTTTGTAAGCGTCCTCCAGAGTTTCTCTGCGAATGCTAGATTTTTCTTTAAGAGCCTTGCGACGTTCCAAAAGCTGAAAAAATAACAAATAGTCATTGTGAAATGCACTTTAAAAATCCAAAACTTACCATAGCGCGTCTTTGAGCTACATCATCAGCTGCATAATGTTCTCCATCTATCAACTTGGTAGCAAATTCATCTAATGCTTTAATCTTCTCTTCTTGTGCTGCCAAAGACTTTTCAAAATCTTCGTGTTTCTTGATAAGAGCTTCAACAGAGTCCAAAGAATCGCCAAGGTCTTCGTTGGCTAAGAAAGCTTCTTGTTTTGCCATCCACGTATCAGCCTGTTCTGTGTCTCTGTAGAAGACTTGCAAGTCCATACACTGCTCATATAAAATACGTCTTTCATCCCAAAGTGCTATAAGAAAAAATAACAGAATAGTGTAGGGATCCAAAAAAACAAGAGTGATACAGAGACAAATGCAGATGATGCAGTTTATTCTTTTGATACAACGTAAAAAAAACTTACCAATCAAAGATTTCTTGTCAGAGTCCAACATAGAAAGTTTTTCTTTTACTTCGTCACTGGCATAATGTCCTTTGTCTAAGAGAGCTTGACCAGCTTCGGTGGTGGCTTTAAAGCTGTCTTCTCTAGCGTCAATTTCGCCTCTGTGTTCTTGATGTCTTTCTAACAAGGCTTCGGCTCCTGCAACATCTTTCGCCAGTTCGTCTGCGGAAATAATGGCTTTCATATCGTTGATCCAGTGGACCAAGTCTCTGAAATCGGCTAGGAAGCGGTGAAGGGCGTATGATTCTTCCAACTTTTCGCGTCTTTCCTATATTTGGTAAAATAAATTTTAAAAAATACAATCATATACTTTTAAAAGGTCTTATTTAAATAAATTCTTAATAAAATCACTTACTTTGGCTTTTGCAGTCAAACTGTGCCAATAATCTTCAATTTCTGACCTCTTGGCTTGAATGACATCGCCATGGTCGTCGTGGATAGCTCCCAATCTATCTGCTTCTTTACCCAATGTAGATACTTTATCTTCCAAAGCTGCCAAATCTCTTTCAACTCCTTCGTGCTTACGCTGCAAAGCTTGCACACTTGCCAAATCTCTACCGTAATCATCTGAAGATAGCACAACGTCCTTTTCGGCGATCCAAGCAACAGTTTCGTCGGCATCTCTGTTGTAACGCTGGATTTCATGAGCGCCATATAGTTTGTCTTGACGCATCAACGTCATTTGTTTGAGGCGTTGCCAAGCATTGTTTAATTCTTCTTTTCTTGTAATAATTTGGTCTCTCTCTGGGTGTCCGTCATGTAGCAATTTATCAGCCAATTCATTGACTTCTGTAACTCGGTATTCTTGGGAAGCCATGTCCTTTTGGAATTCATCGAATTTGCGCTGCAATACTTCTACGTGTTCTAAATCATGGCCAAATTCTTCGGCGGAAAGAAAAGCGCTTTTTTCGTTAATCCAGAACATAACTTCGTCACAGTGACGAATAAACTGGACAAGAACGAGAGCTTGTTGGAGTTTGGTGCCTTTTTCGGCCAGTTTGGAAAGAAGTTGTTCCCAAAGTCTATGAAGTTCCTCTGGAAAGTAAAGCATCCAATAACTTTAAAGTTTCAATAGACAATAATGTAAATTAATATAAATGTAGATATAATAATTACTTACCCAAACGTCTTCTGATGGTTTCGCTCTCATAATGGTTTTGATTAATCATCTCTCTACCAGTATTGTCTAAAACGACGATAGCATTGCTATGGGCAGCAACTTCAGCTTCGAAGGCTTGATGTTTCTGAATCTTAGCTTGCAAATTGGTAGGATCTTTGTAACTTTCGTCACTAGCTGCCTGCAATTTCTCCAAAATCCATGATTCCAATTCATCGGCATCTCTCTTGAAGTATTGGAACCGTCTGGAATCTTCTAACTTTTCTCTCTTTGCTCTAGCATCGGCTTTGAAGTTGTCGTAACGGGATAAGACTTCCTGACGACGTTCTTGGATATCCTCAGCTGTTTCGAGGATCTTAACCTCCTTCGGAGGGGGGATTTGATCCATGTTTTGGTGGTATTCGGGTCTCTATAGGTGTGGATGTTTCTCAATCGTAGTCGTTAATTTGAAGAGGTCATAAAACTGAAAAAAGAAACATTTTTTTAGCAATATATTCAAGAAATAGTTTGTAACTGATTTAGACCTAAGTACAATGCTCCAATATCTGTGTGACCACTTTTTTAAAGTATGATGACTTTGGTTTGGTCAAAATTGACCAAACGAATGGGTGAAATTGATAAAAAAATTCTGTGAAACTCTATGAAAACGCGGTGCAAGGTAAGCAAGCACCGAGCACAATGGAAGACTAACTCAAGCATTGTGTTCGACTAGGGTCCCTATTATAATTAACATGGTTCCTAAATGTTATTAACTGGTTGATGAAACGAACAAAGATTAGACGCATTGAAATACTTGTTAAATACAACACAACAGTATCAAAAACCAATTGCAATCTAAAACCAACAAATTAGCTAACAAACATTGTTTGTGGTGAAGTTTCATAGTAGTTTTTACACAGGTTCATATCAGGGATTGGTTAAATAAATATTTGCAATGAAATACCTCGCAGATACACCACTGAATGAATTTTGAGCTTCCGAACGTTTCGATCGTCGGCTAATTCCGGTAACTGAAGGCCAAAGTATGTCATTTCACGCACCCCATCATAATAGATTATACACAACTGAAGTATTGATTAATTTTACTATCTGGGAACATGGCCAATAGCTCAGAAGGTAATGGTTATGGTAGATCGGGAAAGCTCAGAAGGTACTGAGGATATAATATGAAGAAGAATAGGTCTGTCAAGGAAAACATTTAACATTTTAATAAGATTTACAAGTCAAGGCCAATAATAACTAAGATATAGTTAGAAAAATGTTAAGTTCATTTGCAACAAAATTGTAAAAGTCTGTATCATAATTTGTATTCTGTTTTTACTACAAAATTAACAGATCAATCGTAAACTTTTTGATCGCTTTTATCAAAAGAAGTGAATAGTTTGGCAGGTTGGTTGATTGGGGAAACTTTAGTAGAATTAATTAGAACATAGAGAAGGATCTTTCCCTATCATATTTAGGACAATTCAAAAGTATGATTAAATCTACCAACGTTTTAATTTCAATGGTGTAATTATAGAATTTATTAAATGGGTATCAATATGAGTTTTTGGGAATGTGGATAGAATTTTTCACACAAAAACAATGTTACGTCACTATTTATACAAACTGACGTCACTTGCATTTAAAATTTATATGACATCAACCTTGGGGCTGAAATTTTCCTAACACAGCTGAAATAACTACACCCTTACGGAGCTGCTCGATCTTTCATAGGCATCAACATGTTGTTATAACAAGAAAAATATAATCGTGATTACATTAAGAATTTTATAATTACATATTAATAATGTAAATTTTATGAAACAATAATTCTTAAATCTTAGTACTAAAAAAAATCATACAAATGTCAATGAGATTTGAGGAATTGTCATAAATACTTATGAGTGATGTCAACTATAGTATGAATTTTGTTTGTATGTTGATTTTTGTTATGTAATGTGTAAAAAAGATTCACCAAGGCGTGGACTTATCTAACTTCCTAATATTGCAGTAGAGAAAACTTTATTTTTAAGAAATTATATTGCAGAAAAGAAAGCATCTTTGTATAAGTTTGTTTTCATTGATGAAATATGGATCTTCCAATGCCTCTTTTACAAAAATTCACTTGAATCAAACTTGAATACAAAATTCACTTGAATTTTAAAATAAAATCACTTGAATACAAAAATCCCTTGAATTTTAAAATAAAAAATCGCAAATCGTACAAAAAAGTGTAGAAGATAAAATCTGACAACTAAATGCATAAAACTTGTTTGGTAAGGCTATTTGGGGTGGGGTAATTCCACATGACGTCACATACAACATCTATTTTGATGTACCACTCTATGTAAAACAGCAAACAGTGATTCTGATGAAGATATTTATAGTTCAGACAGAGTATGTAGCGACAAAGAATAACAATTTTGCGGTTTGAAGTTAGGTTAAACTTTCTATTCCTTTCCACAACCACATTTCTTTATTCTACCACCACAACCACAATCTCTGCGTAAACATTGTCTAAAATTGATTTGGTTTTCACCGTTTTCGTAATATTCACATCACAATCCCATGAATCTTTCTTTTTTATTTACGTGAACATGACTAGGCACTTCTCGCTTGTCATGCTATACATAATATACAATTTTTTTCCAAATAATCTCTTATGAGTTTGTACCCCTATAAAGCAGCTATCCTCTAAAAGGTCAAATCAATTGATCGCTATTGAAGAGTTTTACCCTACTGGTAATGCGACTCATTGTATTATCTAACATTTTATTAATTATTTTTCTTCTAAATGATTGTATTTTTTGTAGTTGCTAGTAATAATTTAATGTAATTTGTGTAGGTATATTTATATGCAAAATTGCAAAATATTGAATATAGCAACAGTATATTTATTATAAGCATATTATTCCAAATATTATTCAGTAGAAAAATTTAATGACTTACTCATGCTGCTATTTAAAGAGAGGAATGGAAGGTATGCAATTAAGAGAATTGAAATGTCAACTGGTTTGAACTTACTGACTTCCCAAGTTCAACTATTTCCTAATCATCTAGTCATTGAGATAAAACTAAAATTTTATTTATTATATGTTGAGACAATATGGAATAACTGATAATAATTATAAATGTCATACAATACCTTAATGTTTTCCAACTGTTTACTTTCAAAAATTGATAAGAAACGTTTGATAAGGTCTTATCAATCTATAGAAACAAATTAACATTTTTACTCAATGTAGAACTGGATAGGATATAATTTATTTTTAACAATTTACTCATAATGTGAAATTATAAAAAACTGATAGAAAATTCGGAATGATTGCTTATTTTGGAAATACACGCACACTTCTTGTTGCAACATTTACTAGGCGAGCAATTTGCCCCCGTAAGCAAAGGATAAACTGACTAATTTTTTGCATTTTTAATGCATCAAACCTTTTTTATTCCATTCTATATATTTTTCAAAATTCAAATGTATTTTTTTAAATTGTTCAAGTGGGCCGGTAATTGATATTAACAAATAACTTAACAAATAACTTAATTAAAAAAAAAAAACAAAAATAACATAAAAAAACGTAATAATAAGTATTATAAAAAAAACTATTTCACTGAATCGCTCCGGAATCAATTTTTTGACGTATCTCATCTTTTTCTTTCTAGATAAGTTTTCGAAAAATGCTTTATTTTTGAGTTATTTCCATTTTTGGTTGAAAAAATGCCCTTATTAGTGATTTTTGGAATTTTTTTCTAAAAAACTTATAAGACGAATTGCAATTCTACAAAAAGCTTTATTGTTTTTAAACCTTCAAGTACAAGTAAGAATATTTTGACAAGGATAAATTGTTTCTAATCTATTTCAGTAATGTAATATACAGGGTGCGGCATTAGTGCGAGGAAGTTCAATTACTCATTTGTCGTAAGGAATACGAAAAAAATTATTTATCTAAAAGTTGAAGCACCGAGCGAAATATACTCTAAAATATTTTCAAACATACAGGGTCACCCACATTGACAGGGTGGAACAAACTTATCTTTTTTAATGGAACACCCTGTATATTTTTACATTTTTCTACTCTTCTCAATGTTCTCGTTTTTTTCAATATCAGGTTTGACAGTGTCATACATGTTAATTTAAAAGATAGAGTAGAATTGCAGAGATTTGATATCAAAATATATAATTATGTTCAAAAGATTGTTAATATAGTGTACTGTTGTCTAAAATTATTAACAGCGAAATATTTATTTTTGATATACAGGGATGGTCAAAACTCAGAATGAGAATTTTTTGAGTTGTCTTAAATGGAACACCCTGTATTTTAGTATTATAATGGAACGTTATTTTAAAATACTTTATTTTTTGTTGAGCATTCCCTCTATATAACTGCGAAAGATAGAGAATTTGGTAGATCTCAAAATTGTAAGCACATATCAGAAAATGAACATAGGATTCAATGGAACGATTCAAGTATATGTAGTCCTAAAAGAAACAGAAAAATCAAAGAAGCGGCTCTAATTCCTCGACAGAATGCAGTAGGATCTGGTTACCCATATTAAAAGAGAAGTTCTTCTTCTAAATGTGTCTATATAGAGATGTTGACGACCACATTGACGCATCTTATTCTAATCACAGCAGCTCGAAATAGATCAGTTGACGTTAGACAAATTAATTTCCTAAGATTGGCCAGCCAGGATATACATCTACATCTGGGGCCTCTCTTGCCCTCAATATTGACCTGTAGAATGTAAGTATTTATCATTACGCATGATGTAGCCAAAGTAAGCCAATTTTCTGTTTTTTATGGTGTTAATAATTATTTGTCTTTTCTTAGCCTCTGGAGAATAGTTATGTTACTTATGTGGTGTATACATGAGACCCTCAACATACGTCGATAGCACCACATTTCAAATGCCTCCAATCGTTTTATGGCATCTTCTCTAAGGCTCCAGCTTTCTACTCCATAGAGGACACTAAAGATGTAACATCTAAGAATTCTTATGCATATATTAATACTTTAAAGATAATTGCAGAGAATCTTCCTAAGGCTGTTGAAAGAGCTTCTGGCTTTTTCAATACAAGTTTTTATTTCGTAACTGTGATCCTAAGTATCCTTAATATTGCAGCCGAAATAGCATATTTTTCCACTCTTTCTAACGGTGTATCGTTAATTGTAATTTGGGCGTGTAAGGTGAAACTCATTTAGGTAAGTCACAAAAATATTTCTGTTCATATACTGGAAAATTGTAATTGTATTTCGTAAGTCACAAAAATATTTCTGTTCATATACTGGAAAATTGTAATTGTATTTCGTAAGTCACAAAAATATTTCTGTTCATATACTGGAAAATTGTAATTGTATTTCCAATTTAGAATGATGAGCAGTATGTGCAAGTACAACAGAGAATTGTAAAACTGTTAAAAAGACAACTCTATTGAAGACAATCCAATCAGCTTCTGAGATAAAAATCCTACTGCTGTTGACGAAAATTTTCAAATTACTGACAATGAAAATGATGTATAATTAATATATTTTTATTCTATTATATTTTTCAATGAAAAGGAAAGTCTTCATTTTTGACTAGACAGACCTGGCCACTGCTGCCACTACGATATATAGCTCAATATCTTGCTTGCTACACCCTATTATGTAGTATAATATATTGTAAATAGTACCGCCATCTCTAATTCGTGCATCTCGGACTGCTTTTTTCAAGGCAATATTAAATAGGAGGCAAGCCAGCCCATCCCCTTGTGTGAATCCATCCGTTATCTCAAAAATTCTCACTAACACTTGCTTGTGTTGAAATATATTGTAGAAAAAAATGCAGTAATTAAAAATAATCTGTCATTTTATGATATATTTTGCAAAGTGTATTTAAAAAATATATTATAAAATTATACCTTCAACAAGTGCTATCTCTTATCTAATCATATATAAAACAGTTATTAATCATGTCTATAAATGTTTTATGATCAAAACTATTTTTTTACACTGCACATTACAAAATACTTACATCATAACGCTAGTTATTATTTAATAGTTCCCTATAAAACTAAAAATTAAACTTCCTCTTCATAACAACATTCCCTCAACTACTACACTGATCCATTGTATCTAAATTTAGCTATGTGTAATCCCCAACAGTTGATGGTATCACTGTTATGTAATTTAAAATAACAGACACTACATTGACCTTGATAAATATGATCATGATTCATTTATAATATAGGTAATTTGTATAGTTTAGTGAACTTCATATTTACACCATTTCCACATATTTTAATAAACATGTTATTTAACATTGGTTATAAAATTTTGTGTGCATGTTAAACAATATACAATGCATTCCAAGTTGCTTATGACAGTTATACACACTGAAAGTTGCTTTATCTCAGACTAAGTGAAGTCAATGGAGAAAAAAAAATTAATTCAATTAAAAATAAAGAAGCATCTTTAAGGGTGCATTCGTACAGTCGCTCGACATTCGATATGATCCAGGAGAAAAGTAGTTGTAATTTACATCATATTTAATTTCTTTTTTTTTTTGTTAATTCAGAGTTGTCTCGATATAAAAGTGGGTATTCAAAAGTTTTAAAAAAATTGGTTAGAAATTATTTTGTACAAGTTTTAAAATTAGAAATTTCATTTTTTAACTAACTTTATTTCTAATTTAAACCCAATTACGATCGTAACCCAATTACCGAATATATCACAAACTGGACATAGACGTGAATGATACACAATTTGGTTTTCGTAAAGGCCTAAAAAAGGCGTGAAGCTCTTTTTTCACTTAATATACTGATACAAAGATGTCTGGATGTCAATCAAGATATATACACATATAAAGGCTAGAGCAAATTTCAACAAAATGAGAAAAGTGCTATGTACAAGGAATTTAAAATTGGAACTAAGAGTTAGGTTGGCAAGGTGCTATGTTTTTTCAACTTTGTTTAATGAAATGGAATCTTGGATGTTGAATGCGACATGAATGAAAAAACTGGAATTATTAGAGCTGTGGGTGTATAGAAGAATTTTGAAAATATCATGGACAGAACATATCACAAACAAAGAGGTTCTGAGAAGGATGAAATAAAAAATATAAGTTTTAAATACAATTAAAACAAGAAAATTGGAATATCTCAGACATATTACACGTGGAGAGAAATACACCTTGCTCTAACTGATAATGCAAGAAAAGAGAAGCATTGGGAGGCGTAGAATGACACGGCTGCGCAACCTGAGAGAGTGGTATGGATGTACATCAAATAACTTTTCAGAGCAGTCGTCTCAAAAGTCTGAATAGCTATGATGATTGCTGACCTCTGCCGCGAAGATGGCACTTGAAGAAGAAAACGATCGTGGTACCCCGCATACTTTTTGAAAACGTAAAAATGCATATTTTGATATGCTTTTCTTTTGAACGAAATTTGAAAACTATAAGCGGTGGTTAGTGTACAAAAGGTAATGGTAATAGTCTTCGGTACTTATAAAAAAATATAATATATAAAAATAGTTTAAACTTGGTTCACTGGAATTTTATTAAACATAATAAAAACTAATTTATTTTCAAAAAACTAAAGAAAAATTCAAAATAAAATTAATTGAAAAGTCGAAAAAATAAAAATTGTTTAATTTTATAAATCGTAATTACAATGCAAAAATAGTAGCTTTTTTACATTTTTTTATTATAATCTGTTTCTGCATTCAGTTACTTTTTAACCAGCTTTATAAAATAAGTATTCGCATGGAACAGAAGTGGCACATAAATACTTTTTGGATAATTTATATAACCAGATCCACTCTTTGCCTCTCGCACCTACAAACGGGAGGATCCTTTTTCGTTTCAAGGTTTGACTCTCCAGAAAACATTGAAGAACATTCAGAAATTGTATTGAAATGTAACCAAACAGCACTTCTTTTTGAAAGTCCATTTTGATTTTAGATAATTTATTAGATAACACCATCACACCATCTTGGTCTTTACATTACACTGCTTCTCTTTTCCCCACTCATTTGAGTGTCCCCTCGCTACAAAAATTCTCCGGATCTAGCACATGTGTCTCTTTTCATTGATCATGGGCAAACATGTCACTAATCATGCAGATAGCTTGTCCATATCAAAATGTTCTGGAAAAATCTGGAGGTTCACCATCAAACACACTCTTACGATTAAGAATGAATTCAGCTTTCTCAAATTTCACTATTGCTAATGACTTATCAGACCCACCATAAACAGGAAGACATTTCCATTTTGAATATTCACGATTCATTGAATTCGAACTTTAAATACAAACCCACTAAAACCAAAGTAATTGTTGTTTTAGCTTGAAATTTTGACAGATGTCATTCTTGGATAACAAATTTTTAGACAGGGAGCAATTCATTCTCATATAATACCATCTATTGAAGTCCAGTTTAACATCGAATCAATCTTTTACTATGAATTTTGTCAATTATCTCAGAAATTCCATTAAAATGCAAACAAAATGTGAATATATAAAATACCACTAAGCTTTTAAAAAAATATATTAATAGGTAATCATCCAGTTTTTGAATACAGTAAAACCTTGATATAACAGACTTCAGGTACAATGGACTTCGGGTACAACAGACCAAAAATCCGGTCAAATGTCAAAAAAAATTAAAAACATCCTGTTAATATTATATATGCTTAAACCATCCCATACCATTGCAGATCCAAATTTCCTGATTTCTGTAGGACAATACAAAATAATGCCAGAGAACATGTAGCTGACGAACATGTTTTACAATGGCTCGAAGTAGGTGACCCTGGGTATAACTTCATGATTGAAAGTAAAATAGCAGATGAAGTTATGAACCCAAAAAATGAGGATGAAAGTGAAGATAGGGAAGACGAAGACAAAACAACACTGCCAACAATGAAGTTTTCAGAGGTAAGATCACATCTCGACGATCAAACAATATTTATTGATTTTTCATCAGATATCAAAGTCCAATTGTATTCTACGCATCTTCGTAATTTTAGAGAGTTGATCACAAAAAAAAAACAGCAAACTTCGAAAGTTCAAACCAAACTTTATTCTTTTTTTAAAACAGGATTACTGATAGCAAGCACGCTGGTATGAAATAGCAACTCCACTTTACAAAGAATGTCTGAAGACAAATAAATAGAATTTTGTTTGTATTTTGTATTTTAAATATTTAACAATTAATAAAGTGTACATATTTTCCAAAAAAAAGGCTTTTGATTTATTTTAAACATATTTTTATATAACTGACTTTCGGCTTTAACTGACACTTCTTCCTCCCAAATATTACATTATATCGAGGTTTTACTGTACTTGTAAAATAAAAAAGTAGTTACATGGCATTACCATTAGAAAGTCAGTTTGATAAGAATAACTTTTAAACTATTAGACCCGGAAAAAAAACTGAAAAAATCTTATAAAGCTTTTCTAAGTTCTAGAACTACCATAAAAAATGGTTCAAATAAAAACTGCAAATCTTAAAAAGTTCTTTAATTTGTGTTTCTAAATTAAAACACATAAACGATTGACAGATAATTGATAGTTGATCTGAATGATCAACCAAATAGTTTATAAGTTATTCAATTTGTTTATCCCAGAGAACCATTATTTAAACAACTGTACTTGCCCAAACAGTGACTATAGAGGTTATTAGCATATCACAATATATTCTTTCTGGCTTCAATTTTAATATATATTAAATAACTGTTTGAAAAACAGCTGACTTTTTAGCTCATAAACATGTATAACTTTGATATTTTTTATCATGCGCTTGTAAGTGGGCTCACGAAAATATAGTGAAAAACCACAATTTTTTAATTCACACATAATAAAAATTTCATTAAAACATCTACAGCAAGAATAAAGAATTACTCATTATAAATAGATTCAAAAAAGATTTTAACCTACTTATATATCAGAAAGCAAAATGCTTATGAATACCTGGTGTTGTTCCCTTGGTGGTGATGGTGCTTATCCTTTAGATTTAGAGTTTTAAATAGGTATCTCAAAAGAAAGACAAAAATGCGGGCAGCTTTGTTTGTATATTTTATTGTTAACAACTCAAAAGGCTGAGTTATCTCGTCTATCAACCATATCAAAGTCTTGAGCCATTAATTGAGCTACTGTTTGTACACAGATCTCATAATATATCTTGAAATAAAAATGAAATTTGCTATAAATTATACTATTACTACTAAAAATAAAGCAGGTTCATTAAATTAATAGGATCTCAAAAAAGTGAACATTCACAATCATTGCCTAAAATAGACACCAACTAATACATTCATAATTGAGATCAAGGTTCAAAAAGACATAATACCTTAGCAAACTTCTAGAATCATCAAGTAATTCATTCCATAACTTTGATCCTGAAATAATGTGTTCTAGGGTGGAGTTGAGTAGGCAGTTCAATGCACCATATACAGTAACCTAGTTTTCACTATTGTAATATTCACTCTCCCAAAAATGTATTTAAGACTCTCAACAGTTGAAAGTCAAAATTTCCAAATAATACAATAAGCTAGCTCTGGATTCTATCTATCACATTTGTTTTTTTTTTTAAGAAAATTGAAATAAAAATATGGAATAAAAGGCATTAAGACAAATGTCAAATGTACTATCAGATATACATTAATAGACAGCATATGGTATTAAATGGAATTAAATGCTATAAATTCCAATCAGAGATAGTATTTTACCAATTTTCAAGAAGTCTGAAAAAACAGACTGTCATCTAATAGAAACTGGATTACATTGGATGTTTTGTAGCACCATAAATATAAGTCAAAATATGTTTAAAATTGTAAATTTTTATATTATTCAATCCTTAAATACACCTCTGTATGTAAAAACACCCACGCAAAACATACTACATATTACATATTAAACAGTCAATCAATTCCAGTGACCCTTTTCTAACATTTCAAGTGGGGTGTGGTACAACTAATTTTTTCTAGAAACATCTTATAAAAATGAGCATAACACCAACATCAAAAACTTACCGTTTTTTTTATCAAGAATAATGTCCACAGTAACTTATTCACTGGTCTTCACTAAATAATAATTTTCTGGAGCCACAAAATGGCACCTCCTTGATAATCAACCTCCTTATTATTATCGATGACGTCATAATCAAATACCGGTGCAATGAATCCGCAACCGCAATGCGCAAGCTACAGACGGTGTTGTCACGTTTAAAAAAATTTAAATTTGTACTAAAATATTTTTATTGTCGGCTCAAGATAAATAAAATCCAAGGCTTTTACAACTACATTCGGAATTAACTAATAGTCTTCCGAATTTGGATCGTGTCTATTTGAACGACACGTTTGGGTTTATCTCAGAATGTAACCAGAGGTGAAATGGAAATCTGGATTAGTGGATTCACGTTTATACTCTGGATATGAGCAGGAGAATCTTTAATCACAGTAACCCGAGGGTGACAGTGATTAACAGAGTTCCCTGCTGAAGGAGCTACTAGGGAGCGTAACTTAGAGATAGATTCACATACGGACTATTCAAAAAAGGATTCACATGCGGGGTTATCCAAAAAGACACCGTCCAAACTAGGAAAACGATTAAAAAATGCCTGGTTGCACCAACATATCTTAAGCTTAAGACGTGCCTTAGGTAGGCCTCAGCTCAGAGTGATCGACTGACCACGACCAAACCGTCCGACGGCAATCAACCAAATTTTGTATTTTTATTTTTAAGAATATAAAGAATATTTTAGAATCGAAAATTATGGTGCAACGTAAGTGAGAGTTAAGGCAGCCCTAGCTATAAGCAGAGCTGGGCTAAGCTGGAGCTTAAGATCTATTGGTGCAACCCGGCATAAGATTTAAAATCCAAACTTGTAAAACTTAATTTACCATTAAATCATTAACTGTTTGACTAACAATATCAACTATTATACACAATATTCATCTTATGAGTAACTTAATATCCAATAATTACTCTTCACGAAATTTTTTTGTTCCGTAATGCAAGTTTTGCCTGAAAAAAATTCATTTATAATTTTTATAACTAAATTTCGAAATCGCTTAGGCAACATTGTAAATACCTTTTGATAACTATTTGACAACTAGTGTCACCTACTGCCACTTTCTAGAACCAAATTTAAATTTTTTATGAATTAAATTTATTATAAAATATAAATATAAGCTCGAATCTTTTAACTATTGTAGTAATTAACTTCGTAATGATTACCTTTTTATGTACATAATATGTTTAAAAATAAGTCTTCATTTTAAATTACCGTGAATTAAAAACAAATATGTTAAGTTAAAATATTTGACAGCTCTTTAAAAAAAGACAACAAAATCTTAACCCTACTTTAAGATAAAAATGTACATGAATATTTTCAACAATTTGGAGTATAAGCTCTTCTATCAAAAAATAATTAGAAACTATTCTTGGATTTCTCCTAAGGGTTTTGATACCGGAATAAAAGTATATAATTGTGTGTCAAGACAAAAAGAACCTTTAATTTTAAAGCGTAAAAATGTAGTAACATGGTACACTTGTGGTCCTACAGTTTATGATTCTTCACATATAGGACACGCCAGTTGTTTTATAAAATTGGACATAATACAGAAAATATTAAGCAACTATTTTAAATACAATGTGATTACTTGCATGAACATTACTGATGTAGATGATAAAATAATAAAAAGAGCTTTTGAACTGGGAGTAAAATGCACTGATTTGACGAAGAAGTATGAAAAAGAGTTATGGTCTGATTTAAAGTGTTTAAAAGTAGAAGAACCAACTATTGTCTTAAGGGTTACAGAACAGATTCCCTACATTATTAATTTCATAGAAAAACTTATCGCTAATGGTCAAGCTTATAAGGCATCAGATCATTCTGTTTATTTTGATGTAAATAGTGTCAAGAAGTATGGCAAGCTGCAGAATATTGGCACCCAAGAAGAGAATAAACCTTCTGGGGTGAAAAAACATGTTATGGATTTTGCTTTATGGAAATCCAGAAAAGATGAAGATCTTTTCTGGAAGAGTCCATGGGGTGAAGGTAGACCTGGGTGGCATATTGAATGTTCTGCTTTAGCTTCAAAAATATTTGGTAATGGTATACTGTATTTCTTCTGTAAAAGCATAATTTTAAGATTTGAGTACTAAATGTTTCATAAAAGCATTTACAAGCTAAAGTCAAAATTTTATCAATGATCTTTAATTGAATCTCAGGAGTATGAGCATTTTAACATGCAACATATGTTATTTGACTATAGAACCCTATGTTGTCTCAATGTTACATTGTTAATAAATATGTATATAACAATTTTAGGGTCCAACATTGATATCCATGCTGGAGGTATCGATCTGAGGTTTCCACATCATGAGAATGAAGAAGCTCAGTCCTGTGCTTACCATGATACACCACAATGGGTTAACTACTGGATGCACACAGGTCATTTACAACTTAGTAATTCTGAAAAAATGTCAAAATCGCTTGGTAATACATTACTGATCCAAGAAATGCTAAAAAATGTGTCTCCAGAAGTGTTTAGAATGGCATGCAGTATGTCTCGTTATGAATACAATATGGAATTTAGTGAAAAATTAATAGCGACAGCTAAAAGCAATTATAACAATCTTAAGAACTGTATACAATCTTGTAATGAATTTAAAAATGGCTTTTTAAAAGCCAGTGTTAATAGTGAATTATTAAAAGAACATATTCATAAATGTTCGAATAATATTCATAGTGCCTTATGTGATGATTTTGATACTCCATCTGTGATAAAATATTTGAATCAACTAGTTTCGACTACAAACAGTATGTTGCATTCCACACCATCCTCTGTGGATCAGCAAGGTTTAGTATCAATTCTTGAGGTGCAACATTTACTTTCAAGTATTTTAGAATCATTTGGTTTTAGATTGAATGATAGTGAAGTTATATCTAATGACTTTAACGAAATTGTTGATGTTTTAAATGTATTTAGGCAGGATGTTAGAAATTTGGCTATAGTTGGTAAAAATAAAGAACTATTACAACTTTGTGATAAGGTTAGGGATAATGCCAAAAAATGTGGTATAACTTTTAAAGATCGAGGGCAAGTTTCTTCCTGGAGTTTGTAATATAGAAATTTTAAAAATATTTGTTAAAGTTTTTATTATTTACAATTGTCTGCCATTTACTTATATTTTTTACAATGTAGCTTAATTGGCTGTCTTTCAATATTGGTTTACAGAAGAATCTTACAAATATCATTGATCCAAAGAGCAAAAATGAGCTAGAAATAATCAAGAAAACTTTAGTACTTGGAGATACGATACAAAAATATTTAGAGTTCTTAATTTTTGAGCAATTCCATAAAGCGCCATCTACAAGAAAAGAAAACTTGAGTACTTAGGAGATATGATACAGAAATATTTGGAGTTAACACAAAGATTCACAAAGATTTCCAACCTCTTGATAGAAAATAAAACTAAAAAAAAGTTGAAGAATTATTTCCTTGATAGTATTGAAAATGTAAGTGTTAAGTACATAGATCTCTATGTTTATATTCTTAGATATTAATTTCTTTGAAGCGGGCAGATCAAATCAAATTTAAGCCAAACAATTCCTACAAAATTGAAATACTACATAGATGGAGATAATTATTTAAGGAAAAGTTTGAAAAAAATGTAGATCCACTATATGACGGAATTATACTGGATCAAACAAGCAGTTACCAGACTAAAAAACAAGTCACCTGGATTAGACATTAGTGCAGAATTAATAAAGGAAGGTGGAGACTCTCTATTGAATGCAATACAAGAACTAATAGTGAACATATAGAATAATAAACAATTTCCACAAGACTGGAATACTGAAGTAATTATCCCACTACATAAAAAGGGAGATCAGCTTCAATGTAAAAACTACCAGGCAATAACGCTACTAACTGTGGCATATAAAACACTGTCAAATATTGTGTATGACTAATTGGGACGATATACAGAACAAATAGTTGGGGGAGATCAATGTGGTTTCCGCAATAGATCTTCGTCTTTAGGCAAATCTTTGAAAAGACTAGTGAATTTAATATAGACACACATCATCTTTTCATTGATTTTGGGAGTGCCTATGATGGCATCCATTGAGAATTCCTGATGCATGCACTAAAAGAGTTTAATATTCCAACTCAATTCATTCATGCAAAATTCGAATTCAAAACGCACTGACAGATCCAATCCATGTGAGAATGGGCCTATAACAGAGAGATACCCTATCCTGTATTCTAGTAAACATCACATTAGAGAAAATAATTAGAGAGTCGAAATTAAACACCAGAGGAACAATAATAACAAAAAGTGTACAAATATTGGCATTTGCAGATGATGTTGATATCATAGCTAGAAACGAAAGAGAGATGATAGAAGCATTTAATGCGATAAAAGAGTGGCACAAAACAGTGGCCTAAACATTAACGAAATAAAAACCAAATACATGAACGCCAGTAAATCGACAGACCAAAGAAACCTACAGAATCTGACAATAGGTGAAATAACATCGAAAGCGTGAAACATTTTACATATCTAGGTTCACTAGTTACCGCAGATAACAATGTTAGTGAAGAAGTTAAGAGAAGAGTACATATCGCTAATAAAACATATAATAGACATCTAAGATTTAATATCACAAGAAAAACCAAATGCAAAATATACAAGCCCCTGATAAAACTGGCTCTTGTATATGGATCAGAGACATGGACACTGTCAAAAAGCGATGAGAACCTATAGATACGTTTGAACGAAAAATCAGGTCAAAGGTCAAATCAGGAGGTCAAAGGGAAGACCCAAACTTAGATACATGAAACAAGATCTGAAAACACTTAAGATTACCAACTGGAAAAACAAAGCAAGGGACAGAACAGGATGGCGGAAAATCCTAAAACAAGCCAGGGCCCAGAAAGGGTTATCGAGCTACTGGGCGACAAGGGTTTTCTGAACCTGACAACCTTAGAGAAGAACTTGGCCATCTGCAAAAAACCCTTGTCGCCAACGGTTACTCCAAGTCCACAATTCAAAATATTACACACCGACATCTACATCCCCCTTTACACCCTTGGACGACAAATTCAGAATCTTCGGCTAATACTCCAGTGGCTTTTCTTCCGTATATTCGAAATGTCACTGATAGGATTGGCAAAATTCTTCGCAAAGAAGGTATCAGGACTACTTTTCGACCACCCAAGAAAATCTCACAATATCTACCCTCTCCTAAGGACCCATTACCGCCCCTATCTTCCTGTGGTGTCTATTCTATTCCTTGTTCATGTAGACATGTGTATATTGGCGAAACTGGTCGTTCCGTCAAAACTCGGATTCAAGAGCATCAAAGATGCATTCGATCAGGTCTTCTCTCCCATTCTGCAGTTGCAGAACACTGCCAAGAAACCGGTCATTCCATATTGTTCGAAAAAACCCATATTATTTCTAAGAGCCCCTTCTTTTATTCCAGGAAAATCCGCGAATCTCTAAAGATCCGAAAAAATCCACATAATATCAATCGAGAGGAAGGATACTACTTGTCTCCCATCTGGAATCTCAGTCTAGAGCCGCCGTCCGGTCCCGCTACCACGATGCAGCCACATGATTGGCCAGCGCGCGCTTCTTGACGTTCGCGCCACGGAGTGTGCCGATACGTCCCGACACGACAGGTCACCGCGACTATAAATAGAGCGGTAGCGGAGTAATCGTCGGATTCACTCCCCGCCTCTCGACACGTTAGTGTTCTGAGCTGTTGGACGTGAATCCCTGTCCTGGCATTTGGTTTTCACCTCTGGCTGCGTTACGTAGTTGAGTTACTGTGACCAAATGTGAGTACCCTGTGATGGGTAGTTACCGTTGCTAACTACCCATCTTCCTGTCTTTTGATTTCTTTTTCTTTGTTCTCCTGAAGAAGCTACATACAATTGTAGCGAAACGTCGAGATGAACCCACATTTGGGTCACTCACAAATGACACGGTCCAAACCCGGAAGACGAATAAACTATAATATTTTCTACATGTTTAATTTATTTCAAATACAACTATGTAGACAAAGACATCTTGTAATAACGAATAAATAGGGTCATCATTTCTAATAAGTGTACTAAAAGCAACAAAACATGTATGTTCCTGATCATTTCTCAAAGAAAATCAACATATCGGATCATCCAAATATATTCAGACAGCATACTTATATTTAAATGGGTGGCAATTAAAAATATCATTGCTTAGGCAATAATTGAATCATGAGAATATTCAGATTAGACACTAAGGTTATGATATTATAGATTGACTGAATAATTAAAATGAAACAAATTATGAGGCAGTAAAGAATGAAATGAAGAACCAACTCAAAATATGACATCTATTTTGTGTTATTTCGCTCTCTCCACATTCTTCTTCATCTTCTTGAGTATTGAATATTCAGTAAACAAGTTTGATCATCGTATGAATTACTCAAAACATAGGGATACATTGGTAGGCTAACTTCTTAATCAAATATGTGTTGCAAATTGTGGAATTTCAATCTAAGTGATTAGCTGATTTTTAAACTTAAGTTCCTTCACAACACATTATCGGGAAACATGTTTAGAAATATTTCCAGAGTATTATTCAGCATTTAATGTTTAATTGAACTTACTTTTGCTTTATCCACCATAAAACACTTTTTATAGAAAAACACAATCTTCAAATAAACATTTATTAAATATAGATCACAAATATTATGGCATTATAAACCTTTAACAAAATAATTTCAACATGTATACAAATATACCCACATTTAAAAATATCTATATTAAAATACTTTAAGCTTTAATATTCCCCTCTGTTTTTTCTTTTTTTGGTACATATAACATAGAATCCAAAAATAATCTTGTGAAATCACCAACGATGGATCTGTCTGGTAACTCTTGAGCAGTTCCATAAAGCGCCATCTACAAAAAAAACAAGAAATTAAGACGCTTACATAGTAGAATTACGTAATAGCTCATGCTACTAATATTATCCGGGTCTTGCGAAAGCGCGATTAGAAGAGCTTTGGGTTGGGTGAAACGTTTAAATCTGACATGCGCATCGAGCAAAAAGACAAAAGAGGGAATCTAATCGTTATGAAAAGGAGACCAAAAAAGTGGCCTCTGATGGCGGACATATCCGGAAATGCAAAGGCGCTAAATTTAAATTTTTCCGACACTTTTTAACAATAGCTATAAAATATTTTTCAGACGAGAAAGTTTTAATGAAATATTAACGATAATAGTCTAAAAAGTGACACAATTGGTAAAAAACTTTAATATAAATAAAATTTCATGTGACAGTTGGGACAAACAATAACATAACCATACTAATTTGATTTCTTAAACAAGGAAAGAGACTGTCTTTCCTTGTTTAAAGTGGCCTCTCAAGATAGCACTTCCTGTCTAACAATATTTTTGTCCCCACTACCTTTACATTCCCTCTTTTGTCTTTTTGCTCGATGCATGCGCGCATAAGGAACTCAGTCATCGGACGTCCTCATTCGACCATCGAACCATTATGGACGGACGAGTGAAGAAAAAGCTTGAAATAAAAAAATCTAAAAAAATAAAAGAGTTACCTTTCCAGTTACGGGTTGAGATGGATCCTTCAAAATTTCATCCAAAGACGTTCTGACATCTTCTAAGAACTTATCTGCTACTCCCGCTTGAGTATGCTGTCTAGTTACACACAGATGGATACTGAAATAAATAGTGTGTCATAATTGCCAAGAAAAACACAACAGCAAAGGACTTACCCTGAAGGGAATTGCAGAACGTTCAAACTCCATCCGCTCTCTTTCAGTGCCGTAGATAATCTGTATATCTCGAAATCATTTGAACCGATGGCTATAACGCTAGTGACAGGTGTTCCAAAAATGAAAATACCCTTCATTCTGCGTAATCTATAAGCAATAACAGAACATATGTTTTGTAAAATAGGTAAGTAGGTATATTTATCAGAATATAGTTATTATTATTATTTATAAAATTTTAATCCAAGCGTCTGATCTTGAAAGATCAGAATCTGCATAGATGCAGTCCGTCCTATATCTGTGCAGATATTTATTGAATATTTATTAATTGGATCTGCATAGATACAGGACGAATTAGAGGATTAACACCCAAAAAAGTATGGTTAGAGACGATTGCATTTACTTCTTTTCATTAAATAACTGAAAAAAATATGTGTGTAATATATATCTTACCCCTTTTCTATATATCTAGCAGTATGTATAACATCTCTGGTGGCTTGTATATACTGCTCTTTACCAAAATTGAGCATGGCAGCCCAACAAACTGCTATGTTACCGCCTGGTCTTGATCCGCTAACACTTGGTGAACCATAGACACCACCAGGCCAATCTGTCGTTACTGTGTATTGGTAATGACGGTATTTTTTATTCCTATACATTACTACTGAGGAACCTAGATATAATAAAATATATTAATGTTAGACAATATCAAAATTATGTTCTATTAGGGTAAAGTGTGCAAATCGCGGTCACCTAAGAAGAAAATTTAATATAAAAAAAAGTAAAACTCTGTGAATCAAATTTAAGCCGTCAATCCGTAATTTGGGGTTTTAACTTATTGCAAGATACATTTAATTTCAAAAATATAAAATTTTTGTCTTTGACAGAGACAAAACATAAAAAAGTATCTTTGACCGGTATTGTCACCATACATGGACAATACCGGTCATGAGTGTGGGTAATGCCAGTCAATTTGTTTGTGTTATTATTAAAATAAAAATCAATATTTATTTAACATTTTTTTGTTATAAAACGATTAACGAATGTGGCTTAATGGGTCATAATTCAAGTAAATCAGTAAGAAAGGTGAAAAAATATTTTTTATTACAAAACAAACAAAAAATAACAAAAATATGTGTTTTAATGTAAAAATAGTTAACAGTCATCGCAGGTATAACTCTCTGCAGAATCCCATCCACTGTACTCTGAATAAGCCCATCGTGAGCAAACGGTAAATATATACCACAATTCATTGTGTTTGCCAAACTCGCTGTAAACCAGGCATCTATCTTCGTATGCATCGTCACTGTTATCACATGGATATATCAATATCCGGTTCCAAAGAACTAGAATCAAATACCTTTTTCTTGTTATGCCAATTACAAGAAAAAGGTGTTTTATTACAAGAAAAATTATCTTGTAAACCCAAATGCTAATTTTCTCAGTTCTATTGCTGTTATCCCATAAAAAATTAAGCTAAATATTTTTTTTGTGTGGCTATTTTAGCTTCTTGTTCGGCAGAAAATACTGATTTTCTACCTAATGAGACACCTTGAAGATTTTTATTTTTTATTCTTTCTTGCAATGTCGAAAAATGGATGGATTAATCCCTAAGGATTAATAGTATAGGGTATAAATTATAGCATGGGGGTAATACCGGTCAACTGACCGGCATTGCCTCCTGTTGGCATTTTTTTTCTTAGAATTTTTTACTCGTAAACATGTATTAAAATATTGATCTTTAAAAAAGGAATAGGCAGCTAACGTCATTATAATCAATTGTAACCAGTTTTAAGATCTACAAGTGAATAAAAATGAATTAAGACCTTATATCACTCAGCATAAAAATAAGATCGAAAACACTGAAAACAGGTTAATAATATTTCTATGACAATGGTTTGCGCCAACTCAACGCTCGTCAGCAATCTGAATACAGAGTAGTGTAGCGACACGTTGGCAGTTATAGGAGGTTGCCAGATTGAATAGATTTCGCACAATCGGGATGACCGCCATTACCCACTGACCGGTATTTGCACAGTTTACCCTATACATGTCATAGTTAGTATTTTAAAGATAAGCTGTGTACGTCTGTATGTATAGCTTTGTTCAGAAATTGTAAATAAAATAAATTATTTGTGAACTGTGTGATTTAGATCTTGTCTTAATTCTATGACATCAACAATGGGATTGAAAACCAGTTTAAAAATCTGCCACTAGGAGACAACTCGTCTTTCCATTTTCCTTTGGCTTTGCAAATAAGAATCAGAAGACAAAAATATTTTTATCAAGTCGAATTTAATATTATTTCTTTTCTTATTCTTCCTCCTCGCTTACAGCAGAGTTTAAGGCGGTTTTGCATGGGAAAATTTGATCTTTTGCGACATCCTTTGATGATTGCTACTAGATGCGCAGGTGATCCGTAAACTACTTTTTCCAAGATCGTCGATGCGCTCCTATTGACCCATTGACATGGCCAATCCAACATGGTGGCTATCAAATCTTCTGCTTGTTCAATGTCATTATTTCTTTTGCGCGGTCAACCAATTCTAGGAGTCAAAACCTTCTACTATTTGGTGAGTTATCTCTTACTATTTTGATCATTCTGATCTATTCTAAGTGTGTTATTTATATTATTCTATTCCTTCTTCTGTTCAGTGTCCACTCATTTAAACCAGTATGTCCCATTTTCTTCTGATGTCTTCAGTCCTCTTTCGGTCTCTCATGAGTATTTCCTGTAATTTTTCTCAGTACCTCTTACCTACCAAAACAAAGAAGGTCCATGTATTTAAAAATGAATTTTCTAATGAATAAAAAGTAAATATGACGTAACCTTACGTAATCTTACAAACAAAACCATACTTTTAAGTGAATATGTCAAAAAACTATGTTACCTTTTGGTGTGTAACCATATTTATGTGTGTCAGCAGAAATACTGGTAACTCCAGGTAGTCTAAAATCGCACAAAGGTATGGGATATCCCGCCTCTTCCATAAAACAGCTCAAAAATCCCCCTAGACAAGAATCCACGTGAACAGGTATGTTATACTTCACACCCAATTCAGATATGGCTGTAATGTTATCCATGGTTCCATATGGGAAATTTGGAGCTGATCCTACCAACTATAGAGAACATTAAAATGTATTGAAATATGTATGTAAAATGTATTTTTTAAGATATATCCTAATTAAGGATAATTTCGAAATTGCTGAACAAGTCGATTCCTTCAGAGTAATACGAACAAACAGAAATGAAAAGAACCAAAAAATCATAAAAAAAATTACTAAGAGTAGTATCGCAAAAGTACTACAGTAGCAGTAAACGTAGTTTTCCGACCTACTTAGAAATATCTGAAAGATTTAATAATTAACTGCACTGAATCTCGAAATAAAAAAATATTATCAGTTTGTATTTTTGTTATTTCAATACTTATCATATACTTGTATATGATACTTGTATATGATAAGTAATGTATCATACACATTTTATTCCATAATAAATAATATTTTATTGACTGCATATAAATATCTCATTTTTATGGACCCATTTTCCGAAATGGTTCGATTTGGTAATGTTTTACTGCCTGCTTGCACAATGTAACTGATCCTATAGAATATGAATGTACTAGTTAAAAAGATTTTATTCAAAATAGAACATTATATTGCAAAATCGTGCCTGGCGCAGATTTAAAATGTAAATTTTAATCAAAACCACAGTAGAAAGTGGTAAGGATAACTAGTGGACTAAAGGCAAAATGTGAATAACCTACCATCACGGTATTCGAGTTGATAGCTCTTCTAAATTTCGTAAGATTCACTTGGTACGTTTGAGGATCAACTGGTATAGACCTAACTTTTAGCTTCAGATATTGAGCAGCCTTATCGAAAGCTGAATGCGCTGTTGTCGGTACGACTATTTCTGGCTTTTTAATGCCTTTAACTTCTCTGGCATAGTCTCTATACGCCTTGCAGGCCATTAGTATTGATTCAGTCCCACCACTAGTCATCTAAAAAAATATATGATCATTAGGTTAGGTTATTAAAAATACATACAATACATAAGTGCTTGAAAGACTGTAATATTTCTGAAAAGAGAGTAATTTTGGACAAGATTTTAGAAAGTTTTGCCATAAAATGTAAATATTATTGAAAAACCATCTTTACCAATACATACTAATAAGGAAATGAACAATAATACAATTTCGAGAAGAAAATTTCATGCAGTTCTATTTGAGAAAATTAACTGTTAATGGAGACGAATTAATAGCAATGGTGAAGGTTATTGTAGCAGATATATCTGCCAAGATAAATGCTGGACAAGAGGAGTTATCTGCCAAGATTAAAACTGCACAAAAAGACTTAAGGGGGTAAAAACATTTAAATATGTTTACCATCACACATAATATCGATGCTACCAAGGAAGAATTAAAAGAAGTAATTGAAAAGATGGAAGAAAGATTCGAAAGAGTGGAAGAGAGACCCAAAAGAGTGGAAGAGAGTGACATTTACGTCTAGTGGCATTGTCCATGTAACAAGTAGCAAAAGTGGACTGAAAAATTCAGCGCCCATTTATAATGGAATTCATTTATGGAAAAACAATTTATAGCAGTTCAAAGAGGTCAAGGTTGCGAATGGCTGTAAGATAACAGAGAAATGTAGAATTCACAATTCATACAATCACTCACTTTTAAAAAACTCTCAGGGTTTATAGTTATAATAATAGCATTTAAGAAAAATTGTTATAGGAAAAAGATTGGAAAGATTTATATGACCTTAACGATACAATGTATCTAATATTAATGTATTAAAAGTATATTACCGATCCAACTGCATTCTCGTCTCCATGAAATAGGCTAGATGTTATTCTAATAACTTCGGCTTCCATTTTGCATATACCAGGAAATAAGTCTGGATGTAAAGGATTTGTGTAAGCAGTTTTACCATAAATGCCAGAAATGAGGTTTATCAAATCTTGATCGTAAAAATAAACGGCTCCTGATACTTTACCACCTTTCCAGTTGTATTCACCTAAAAGAGTAATTTAAGATATCGTTACAATTATATTGTAATTATTTTTTTAAATTTGAGTTGATTCAGAAAGCAGTAACTTTATTCGACCTTGTATAAAGTTTGGATTTGTTTGTTGCCATAATATATTCCAAAAATACTGATATATTTTTGTATACAGTTGTGACAAATCAAAAGTTGAAAAGGGAAAGTATATTTAAAGTGTATTAGAGATTTTTAATATTCCTAGCTGAGCACTGTACAGGTTCACAAAGCCATCTTTGGAGCTATGGTCAAATAGAAAGTATCCTACTAGGAGAGATGATGTGGTAAGCAGAAAATTGCTGGTTCTATTTTTTCTTTTCTTTTTTAAACATTGAAAGAAACACGTAAGGGATTGTACAGGGTGTCCCAAATTGGTATGTTTTACAGGGTAAACTAAAAACTAGAGGAAATAGAAAAAAAGTAGTTGAAATGTTATAACTTATTTTTTCGTTAAAGTAACTATTACCTAACCAAATCGTCAATTGCTCCATATATTAGTGAAATACAGGGTGATTATGAAAAAATGTCGAAAACGACAGGGTTAAATATCTTCTTTATTACAAAAAATTTTAAAAAACTTCCCTATATATTTTATTTCCCTAACTTATGTTTTTTTATATGGGATACCCTATATATTTTGACACTTTTCGCTTGCATTTTTAATTCTCTTTCACCTGATATGACGTATTATATATCTATTTTCCGTCGTTGGAGTTACTCTGCAAATAAACTCTTTATATGACATCACGTTATAGACACTTAGAAACAAAACACTCAGTAACAACATTCTAACATTTTATTGTGGGGATAATAATCCTTCACAGTTTTATTTACCAGAAATAAGATCAACCAACTTATAAAATGGAAATAATACATCTACCAGCAACAAAAAAGTATTTCACAATCATAATTGATTTGAAGAATAAAAAAAGAAGTCATGACATATTAAGTACTTTTTTTCTATCTCGTCTAGTTTTCCGCATACCCTGCAAAACATACAAATTTGGAACACCCTGTACACTGGACACCAGAAAAAACACATTAAAAAATTTGGTTATGGTACAGGTGTCAGAACCCAACCATTTTTACTGGAGTTGAAGCAGCAGATTAATTTCCATTTGTTCTATTGTTGTAAGGACAAGAATTTAATATAATTGCCCACAATGATTTCTTTGCTGTATCAAAAGCACTTTTGTATAAAATTGGACAGTCAAAAAATCAAGGTAAATGCAAAATTAATATAAAAAGAGTAAAGCAATTTTTCGACAATTATGGTAAAATATTTAAAAATGTTATATTTTTTTAACATGCAAGTGAAGGAAGTTAAAAGTATAATTCTGTAAAAAATACATTCAGATATACAACCTATTTTCAAACTTACCCAGGGACAAATTCTTATCCAAACATTGAATAAGTTCCTCATTTGTTAACCCTTTTTGAGGTAGTTCAGTAATATATGTTACAGTATTGGTTGATTTCTTAATGTCATCTTCAAAACCCTTTGCTATTGTGTCCAATTCAGTCTCTATTCTCTTTCTGATTGCAGGAATCTTTCTTGCTAACCTGAATACTGTTTTCTTTGTTCTTTCAGTAAGACCTTGAATATATTAGAATAATTTAAAATTAAATAAATTATTTAAACAATAAAAGAATACATTAGGACTGATTAAATCGAGAAACAACAAAGGAATTATTAAAGTTAAAACAATCCTGAATTAAATTAAGCACTTTGCTATGAAATATTTATCAAACTTTTAACTGATTATTTGTTGTATTCTTGCATTTTTACAGTTTATGTGTATGTACTTACTTTCATCTTGAAACAAAAATCCATAAAACCATACTGACAACAGTACAGTTGTAGTTGTAGTTGTGACTATTTGCCAAGCTTCCTTCCCTTGAAAGTGATTATTTAGGGTGCCCTTTAGGGCATTAATTGGTAAAGACAGATAATCCATTTTTATTATATGTAAAAAATGAATAACGTGACTGACCAACTAATATAAGACATATAGCCGTGCACTTAAAAGAAAAGTGTAACTTTGAATTTTGAAACAATCTCTACTTGAACAAAGATAAGATAAAACTTTTGCATGACACAATGAATCTCTTGATAAATCTCGTTTGTTATTGGAACCGCATTTGAACCTTGAATGTTCTCAACATGGACAAATAATGTTCAGTACTTAAAAATGGAATTTCACTATTTTTAAGTTGTAAAATACTTGAAAATGAAAATGTTAAAAGTAATGAACACAACCTCAAACTTTGACAAAACAATGACAGAACATAGAACAGCTTTATATGAAAAATAAATATTCTGTGAAAAATAGGTTGTTTAGAAATCGTATTAATTTATAGAATCACATTTATAAAAATTTGCTATTATTAAGTATGTGTTAATATTGAAATTAATTATTTGAATAAATTGTCTTTCCTAGTTTTACGCCAAACCACAGATTATCGCCAAACTGATATAGTGATAAACAGAAGAAATAATCAAGAAATTTTGAAGTTATGACAATTTTGACAACCAACAATAGGGTTATCTTAATTATAGATTAGGAAGAAACCGAAATAAACATAATACTATGTCAGAAGCCCTAGAATCAAACCAGAAAAGATGGGGCAATCTTAGGAAAGTATTAGAGCGACCGGGTCCTTTCAGTCATCCAGAATTTGAACCATCTTCAGAAATATTAGATTTCATTATGACTTCTTGCAAAATTCTAGTTATAGGAGCTGGAGGACTAGGCTGTGAACTGTTAAAAGATTTAGCTTTAATGGGCTTTAAGAATATTCACGTTATCGATATGGATATTATAGACTTATCAAATTTAAATAGACAATTTTTATTTAGACACAAAGATATTGGCTCATCAAAAGCAGAGGTAATTATTTCTTAACATACCAGTCTCAAGAATATGATATAACTCATCTGAAACTTACTAGAATTGATAATATAATACATGCACATTCTGTTGAATAATTTATTCTTACATACTATTTCTGTTATCAAACCTATTTTGATTTTTTCTGTTTTCCCCTATTGTTTGTAGGAATACTACAATAATATTCAGTCGACACATATACTACTGAAAATCATTGGTTTTGTAAGGTATCAATATACTTAATTATTGATTTATTTTATTCATCTTAATTTACCAAGAACAATTTTAATCACCAAGAACTTTTTATTCAACAGAAGTTTTTATTTATTTAAAATTATTCTCATTTAATTTTTTTAGGTAGCAGCTTCTTTCATAAATAGAAAAGTGCCTGGATGTCAAGTAACTCCCCATTTTAGTAAAATACAAGACTTTGATGAAAGTTTTTATAGACAATTTCATATTATTGTGTGTGGTTTGGATTCCATAGTTGCTAGGAGGTGGATCAATGGAATGTTAATCTCATTGCTTAATTATGAAGATGATGTTCTAGACCAACAGTCAGTTATACCCATAGTAGATGGTGGCACTGAAGGTTTTAAGGGCAATGCCCGTGTAATATTGCCAGGAATGAGTGCCTGTGTAGAATGTACTTTAGATTTATATCCTCCCCAAATTAATTATCCTCTTTGCACAATAGCAAACACTCCTAGGTTACCAGAACACTGTATTGAATATGTTAAAGTAATTATGTGGCCAAGGGAAAATCCTTTTAATGTACCTTTGGATGGAGATGATGCTCAGCATATTACTTGGATATATGAAAAATCGCTGGAAAGGGCACATCAGTTTAACATTCCAGGAATAACTTATAGACTTGTGCAAGGTGTTGTCAAGCACATAATCCCTGCAGTTGCATCTACAAATGCTGTGATAGCTGGAGTTTGTGCCACTGAGGTAAAGTATTTGTACTAGAAGATTGAGAAAATATACTGTAAAAGGTGTTTGTAATGTACTGTTTGTTATCATACTTTTTGCTGTATTGTTGGTGCTAGTAACTGCCTAATATTGGTCAAAATATGTTGTTGGTTAGGTATGTTGTGCAAATCTTTATAATTTAGGGATTTATCATCACTTAAACATGAACTTGGTTAAATTTTGGTTAACCTACTTTCCTGTTTACCCAGAAGTGGCTTTAGTATCTGCGAAGTTATTAGTCTAGTTTTCATCCACATATCTTTGCGAATCTGGTTTTTCTGCATTGGAGTATAAAAAATCAAAATACAGTTGGGTATTTTGATTTTTTATGGATGGATGTTGAAAGTGACTTGAGGTGTGCTCTGACACAGTTTCAACCGACTATAGAAAAACTTGTCAAGAATAGACAATGCCAACCCTCTCATTGAAAGTGCAAAAACACTCATATATCTGGTTTTTTATTTTGCATCCCAGCTTATGCTAATGTAGAGTTAGCATTGTTAGTTACCACAATTTCACTGTTCTCGTAATGCTACGATACTATCGTCAGTGTTACTCATCGAGCAAAAAGATAAAAGGGGGAATGTAAAGGTAGTGGGAACAAAAATATTGCTAGACAGGAAGTGCTATCTTGAGAGGCCACTTTAAACAAGGAAAGACAGTCTCTTTCCTTGTTTGAGAAGTCAAATTTAGTTTGGTTATGTTATTGTTTGTCCCAACTGTCACATGAAATTTTATTTATATTTTTAGCGACTTTGCATTTCCGGATATGTCCGCCATCAGAGGCCACTTTTTTGGTCTCCTTTTCATAACGATTAGATTCCCTCTTTTATCTTTTTGCTCGATGGTGTTACTATATTTGCCACTTATTTAAAATATCCTATGTCTAATCGAAAAATTATCACACTGTATATCATACTCAATATTTTATATGATACTAAAATAATTTTTAGGTATTCAAAATTGCAACCAGCTGTTGCGTTCCGTTAAATAACTACATGGTTTTCAATGATGTCGATGGAATATACACTTACACCTATGAAGCCGAACGAAAACCGGACTGTCTGGTGTGCTCGCAAACACCACAAGTAATGGAGATCAGGGATCCAAATTCAATGAAGTTAAAACAGTTAGTAGAATTATTGTCCGAAAGTGCCTCCTATCAAATGAAAAGTCCCGGTTTAACCACTTTTATAGATGGGAAAAATAAAACTCTGTATATATCCACAATTAAAAGCATTGAAGAGAGGACCAGAGATAATTTAAATAAAAGTTTAGTAGAATTAGGATTAAAAGATGGTCAAGATATTTTAGTTGCTGATGTTACATCGCCCACAACTTTGATCATTAAGCTTAAATATTTGGTAGATGATGTAGAAATGAAATAAATTGTTTTTTTTTTTTAATTTTACATGTGTTATTAATAAAAACATTAAAAAGCAATAATGCCAAATGTAATCCCTGAGGTTATATGCAAGAGTGCAACTTCCCTTTGCAATTTTTGCATTTTACAGCAAAAGAAGTCAGTTTCTATAAAGCTGTTAAATAATTAATGATAATTAATCATGATTCTCATGAGACCAATAAAATGTATTACTTCCATTTACCAGTAGCTATGGAATTTTCATTGTTAGAGCCCAATCTTCAAAACCTATAATATGAAATTTCGATTTTGTGTTTAGGCAGAAATATAAGGGCATTGGGGATATGTCTAAAAAACACTGAATTTAAACTTTCAAACAATAAATATTTTTGTTCAATCATTTTTTTTTTCTATAGCATACTCTCTTTGTCAACCATTTTCTATCCACTCCTGAATATAGGTCTCTTCCAATTGCTTCCATCTTTCTCTATCTTGCGCCAATTAATCCACTGTTTGCCTGCCACTGCTCTTATATCATCTACCCATATTTTTTAAGGTCTTCCCATGCTTCTTGTTATCGTCCTTGGTCTCGATTCTAGAATTCTCCGCGTCCACCTGTTGTCATTATATCGGGCTACATGACCTGCCCAGCGCCATTTCATTTTTGTAATTTCTTCCACAATATCCTAATCTTCGTTCTACGTCTCACTGATATTCCAAACATGATTCATTCCATTGTTCTTTGCGTTGTTTCTAATTTTTTAGTAAGGGCTACTGTTCCCAAGCCGTAGGTACAAACTGGTAGTATGCATCATGTATTATACACCTTTTTTAAGTTTACAGGAATGGAGGTGTTTTTCAAGATATATGATAGTTTGCCGAAAGCGCCCCATGCCAGATGTGGTCTTCTTTTAATTTCAGCATCTTGATTTGGTTTTCCTAGTTTGATGACATGACCTAGATATACATAAACATTTTCTGTGGCATTATTTTGTATTGTTAAATTTGTCTGGTCTCGGCTCAGTATTTTTATGTTACTGTAGTTAATTTTTAAGCCTACCGCTCCTATAACTGTATTTAATTGATGTAACATATCATTTAGTTCTTGGGTATTATCGGCTATTAAAACTATTATCATCTGCGAATCACAATCCGTCGACGTTGATACCCTTGTTGTTCCATTCTTGTTTGTTAAAAATGTCTTCCAAAGCATGGGTAAATAGTTTGGGAGATATGGTGTCTCCTTGTCTTACTCCCTGTTGTAGTCTTATGGGATTAGTTTTTGTGCTTTCGTCCAGCTTTATCTGCATGTTGGCATTTTCATATATGTTTTAATTATGTTAGTGTATCTTGAATCTTTCCTTCATCAATTACTTTATTAAATAAAATATATAATACCTTTTCCATTTTTCTGCCACCAATTTTCAACTCTAATTTTATCCTCTCCTGGACATTTATTCGTTTTTAGTTGATTTAGGGTCGGTGTTATGTCCGGTATTTCTTCTGAGCCGGTGTTAATTATTGTTCTTTCAGTACGTCGTTGTTGTGTATTTATCGAGTATAATTTAATGTAGAATTTTTCAATGGCCTCGCTTATTTCCTTTCTGTCTCGGACGATGACGTTTTTTCCATTTTTTATTTCTATGATTTTTGTTACGTCGCTTGAGTTTTTTGCTTTCAGTACTTTCATATTGCAGTTATCTTGTATTATATCTTTTATTGGTTGATATTAGATTGTTAGTATAGTTTCTATGTTGGTTCCTAATTTCTTTCTTCATGTTTTTGTTTAAACTTTTGAAGCTGTCCGAAGTTCGATCTGTTCTGTTTCGTCTTTCTTGGAATCGTTTAATTGTATTAGGTTGGAGTTTAGATGTTTTGGCTGTTTTCGTGGTTGAGCATATTTTCTTAACCGATGTTGTTACAGTTACTTTTATTGGCTAGTTCGTTTATATCTATTTGTTTCAGTGTCTCTATTGATTTTAATCTTATGCTTAGCTCCTTTTGGTATTCCGTTTGTTTTTGAAACAGGACATCTGTGGTTGGGTATCGTTCTCGTTTAATAACTTTGTTTCGTTCTACTCTCGTCTGTATTTTAATATTCGCTCTAACCAATCTATGGTCACTCCCAGTATAGATTTGTTTGGTACTGTCACGTTGGTGCATATGTTTTTGTTATTGGAGAGTATGTAGTCTATTTCGTTCTTGTTTTCTTGTCGGGGCTGATATTTACGTAGTTTAGATTTTTTAAAGAAAGTGTTAAGAGAAAATAAATTTTCGTTGTTTTAACAGTTGTTCCTGTTGTCGAGCCCAAAGCGACCGATATATTGTGTGTCTCCCTCTTCCTTTGTTCCAATTTTTGCATTAAAATCTCCAGTGATTATTACGAAGTGTGATTTTTCTTGGTTCCTTGCTGTTGTCAGATCCTCGTAAAATGATTCAGTACAGATTCTGATTGCGTACAGAATTCTCTTGATAAATCGATGAGTGAAACATTGGCGTAGATTCTTGGTAAATGGATGTCCGTCCCCTGTGCGGTTCTATGTCATTATAAACTCACCCTGTATATTAAAGGCGTTAACAAATTGTGAAAATAAATATTTACCCGATATATTGTGTGTCGCCCTCTTCTTTTGTTCCAATTTTTGCATTAAAATCTCCAGTGTTTATTACTAAGTATGATTTTTCTTGGTTCTTTGCTGTTGTCAGATCCTCATAAAATGATTCAGTACAGATTCTGATTGCGTACAGAATTCTCTTGATAAATCGATGAGTGAAACATTATTGGCGTAGATTCTTGGTAAATGGATGTCCGTCCCCTGTGCGGTTCTATGTCATTATAGACACCCTGTATATTAAAGGCGTTAACAAATTGTGAAAATAAATATTTACCATATAGACAATAATATTTCTAGAGCTAAAATAGAATGGGTTTTCTTTATGATTTATGAGACTTCTTTTAATAAAATATTTCTTTTATTATTCTGTGACTCTACCCAACTCTTTCTATCTTTCACAGAACACGAAAACAATTTTGTCTAGCTGTCATTAATTTATCAATCCTATCCATATTTTTTATTACATGAGAAGAGGTTATGTTTACATATTATTTTGAAAATATCTCAACAATATGAATTTAAACAAACCGGAATTAGAAGGAACAGCACATTTACTGGATGAACTGGACAGTAATATTAATTTCAGATATGTAAAAATAATTATTAATGTTTTGGTTTCTAGAAAAGCTGATGGTATTGCTTCGAGATGGAAGGACTTTGATAGGGTACTTAAGAAGTGTAGATCAGTTTGCTAATTTAGTTTTACATCAAACTATTGAACGAATACATGTAGGAAATGAATACGGGGACATTCCAAGGGGAGTATTTATCGTCAGAGGAGAAAATGTTGTACTCCTTGGTGAAATAGTAAGTCATCTTATTTTTTTTTAATAATAAAACCTGTTTGTTTACAATATAATCTAAAGAAAATTCACCATGAAAAGATTAAAGACCTGTTTTTCTAAATATTCCATTTCGCATTAACTCTTGTGTATTGTGTTAATCTTTTTGTGAATGTTATGGTTTTAAAAATATAATCCTGATAATTTAATGTTTTATTTTTAGGATGCTGACAAAGAAGGTGAACTACCATTGACTGAAGTGTCAGTGGATGATATTTTAGATGCTCAAAGAAAGGAACAAGAGTTGAAACAGGAAAAACAGAAGTTACTTTCTAAAGCCCTAAAAGAAAGGGGTCTAAGATTAATGCAAGAATTGACTCATGATGATATGTTTTAACTTAGAACTCTGTATAAGGATGTTTTAGTTTAAAAATGTTGGATATACTTCCTAATATTTATTGATTTAATTGATTTTCATTAAACTTATTGTTCATATTTTTTAAATAAAGTTATGTATTTTATTTGTTTGTATTATTTTAATAGGTGAACAAATTCCCCTTTGTTGGCTCAGTGAAGATGTTCGTTCAGTTGTAATGGAAACACAAAACGATAGTAGCAGAGTTTATTGACGAGACATACACTATGGGTGTTGACCCGGGATTACTTTGAGTAGAGACTGTTGCAGTTGAGCGTTGAAGACTATCATGTTTGTTGAGTGAATATTGATTGAATGCTTCTCTAGGCAAACATTTTAGTTTTATATAAGTTTTAATTGGGTCAATATATTATTATGTATTTAATAACAAATAAATTCATTTGGTCTACTGGGTGATAAAATTATACTGTCCAATTTCGGATATGAATTCTGAAGATTTGATATTGGACAATAGGTCAATAAAAATATACACAGAATTATTTTTTGTAAAAGTTCAGAAATGTCTTAAGGTGAAATTAAAATAGTATAAATGAAATAAATAATATTCAATTTGTAGTCCTGTATGAAAGTTGCTTGTTTCCACTGCTGAAAATTGTATTAGAGAATCAGCTTTTTTTATGAGAGCTGAAATCTTCTAAACAATGTATCAGGTGAACCATATCTGGCAAAAGTTTGAATTCAGAGTAGATAAAGTGTGTCCGAACACAATTTCCTTTTTGATGGGTCTTGTCCCCTGGATCCATCCACGGTACCCTACCTGTCAACTAAAACCAATCTTGTCTAATAAGTGTGATACATTTGCCCCTGTTGTTTCTCTTTTCTTTTAACGATTTTTGTCACAGCTTCAGCACATTTCTAAACTCATTATCCTCCTTTTCACTACAATTGTATAATTGTAAGCTGCAAAGATGCCTACCCTTGCATATAGCTCTACTCGTTCGTCATTGAACTTAATGCATTTGAACACACAGTGTTCTGCTCTATTGCTTATTTTGCAGTCCACACAGCTATCATCTATTGCCTTACATATCCTCTCAAGGTATGCTCTAAATAACTCGCGTCCCATAATTAATTGCGCTAGAGCGTAGTTTCTGTCTTCTCTTTATTACTCTTGCCATATTTTTTGGATCTCTCTTGTACCTGCAGGTGTATTTGTGGAACCCGGTCTATAACTTCATCGAGGTCGTTCTATAGGCGCATACGACCCTTAATAGTTAATACGGCTGTTCCTTGGGCCTTCCATAATATTTGTTTGTTCGTTACTTGTTGTGGCGTTTGTTTGTTATTACTTCTTGAAAGCGTAGAACTCTGTCGGGCCCGGGTGCTCTCCCGGCCTTTAGTGCTTCCCCGCCTCCATTACCTTCTCAATAGAGAAGTTGTTGCCGGCGTTTCTACATGCAGCGGTGTAAAAAATGTACGTCATTGGGTGTAAATTTCTTTATCTCCCTATTTACACGAATAGCTCTTCTGCCAGCTCTCTTCAATTTCGAGAATGGTACTTCTTTTGAGATTTTTCTTAACTATCTTGTACGCATCACTCCAGATGTCATTCTAGTGGTTCTCGCACATGTCTTTTCATTGTTTATTCCGTTTGTGAGTTCTTTCTAAGTTGTTGAGAATAAGGTAGTCTGAGTTTTCCTTTATTATTTCGGCTCTAGTTTACTACTCTTATCTCCCTATATTCTTATTTCATTATACGCATTTAAAAAATAGGTAAATATTATTATATATATAAATTTACGTATATTTATTGTGAGAACAGTGTAGAAAGTAGAAAAGTCCTATTATGTCAAATTATGGAATACCATGTATTTAAAAATATCAAATAAAATTCCTATAAAAGTGCTGCGTGTTATTAATAATTATAGAGATCAAACTGACACAATATAAATGTTTTTAAAATATATTTAAAATAAATATCTCTGATTAATTTACAACGTTGGTAACGTGTATGAACCACAGCACACTCCCATCTAGCAGTGCCAGTCCTGTGTTAAAGAGTAAAACGATAATTGGCGCATCGCCTAGTGTCAGGGTGCGTAACTGTATATATTAATATCGGTAAATTCAAAAGGCACTTCTTTAGGATTGTAAACTGATTTTAAAGTAAGGGAATATTGAATAATGTATATATATTTTTTCGTATACTATGTGGGTTTTCCTGTTATGTTGAGATTATATTTATTTTCCATTACATTAAAATGCCAAACTTGTTAAACTCTTCTTAAGCTGTTTTCAAGGGAAGGAAGATTTTGACAGTATATTGCTTAATAAAGAATTCTTTAGTTTTTTACTGTGACTTGAATCCCTTTAATCACATAAAAGCGTGGAGTTAGATTCTAGTATTCTAAGGATGCATAAAAGCATGATACTATGATAAGAAGAAAAGATATTGCGCATAAGTCGTGACGTCATTGGAGAGTTGCACGTTCGAAATGTCAGTTTTTTGTATGTGTCAATAAATAATCTTTAATAAATAGTTTGGAGATATCCTTATGTATACAATTATTGTAATTATTGAACTTCTTAACTTATTTTCGTCCAGTAATTTCATCACAGAATGCATACAAATCCCATTTAACTTTAACAAGAATTCAAATTCTACTCTCCAATGACGACATGCGTAAACACGACCGATTTTGGGCTACGGGAAGATCCTATCTTGTTATTTATAGTATCATGCATAAAACGATAAAGATAAAAGTCACATAAGGTGACAAGCCAACCAACAAGGCGCAGCAACGAGACTAGCAGTGTCACCAAACGGAAGGGTGCCAAATAAAAAAGTGCGTTTACGTTGGCTATCCTTGTTACCAATCAATTTAATTATTTATGTATGGTATGAACGAAATTTCTACTATACCGACATTTTCCGTTATCCGTTATATTCAGCAATCAGTTCAAATGAAATAAAAATAAACGTCAAAAAGAAATCAAATTTATAAGTTTTAAGTGTAAAATTATACAAAACGATGTTTTTTCAGGTATGTGTAAATTTGTATATTATGTTTTATTTCCTAATAATATTTAATAGAATAATCAGAAGTTTTTCTCGATTGTTTATAGATTTTTTTTATTCTTAAGATGTACATATTTTTTTAAATTTAGATATATGTTATACAATGTCAAAAAATAACATAATATGATTAGGGACGTTCTTCACATTTGAAGTGTGAAATCGTCCCTATAATGGATATGTTAAACCCAAATCTTATTTTGGAAAGTAATATCAATAATATATTGATTATATTAATATACATGAATCAAGATATATTTTTCTGTATATGTATTAACGTACTAACTGGACTACACTTGCAAAATAAGTGATTAGTAACAATAATGAGATGACGGAGAGGAATAACAATTTCAGAAGGTTTTCTAATAGAAACATTTGTAACAGACAGTCCTTAATTTAAAATACTGTAAACCAATCATACAAAATAAGAAGAATGTAACTAAAAGCTAGACCCTTTTACCTTTTAACACAAAAAACTAACTCAGTCTAAGAAGTTGATAAATGAGATAATTAATGAATTATGTAATTGGGAGTGTTAAGGCATCATGCAAATGATTTCTTTCAATGATTTCATGGCAGTTTACACATGGAGATAAATGATTTATTTTAAATAATTGTAAAAACTTCTACTCTGTGTAGCTTATTATAGTTCCAACTTTTTAATTAAAGGAATATTGATGTTCTTGTTTGATCAGCATAATCTTTAATCCTCACCACAAAAAGGTATGGATACAATATGAGCAGTTGAAATTGAAAGACATGTCATTCTTAAAAAGACTCTTTTATTATTCCTCAACCAACAAAATAGAAAACTTACTCTATGAAGTGGGCAATTGGGATTATTAGTGAATTTGTTATTGAAAGTGGTCAATAATGATACTAATGACTCTTTCAGTACTTACTAAGTTTCATGTAAGTTGCCACATGATAGAAAAAAACAACTTATAGAAAGATCATTGTAATATAATTGTAGATCTGTATTACATATGGATATTAAACTGTATTTCTGATCTGATAATATTGTGTGTAATATTTATAATTTGGAAAGAAAATATATTTTATTGAATTTTGGTATTGCAACAGGTAATCAATATTGTCTATTTTGTTGGATGTTTCATACATGTTTTTGTTATTAACTATCAGTTATAATTTTTTTAATAATGATTGTTGTTGCAGACTTTTTAAAATGTTTTTTCTGTATATTGGTTACAAATAACGCTAATATTGTTTCCAGTTTCACTCAACAGCCAGTACATATCAAATCAACTAATAAACATTTCTGTAAAGGTGCAACCAATATCTTAGTCTAAAGTTAAATAAACTGTTGTAGATATCACCAGTCAGACGAGAAAAGAAACCTAAACCCACAGTAAAAGAAAAATCTCCAGAAAAAATAGAAATTCTCTCTTTGGGACCTTTTACGGTAGCTCCAAAGTTATTTTTTGATGGAGTGAAACTTGGAGAATCAGCAACATGCAAATTGTTATTAAGAAATCCAACCAAACAGGAGATGAGTGTAAGTTATAAATATATACTATAACATATATATTTAAAGTAATTACAAAATTATATATTATTTTGTAGATTGCCTTAACAAAAAAAGTACCATTAGAGCTAAATGTTAGATATAATTGGGAGAGTGCAACAATTCACAGCTTTTCGGAGATTATGTTTGAAGTAACATGGACTCCTATTGAGAAGGAAGCATCTTACCATAAAATTTCTTTTGAAAATACTACAAGAACAGTCCACAGAGATGTGCCTATTGTTTTTAAGACAGTCTCACCTGCTAAGGTAATTGATTTGGACTATTTTATGTTGATATTAATTAAATTTCATCTTTAGTAAATATTTTACAGTGTTAATTGTTATTGTACAGTTATAGAGTTGTAAAGTTTTATTAGTGAACCAAATTTTTATCTATAAATATAAATAGGTTTTAAATATAATTATAATTAACACATTCACTGCCAGCTATATTTTCATATATACTTATACCTTTACAATTTTATAAACCATTCTTACAGTACATGCCTTCTAGGCTATGTTAGTCTTTTAGTGGGAGATATTACAAATTAATATGTACCAGCAGCCTAACAAGAATTTAAAAAAGTGTTGGATCTATAGGACCAATGTGGCCCATAAAGGCAATACTAGTGTTGGTCCCAAGTGGGACAGAATATTTCTAATACTCGAAATTATTTGTCGACATCAAATGTTCATTAAGGTCTCTTATAAGTCTCTATTTTGCATAGAGTGAAAATTATACAAATGGTTTTGCATGCAGTAAAATTGGACAATACTTGCCAAGTTGCTGGCATGTCCAAATTTGAATAAAATATCTCCAAGACTTTACTTTTGCAGACACTGTATTAAATATAACCTTGAAACAAATTGGCACTAAATTACTTCCGAGTTTTCAGCAAAACAAAAGGTTTAAACACTTGTAGTCCAGTAATGAATACCAAAGCTATTGAGAGTATGCAGTATAGTAATTAGACTGAAGGTACTTTATCATTTAACTAAAATACACCACAAAGTCCAAATTGAATTCCGGAAACACTTTTTTGTTACTTGTTTTTAGCAAATGATTTGTCCTATTCACTATCAGAGTTATCACTATCTGAATTGTGTATCCAAATAATTAGAGGCCGGACCTTATCTATAACTTGCTCGATTTGAAAAGACTGAACGATTATGTCTTCCGTATGTCTAATACAATTTTGCCATTGTTCTGCCTTTATTTGTTCTAGCGATTCTTTTCATAAACTAAGAACGCTAATGTCGTCTGTTTTTTTGGATGCATGTTTATCATAAATTTTTTTGGCTATACCCCAAACTAACTCATTTGTATTATAGTGGCAATGGTAAGGCGGAAGTCAAAGAACTTCATGTCCATATTTAAGAGCCATTTGGTCAGTAACAATTTCTTTTGAATTTTGTGCTCTCCACACTTTTGAAGTAAATCGACTTTAAAAATATGTCACTGTGTTAAATTTTCTTTTCTCTCAACCACAACTTTATTTCTTATTTTGTCCAGCTGCTTGAAGGAAATCTCTCTTCTACTCTTGAATGGTACGATGCATTATCCAACACTATTATGGATGGTCGTTTCAATTTTTTAAACAAATTTTCTTCAAACCATTCTTCAAAAATATTTGCATCCATATTTCCATGGTAATCACCTGTATTCTTTGTGAACGAAAAAAATTAAACTAGCGTCAAGAATAAAACCCTCATCATTTCCAGCATAAAGTTTAATGTAACATTTACCATTACCGGAACGACTAGAAGAAGTGCCATCTTGTTGGGATGGTTTTGACATATTTTCTTTAGCGAAAATCCAACTCATGTTTTAAATAAGATTTTTGCTGATTATGTATTTTGCTAAATTATTAAATAACACCAATACAACTCACAACCATCAATTAATTTTTAACAATAAACAGAAGTATAATATGATGACAAGTTTGAATTTGATCTACTTTGTCGATAACAGTGTCCTTAACAGAAAGATATTTTTAAATAGCATGAGTCATTTTTCAATGATTGTGTGGATTTAAGAAATACATTACGAAACAAATTTTTAAAGTGTGTATAAAGGAGATTACAATTATTATGACACATGGTACTCCTTATTTTTCAAATAATGTTCTTGTAAAGGCATAACTTTGATTATTGGGTAAACCTACATTATATGATACGTCAGAAGAAATTTAAAAAAATTAACATGTAATAAATTCACTGTTTAACACTAGAAAGTCGGGCTTAGCATACCTACCTAGAAAGCCTGAAGAGATCATTTTGGCCCCAAGTTCCTAAATCAATAAAAACCAAGTTTAGAATTAACTATTTATTTGGGAATAAACAAAAAATAAAAATAAACAGTTTTAAGAAATTATAGAATTTGATTTAATTTTTTAGTTTCATTTTAAGCAATTGGAACACCATACAGTTTGCAGTTTTTGGCATTTGCCTCATATTGCCTTGTTACAGCCGTGGCACTCATTGGAAGTATGATTTCCTTTACAAAACATTTTTAACTGACATTTTTTTCTTTTTTGGCTAGTAACAGTGCTGGTGGTTGGTAAATCCGGTGGTGCTGGGTATAGTACCAGATTTCGGGAGGCAAGGTATGGAGCCCGTAATTCTTCACACAGCTGAAGAATAAACTTACGACGACTGATTTTACTTCCAGTAACTTCTTTATAAATAATCCATGCATTTATTGCTCCTAAGTCAAGAATGTTATAAAACTTACTGTTTGAGGAAGTTTATTCCATCGACAGCAACATCCACTGATTGATGTAATGAGTTTAACAAAAGCACATTTTTGTGACTCTTTCCTTGGTATGTAGTAAGTGTTATCTTTTCGTCGCTCTGGAATATGTGGGTAACATATAATTCTCCATTTTTTACTCTTTACGCTTAGAGGAACTTCCTTTCTGTTGCGATTCAAAGTACCCACAAGACTTGTTGATTTTTTTTGCAATGCCTTTGCTAATTTTAACGATGTAAAGTAGTTATCTGTCGTAACATTTTTTGCCCTTTCCCAGTTGATTTTCCATTAACCGCAAAAAAAATGTTCACCAATACTTGTATTTTTTCTTGCGTAGATGATTAGTGCCAGTATAAGGGTAACCATTTAAAATATATTTTGATTCCATGCATGTCAAAAGCCAAAATTGTATGCCAAACTTATCCGGCTTATTTGATATGTACTGTGTGAACGGGGCACCTGGCTTTAGAAGGCAGTAGTTGTTCGTCCACAGTAAGGTTTATTCCCGGTTTGTAACATGCACCACTATTTTCTATAAATCCATTCCAAACCGCAGAGGCTAGAGCAAATTTGTTGGTTTTCAATCGTTCAGATCTCTTTTGCTTTATGTCAAAATCTGAGATATTTTATAATATCCTTGAATCTGTCTCGTGGCATAGTTTGCCTAAAAAACTGAGGACCCCATACTGTTGACCACAAGCTGTTGGTTGGGAAATTTTTGGCGCTGTAGACGCCTCTTGCGTACATAATAGCAAGGGCAGCCTCCAGTTTTTCCAAAGTTATAGTCCATGTGTCATTTTTCAAACATCGATGTGCTTCTGCAATAGTGCATTCTTTTATATGACGTAACATGCTGTCGTTGATTATTAGATGCCAAGCACTTACCACACAATTGTTCCTCACGTTCCTTTTTGCATACGACGTAGGACCTGATTCCTCTCGATAACCGTTGTGCTGAGCGCGGCGTCCTGTAATGAGCAAACATTCAATGAATATGGAGATACTAAAAATCATAATCTTACCAGGTACTGATCTAGAATTAATAACTTTCCACGTTGTTCCGTCTTTCGATTGTTCGGTGTCTCCGATTGAAATAGTTTTTCCTTTTTGCCCTCTTTATCTCTTGTGACTTGGCTTAGATGCACTTGGATTCACGATAAAATTAGCTGACTCGTGCTGTTGAGTTGTAGAAGCAGTGTTTACATAAATTGGTGAGTCTTGTACAATAAAACTTTCTAACTGCTCTGAAGCATCAGAGTCACTTGAATCATTATTTTATGGTGGTACGTATTACTTACTTGTATTTTTCGTATTTCTTCAAGAAGTTCAAGCTCTGATAGTGCACGACGAGACATCTTTACAGTCGTCTTGAATTTTCACAATTGAACGAATGTTTCAATATTCTAGAAACGAAAGTCAGCAGAACCTAATAAACCGCTCAATAAACAAAATACTTTCAAGGAACAAACAGTATGTAACAAAATACCTTCTAGGAATAAACGTACATAAACATAATTTTATCTATCTGACAGAAAGTTAAAAGAAATTGTCAAATTTCCGAGAAAACGATAATAATTAATACAGGGCCAGTTTATCCCCTTCAGACTTCTAAGGTAGGTTTGTTAGAAAATCCATTTAATAAATTTAGTAAACAATATTTTTTGCGTTAAATAAGACTTTGTACCAAAATATTAAAAGTCATAAAATATGAAATTATTATTGTCAAATAAAAGAACTACAATAACTTCAAATCGCAACAGGGGCCAAATTGGCCCCTCCGACTTTCTAGTGTTAAATAAATATTCCGTACTCATACTATTGCAATAAAATATTAAAACCAATAAACGATACCTTGTTGAGCAGTGCTGATTGAAACAACAGTGTACTAAAATGTTATTCATAAAGGTAGTGTAAAATATATCGAAGCTTATCTGGTCCGCTAGTAATAAAGTTACCAGCATTTAATTACAAAGCGCTCTTCTTAGGTGGAAAATACTTTACACTTTTTCCCTTTTGTGGTTTTCCATTGTGATCTATTTTTCCGATTTTCTATTCCAATCTCTTTAGTTTATTTGGTCATTACTTATTGTATTCCATTCCCATTATTGGTTATTTTTGAATTAGAACATAGGTCCCTTTTGAGCCCATTATCAACAAAAACCCTGAAGAGTGCTCACATGCTATAAAAAATATATTTCTATTTATTTTATATCATTAAATTTAATTTTTGTTCTTGAAGGTAAAACCCGGAAAGAAAACGAAGATCAGAAAATCACCAACAAAAAAGTATTATCCAGTAAAACCCCCGTACATATCCCCAAAGCGCTTTTCACCGTCTCCGAAGAAAAAATCGCAGTACAGAAAGTCACCCTCGCCGAAAAAAACTTACAAACCACAATTATTTACGTCCCATCAACATGAACATATTATCCACGCTGAACCAAATGTTAAGTATTACAGTTCGAAAGGTAAGGAAAATGTACACACTGCATATCTATCTGAGAGAGTTACTACTGAGAGTTTTATATCAGCTGAGAAAGTTAATTTTGTGGAGTATTCCAATAAATTCACAAATGGTGGTGAGAGAAGGGGCACATTTGTCCTTAAACGAGAAAACTCGGATATTTTCAATGATAGTTTGGAAATGAATAATGAAAATGAATGTCCCAATGGTAATAAACAAAGACGACCTCCCCTAACATCCTACAATGGCGATACATTAACCCCAGATGTATCATTAGGTACTTACTTCAAACAAAAGTCGTCTATGCCAGATTCGCCCAAATATGGCTTCGAATACCAGCTGATGCAGATGGAATCATTTTCTTTCACACCAACAAATACACCCATCAAACGAAAAACAAGATTTGAAACAGATTTTGTAAGCACAGTTAAAATGAAAAAAGAGACCACTTTTGACATTCCAGATCTTCCTACAAATTTAAATTTAAGCTCAGAAACTTATACGAAGTCAAGATTAAGTTCGGAGACTTATGTAAAGGATAACACCAGTTTTGAAACTTACGTTAAAGGTAATTTGAGCGGAGAGACATATACAAAAGATAATTCGTTAGGTAATTGTGAAAATTTAAGTCCTTTGTCTACGAAGATGTCACCCATACGTCAAAAGAGGTTTAGTCCTGAACCTTTTAGAACACCGAGTTTAGCGTCTTATTTACAGGACGTGAATAACGTGAAGAATAAAAATTTTTCTCAGTTTCAAAGATCGACGATCGCTGATTCTCTGAATGCTACCAGTTTTAGTTCAAAATTGGAAAGGCTTGATTATGACTCAACTTTAAACACAAATCAGTTTAATTTTACAAAACCTGTACTAAACGATGTGACTTTGAATTTTAGTACTAATAGTCAATTTGAAGATACTATTACAAATGAGTTCAATTTCGCAAAGCCGAATAACTTCATGTTTTCGACACCAGAAGTAGCCATTAAAAACCACATTAATTTTCAAAGAAACGACCCTTATAGTAGACCAGATATCAGCCAAATCAGTTTTACCATGTCGGATCGTCCACTCAGCGCTATTCAAGAAGAATCCTTTGACGTGAATCATTCAAACACTCGAAAAAAATGTGACTTAGACCTAACAGCAAACTTTTCTAAACCTGGTGGTGGTCTGACAGGACCTCAAAATTGGTCTAGGAGAGGAGGAGCTGCACTTAGAGTAGCTAAGAATACTTCCGGTCTCAATTTAAAAAAGTTTATGAACAATAAATCTGAAGATGTACGCAGAGAGAAGAGGAAACAAGAAACAATTTCTGAGATCAGTAGGAGAGATACTAATACGGTAATCATACAGAACCCGTTTTTGCTAGCTGCTACTAATATGGTTGATCCGTTTATAATTCCGCATCTCTTTGTAGACGAAACTTGGATTGACGAACAGGAGGTTTATTTCAAAAAATGGTTGAATTCGCTGTTAACACCTCCTCAAGAACTGTATTCCGAAGACAAAATCATAGATGTAGCTAAAGTGTGGCAAGAGTGTAAAAAGCGAGAAGTAGAGGCTGCTCCTACTAAAGAAGAAATCTCTAACAAGTATCACGTAAATGCAAAATTGAATAGTTTAAGAAAATCCGCACAAACTTTGTACAGATCCCAAGAAATTACAAATGTTCTATCTAAAGTTTTAGCTGCTGTAGATAACGGCAAGGTGAGCATTAGACAAGATAAAGATGTGCATCTTAATCTTTCTATAAAGTCTGATGTTATGTCCCATTTATTGAGTTATAATCCGTTGTGGCTCAGAATTGGCTTGGAGACTATTTATAACGAAATAATTCCACTGCATTCTAATTCAGACATCGTTGGACTTAGCACTTTTTTGATCAATAGATTATTCAAAAACCCCACTTTGGTAAAGAAACATAAGTCTGTTCATGCTGCAAAATATGTTCTGGATTTCAACAAATTCTTCTTGAAGAAATATTTAATTTTGGTGTATTTCCTCGATCAAGCTAAAACGAAAAAGTTAATACCCCACAATCCTTGCTTATTCTGTAAAACAGGCAAAGTTAAAGAAAGCAAGGAACTGTTGCTTATGTTAGCTAGAGAGTTACTATCGGCAGTTGGTGATATTACTAAGTTTCTGAAGTTTTCTGGATATATAGTCACGCACGTGCAGACTTACATCCACGAATTTGATTACGCTGTCAAAAACTTGGGAGTAGATCTAAGAGATGGCGTACGATTAACTAAAGTCATGGAAATTATTCTTCTTAAGGAAGATTTAACAAATAGTTTGAGAGTGCCAGCTATATCACGTTTACAAAAGGTACATAATATGAAATTGGTGTTTGATTCCTTAGAAAGTGCTGGTTATAAGATCTTGTACGACATTACACCCAAAGACATTGTCGATGGCCATCGGGAGAAAACTATGTCCTTCTTATGGCAGATTATTTACAAGTTTGAGGCACCACTCATGGTCAAATGTGCTAGTACTATTCAAACGTGGTTCAGAAGCCTTCCTGTCCTTCTGAAACGAAGAAAATTACAGAGATTACATCAGCAGAAAGAGAATGCTGCTAGGAAAATACAGAATTGGTATAGAAGGCAAAAACTCGTAGCAAAATTAGAAGAATTTACTTATTTATTAACAATCTACTTAAATTTAATTAAGTCAGAAAAAGCTGCTATCAAAATACAGTCCTACTACAGAATGTACAGGCAAAAAGATGCTTACAAGAAACAAATTATGGCAGTAAATGGAATACAGAAGTATTGCAGGGGATGGCTGATCAGAAATTTCTATAAACAACGTATAAAGAGTGCTGTACTGATCCAAAGTCACTTACGAATGTTCCTAGAAAGAACTAGATATCTAAGAATAAAGAAAGCTGTAACAATTATACAAAGATGGTATAATTCCAAGAAACAGGTACAGCTTGAAGTGAACAAGTACCAAAAGTTGAAAACTACTGTCATTTTTGTTCAGCAAAAATGGAAAGCTAGGGTTTTAGCTAAAAGGGAAAAACTGCAATACGAAAAACTAAAATCAACTGTAATAACTGTGCAAAACATTTTTAGAGCGAATCGCTTATGTAAAATTGAGAGACAAAAGTACCAAATGATAAAATCAACTACAATCTACATCCAACGTTGGTACAGGTCTATTAAAGCGATGCGAATTCACAGAGAACAATTTTTAGAACTAAAACGAACAGTGATTATCGTTCAACAGCGTTATATTGCTTTAAAATTAATGAAAAAGGAAAAAGCAAAATATCAACAAATAAAAAGTGCTTGCATAACAATACAACAACAATATAGAGCTCAGAAACTAATGAAAACAGCTAGGATTCAATATCTGCAATTAAGAAAAGCTGCGATTGTTTTACAACAAAGATATAGAGCCAAACAATCAATGCAAAAACAAGTACTCTATTATAAGGCTTTGCAAAAATCTGTTCTAATTGTTCAAGCACGTTACAGAGCTAAATTAGACATGCGAGCTGCCAGTCAACAGTTTGTTACTATTAAACAAGCGACTGTAAAAATCCAAGTGTGGTATAGGTCAATTCTGCACATGCGCAGATGTCGCGAACATTATAAATCTCTCCAAAGAGCCTCTAACATACTCAAACAACGGTACAAAGCTATAATACTCATGAGAAAGGAAGTGTCGAGGTATCAGGGTATAAAAACGGCCACTTTGGTGATTCAACAACGTTATAGAGCTTTAATAAAAATGCGAACCTGCCAAGATTATTACGAAAGATTAAAGTTATCGACGATATTTATACAAAGAAAGTATAGAGCTAACAAAGCTGCAAACTCGCAAAGAAAATATTACTTACAGATGAGAAACGCTGCTGTTACATTACAAACGAGATATAGAGCCAAACGAGAGATGGTTTCCTGTCGAACATCTTTTATATCAATTCGAAATGCTGCGGTGGTAATTCAATCTCGTTATAGAGCCAATCAGTTAATGAAAAAAACGAAACAGGAGTACCAACAGTTACTAAAATATACCATAATAATACAGCGCATGTATAGAGCCAAACAGTTAATGCTAAAAGAAAAAAATAATTACTTGAAACTAAGACAGTCAGTTGTTAATGTTCAGTGTAGATGGAGAGCAAAGAAGCTTGAAAAAGAACAAAAACAAGCTTATGATAGTTTAAGAAGAGCTGTGATTCATGTTCAACTAAAATGGAGAGCAACTAAATTAGCTCGAAAAGAAACATACATATCGATACTAAAATACTACCAAGGAACGGTAAATAACCATTGGTTCAAAAATAAAATGGAGAGCTAAAGACTTTGGGTTGATGAATCGAAAGTGAAGAAAGAAAAATGGTGAATATAAGCGCCAACCTTCTTCAAACCCCCACGCCCACCCCCACCCTTCGCCTATTCTGCGCTCCATCCCTACTTCACAATGAATATGCTACTGCTCTCCAACCCAGACGCACTACCACCCCCACAGCTGCGGAACAGCCATAGCCGCAATTACCCCAGCTCCTCAAACTCTTCACCCCATTACCCTTCTCCGTTTTCCCCCCATCTCTCTACTTCTCTCAAACTTCCACCACTAACGTCTCCCATCCTATCCACATATTAAACAATACCCAGTATAGGCTCCACTTCCGCATTCTTTCAAAGTTAGCGTCCAACGCCCCCCACCACATCCCCCTCCTCGGCTACTACCACCCTAACATCTCGGCCCGGCCCCCACAAAAATTGCTACCCCCGCGTCGCCAGAATCTCTTCAATCCTCATGCGTATTATACCGCCCCCCGCCCACCCACAAATTGCCCTCGCTGTTTCCCAATAAAATCACCAAACCCCACCATCATTCTTGCTCACAAGACAATACGCCTCCCCCCCGTACACCTTTAATTCTACTCCGACCCCAATCCCCCCTCTGCCTTCTGATCCTCATATTATACAACCCTCGCCCCCATTTCTCTTTGTACCCCTAATCCAATCTAAGCTTCTACACACTTCCCCTTCCACATGCCCTCCCACCTCCCTATTTGCATTAACCATTAAACTGACGCACCCTCCCTAACCCAGTTCTTCCACAGCCCTCACAGACTCACTACCCTATCACTTGCCCCCCGCCACTCACACAGATCGTCTTTACCCCCCTTGGAAGCGCCCCCTAACACATATTATCATCTCCCCCTACTAATGTCTGTGACACACCCGCACCCCCCTTGTCTCCCTACCCTTCCTTAGATGCACACCACCAACCCCCCACCCTGACCAAAAAGACCATCCCCGTGGAAGTCTATTCATTTAATGAGAATTGAGGTACAACGATACACTTTATTAAAACGTACTACAATATTAATTCAGAGAAGAGTTAGAGCAAATTTAGAAATGGTAAAACAAAGAAAACAGTATTTAATCACGAGAAACTCGGTTATTACAATTCAACGATGGTACAGACGTTGTGTACAAGCTAGGAACGAAAGGGTGACATATTTAGCAAAGATAAAAGCAGCGAAGGAGATACAGAGGTATGCCAGAGGGTATTTGGTTAGACGGAAGTATGCAGATTACTTTACTCCAGAAGCCAGGGAGCGCCGAAGAATCGAAAAAGTTCAAAGCGAAGCAGCTGTAAAAATACAGGTAAGTTTTTCTCCTTGTCTTAAATTATTTGTGTTTTATGTATGTTTATTAATGTGTAGACACCAGTTGAGGAGCATCTGTTCAAAAGGTCGTATTTTCACCATAAATAAACTTTATGATAACTTAAAAAACTGCCTGTTCACATAATTTTCTTTTTATAATATATTTATATATACATTAATATGAAGGTTAAAACTACAATATGATGTACATTTTCAAAATAAAAGAAAAACCTCAAACTTCTAGGATTTGTTCAGTTTTATTTTAGAAACACGACTTTTTGATCAGTCAACTCAGGAATACGACCTTTTGGTTAGTCAATGTTAGAAATATGGCTTTTTGATTTGCCACTTCTGGAAATAAGGCCTTTTGACTAGACCTTAGAAATACTTTTAAAATTAATTATTTAAAAAAAATCATCCTTATACTCTAATGTCCCCAATGTCTGGTACCATGCAAACACATTCACTGTCTTCATCATTATTTTCCTCATTGATGGTATTGTGCTCACTCAGAAAAATATTTCTATACCATTGTAAATCTTCAATCAAGTTCCAATCTTCACCAAATTGTTTAACGAATAATGATGTGACATCTTTTTTTATTCCCATTAAGACCCTTACCTAGTGGTTGATCTTGCAGTTCCGTTGGATGTCGTTTAACACGCTTCAATAGTGATTCAAATTTTTCTCCTAAACGATAGTTTTCAAATGCACAAACTTTTACAGCTTTGAAACGACCACCTGGACTTTTAATTTTTCTAATTTTGATTCTCTTGGCAGATTGAATTTGTACAAGCTTTTTGTAATTTAGCTCCAATTTTTTAATATCTAGAAGTGACCAATCAGTACCCATATCATGAACATTTCCATATTTCTTTATAGTCTGCCCTGTGTGTAATAATGGGTTTTTTTCTGATATCTTTTTCGATTCTTCCGAGATATGATTCGCAGGTAAGAAGCTATGCCCACGGACTGGAAAAGTTATAGAGATTTCTTCAATTGTATTATTGCTATTAGCTAGCCAGTATATTAATAAAAATTGGATGTGGCTATTTTTATTTTGACCGCCACAGTACAAAATTAGTGATGTGACATTTCCCCCTATTTTTAACTTTTCCAAGTATGCCAGCAATCCAGAGCCAATTTATACACATCCACAAGAACCTGCGTTTCATCCCATAAAAAGAAACCAGATTCATTTTTGTCCACGTCGGTAATACAAAAGTTGTAAAAACTGATTTGCCTACTGTAGTATGCATCCTGTATAGGGGTTCTAGGTAATGGTAATACCTTCTGCAAATCAAAACATATTATTCTGAAGCTATTTTCTTGTGACATTTTAAAGTAATTACTATTTAAATGGGAATAAGCCACAATTAAAGGTTAAAATACGTTTATTGACGTTTCAATTTCCACTTCACTCAAGTGTCAATGTCAATCACTCCTACTCACCGGCTTCCAACTAAAACCCCCTCGTAGGGAGAGAAAAACGGAAAATTTCGTTTTATTAAAAATCAATTAAACCTGTGCTATTGAATCCGCTTCCTTATTATGGCTAAATTGGCATATTTTTTATGTATAATTATTTCAGTCTTACTGGAGGGGCTACAAAACAAGATCTACAGAAGAACCTGGCATGTGTAAAATACGAGAAAGATTCATGAAAGCCAATGCCACTGCTATGGTTGAGAATACTCTACAGTTTCGATGTAACGCAGCTTTGCAGACGATTGCACTGGAAAATTGTACATTATTCCATATCAACCACGCCCTTGAAGATATAGGTATGTATTGTAAACTATATTTCATAAAGTCTCTTTGATCTACTAAGACTTTAAAGCAGCTACATCTTTTGGAGCAGCTCACAATCAATTTATTCTACCACCAACGACCGGTTTCGCATACTATAATTTGCTATGTATCTTCAGGTCAACGGTATATGGTAAACTAAATGCTGAAAATATAATAACCCGTATTAGGGTGTTGTCTGGCACAGAATATACAGGAATTATGCTAATATTACATGTGTGTGATTATTAAATATGACTTTAAATTGATTAAATAAAATATCGGTGAAAAACGATCTAGTAAAATTGAAATTAAATAAATATTACTTACATGCCGATACAAGGATTATTATTAGATGTTTGAGAAAACATAGGTAAAAAACTGTTATGGTAAGCTGGTGATGCCATAAAGGGAGGAAAAATACCGAATTTTTTAATATTTTGTTGAATAAACCTTAATTCCACATTTTACAACTCACGCATAGTGAAATTATCATTTGTAGTGATATTTTCGAACGATTTATCCAAAAAACTGCGATTATAGGCTTCACATCCAAAAATCGACTGCATTATTCATTTCATATACAATTTATCAATTATATTTGAAAATAAATACATTGGTAACATCTCCATAAATCCAATGTCAAGAATATAATACAGCATGTTGAGAATTATAAATTAATGTACATTTAATGAATGGCTGATTATATCCTTATATTTTATTGTTATTTTAGATTATGCTACCAGAAGATGCAAGAAGATCTGTGTTTCGTTAAGAAAACTCTTGCCTGACCAACTCTACCTAATGCTAAGTTCCACAGCGAGGTCCTTGCCAGAAATGAACGCCTGCATTTACTCTGTCAACATATTAATAACCTTCAATAAACTGAAAGAGACTAAAGAATGCAGCTTCGTTCCGAATTATATAGAAAAACTAATAACGCTGATGACGACTTGGTGCGACAAAGAATCTCAACTGTTCCCGGCACTATGTACTCTCTTTTGGCTGTTTTCTCATACTCCGCGATGGAGGAGATTCATTTTAGATTTGCCCAATATCAAACAGAAATTAGAGAGGATCAAAGGACTGGTGACAAGGAAAGCTAATATGGTGAAGAAGCAAGTAACCAAAGGATCCACCGTGTTCGCTAGTTTTAAAACCTTACCCACACCGTCGTTGTTACCCGATTGGGGATTGGAGTATAAGAAGAATCCATTCGCCTTTACTAATTCCGTACACGGATTAAATTCGCTGATGGCCATTTTATCGATTTAAGAAGAAACTGTTTTTAATAAATAATGATTGTATATTTTTATAATTTTGATAGATTTTTAGGAAATAAAGTTATTAAGTTTTTTCTTTGATTATTACTAAACTAACACTGGGGCCCTGTGTTGGTTGAACTGATGTTTTGACATGAGAAAAATTAGAACCTCCTGAATGATATGAATGTTGCTGTTTCAGAAAAGAGTAGTATATTCGTAATGGAGTGGAATGCTATAGTAGTAGAACAATCTGGGTTCTGGACCACCTTGATAACTGTACCACCATGGTCTCTAGGGGGACTTCTTTGACCTTAAGGTGTGCAAGAAGTCCAAGAAGTGATCGACAATGGCCAGGGGGTTGTAGGGAGTGGTCGATTCTCTCTATGGCTCTTTTTCTCCACAGAAGAAGTGATCAACAATCACTAGATAGTAGATGAAGATGAAGTGTCAAATGACGAGAAGAAACTTCTTCTTTAAATTCCACCTTCTATTGAAGGTTGGAAATCATCATGAGTATCCGGACCCTGTTGACTGCTGCTCTAAATAGTTCTGCATTACTGCATTCAAACCATTCCCTCAAGTTCTTAAGCCATGATATTCTTCGTCTTCCCAGATTTCGCGTTCCTCGAATTTTTCCTTGCATAATAAGCTGCAATAATGAGTATACTTGCCCTCTCATAACATGGCTAAGTACTAAAGTTTTCTTCTTTTGATAGTTAATATTATTTCAGCTTCATTTCCTATTCTTCTAGTAACTTCTGCGTTTGACATTCTTTGAGTCCATGATATTCGTAGGATTCTTCTGTAACACCAAAATTCAAAGTCGGCCAACTTATTTAGATGCACTTGTTTTAATGTCCATGTCATTCCAAGCCATAAAGGAGAGTAGTGAATACGTAACACCGCAGCATTTTTAGGCGTAGTCCTAACCTTATGTTCCGACAACGAAACTTTTTAAGTTTAGCGAATTATGTACGTGCTATTTCAATACGTGTCTTAATTTCTTTGGTTTGGTTGATAACATTTGATGTTATCCATGTTCCAAAATATTTGTAGATATCCACATTCTCAATTACAGTATCCTCAACAATGAATTGGATGTTTGCATCTGCTGATTTAGTCATGATCATGCATTTAGTTTTTTTCAAATTCATCACTAGTTCGTATTCATGACAGCATTCATTAAGTCGTTGCATTGCGTTCTGTAAATCATTGTTATCCATTTTACTGTATCGTCTGCAAAACGAAAATTATTCAAAACTTCTCCATTGATAGATATACCTTCTATTAAATCTGAAAGCGCTTCTTTAAATACCGCTTCACTGTAGACATTGAAGAGTAGTGGTGACAGCACCTGGTGGACTCCTCTCTGTATTTTGATATCTCGGGTGTTCTGGTTGTCAACTCTTACCTTGACAGTTTGATTACAATATAGATTAGATAAATTTTCATATCACGACTGTTAATATTTTTACTTTTTATTATTTCTACTAGCTTTTTATGTTTAACCTTATCAAAATGTACAAGACACGAGTACATGTTCCGATTCATATCCATGCATCTCTGGGCCAGCACATTCAAGCTGAACAAAGCATCTCTTGTTTTGGGTACTACCACAAAGGTCGATGCAGCCATTGTCTGGGGATTGTGGAAGTCTGATTGAGAGTTCAACCATTACATCAATGAGTTTTAATAATTCGATGGGCACATCATCTGGCCCGGTAGCTTTGCCCTCTTCCGTGTTTTTGATGGCAGATGACTTCTTCACGTAATATTGGTGGTCCGGTATCTTCTGCGGTTTCTAATGATAGTTCTTCTCTTCCATCTTTAAATAGCATTTGGATGTAATTGGTCAAATTTATTATTGTGTGTAAAAGAAGAAATCAAGGGATAAGCGATTAGTTTTGGTCTCGCATATAGGGTAGCCTCTTCTCGTCATTTAATACTTCTTCATCTACCCTCTGGTCATTTTCGATGACTACTCCTTACAACCTTTGGTCATTGTCGATCTCTTGTTGGTACTTCTTGCACACCTCAAGGACAAAAAAGCCTCGGAGAATCTGATGGCACGATTACCAAAGTGGTCCAGAACCCGGTTAGTTGTACTACTTACAGGTTTTGCATCATTTTCGTTTCACCCCGTATATCATAAAACACCGATCTCTGAGATTGATAATATACACATTTTCGAGTCTGTTTATAATAAAAATATTGCTCTTTCGTTTGATATTGGTTCTGCTTAGATATTTACGTAGGAAACAAACAAGAATCTTTCCGCTTATGCTTATACCGATTTTTGAGGCTGAGATCACTTCTCAGCGATGGACCGGCCGTAAGAGCGGAGAGCGATGTTGGCAGCCGTGGAGAGCAATTTCAGGGTCTGAGCACGTGAACACTCTTTTCGTGAGGTTGTGAAAAACCGGTAGTTTCCCTTAATTCCAGGAGTTTTGGTGAGAAAAAGTGATCTGAGCTCAAAATGCCATGTGGCAATCTTTGCAATGTGAGTTAATCACAGTTTGTTGTAAGCTATATCCTGTGGCCAGGGATTTGATAACGGCGGCTGAGGGCTAAGTAAGCCGACAAGTGGAAAATAAGCAGCCGAGTTTGACGGATCACATATTGCTATCATCCAGGATAACCTGAAGTCCAGTTTTACTATTTGATTTGATTTCTCCCAGGATTTGTGCAGCCTCCATTTTGTGTCTTCCAAAAGTCAGGTTTTATTATTTGAAATTTGTGGGACAATGTTTTTTTGTTCAAATCTAAGGTATCAAACTTTTTTAATAATTTAGAAAGAAATAACTAGCCAGTGAAGCGAGTAATTTTGTTAAATTTATCTTAATAAACTTGTAGATAGAACAAATCTTAATATAAATTAAAAATAGAACAAATCTTAGTATAATATATTAAGATTTGTTCTCATAACAATTAAAAAAGTTTATAAATAAATATGTTTTAGGTATCAGTTAATTGTCATACATATTTTAGTTTCTTGCAAATAAAATTAACCATTGATAATTAATAATTCAGAAAAGCTTGGTAGTTCATTTCGACACATGACAGTTAGTACATCTTTTTCTGCCATTTGATATATAACCATACTTTTAAATTTTGTTTTGCTGTTAGAAGGTACAATGTCATGTTTTTTTGTAATAACTGTTTATGTGAAATAAATATGTACTTTTTATCTTTAAACTAGAAGCTTAAAAAAAACATATTCACCCTTAAAAATTTATAGCAAAGAAAAACCCTAAACCTTTCTTTCTAAGCAGGAAGATGATTTTTAATTATCCTTATCCACGACCTTGCTATCCAATCAAAACACGAGTAGCTGTTTTCAAACATTTCAATTTTTTTGCTTAGCCTATCTCCAATCCCAGTAATTGTTTAGTCTCCCCTTTAGCCCCCCTCTGAGCAATTAATATTGTTACAGTTTTCCACCATGCTCTTCTCAATAGGTGAAGTATATTTAGAAGAGAGAAACCGCACATTTAATCCTATCAAGGACCGGATGGTTTCTTTTGAAGATTTTCCTCTTCTGCCTTAAAAAATATTTTATTTTAGCTCTATACAAAAAAATAAAAGGCGTATGTATAATATTGGATTTTCTTAGGCTTCAATTTGTCTCAATCGCTTGGAATTTATATTAAAACATTCATAAAAATATTTATTTAAAAAATATTTATAAATATATCTCTATTTTCTAAATTCTTTCTAGCATCTGGAACATATCGTTAAAAAGAAGTTTCAAATATAATGGGCTTGCCATTTTCGTCAAACTGTTTAGGTTTGAGCACCAACTTTTTCTCTTCTTCTTCCTCTTCTACACCTTCATCTGGGTTATTGCCGTCAAGGCAATACAATAAGGATTCTGTAACAAATAAAATTTTTACATTTGACAAAAATAATTTAATTTCAAATTTTACAGAAAAATTTAGTCAAGAATTCTGCCTTTCTTTCTCTCTCTCTCTCTCCCTCTCTCTCTCTCTCTCTAGCATACGGATATAAATAAAATATCAATGAATAATTTAGAATACCTGTGAGTTGTCCTTCTGTGTATTCCGTGGAGGTAAAGTCGTCAGTTCTGCTTGAAAAACTCGAATCCTGCGGCGAATAAATCGTAACAATGTCTCTATTGCTTAAATATTCTTTAAAAGTATCACTAAGAATGGCGTCGGATTCACTTTTATTCATTTTTGACACGTCTACTTTGGTATCTTTGTTGATGTCTCCTTCGCTCTTCGATTTGACAGGCGGATTCGTCTGGAAATTTGACATTGGCGTTTCTAATTTTTCTTCTATTACATTGTCCATTACGTAATTTGTTGGATCGGTCTTTGGTAATGTATGGATGTTTGTACCGGAAAGTAATAATACTGGTTTTCGACTTCGAGGAGTCATCATCGTTTCCTAAAAAAACCGTTTGAGAAATTGTGCATATGTTTCATCATCTACAGGCTTATAAAATAAAATGATCACGGTATAATGGACATATCAACCTATAGATGTTGTAGTTAACCACCATAAATCTCTCCTCAAGCAGTTAAAATAAAAAAATTAAAAATTAAAACACACCATTATGACCAAACACATTTAAAAATGATTTTTTTGGTGGATTAAAAATGTTTCTTGTGGTGTGTTAGCAATAAATCTTATCTTATCTAAGATTTGTTCCAACGTTTCAGTACTTGGTTGTATTCTTAATTTCTTAAAGTATTTTAAGGTCTTTTTTTGTGAGGTTTTAAGATTATAAGGTGGCCTGTGTCAAGGGTCCGAATTCTCTTGCATGCATGTCAGCAATATAAAGGCTAAAGTAAACGGGCAAATACAGAACGCTGTGGAAATGAATTATTAAATTTCATCTGTTTACTCATATTCTTTCCCATGATTATCTGGAAGTTTCTGTTTGGCAGCATGTTGTCAATGAGGCTGATTATCTCTCCGCGGTGGATTATATGGGCCATAATATATATATATATATATATATATATAAATATATATATATATATATATATATATATATAATATATATATATATATATATATTCCAGTGTATGGAATAATCAAGAATTTTTATTACAAAAAATAGTAAATTAATGAACGAAAGATCCATCACCCAAATGATGTCAATTATAAATGCAATAAAAGAAAATAATGAATGGAAGTATGAATAGATTGTTTTTCACATTTAGTTAAATAAAATCTGATTGATCGATTATTTTTTTCAGTAATAGTTAAATGTTTAAAAACACACAAAAGCATAAAATAGAAAAAAAAGCACAATGCAAAACAGGTATAAAAGTTTTAGACAAAATAATGTTACAATTTACGAATTAAATAATTTTTTGAGCCTTTTGTGGTGGGGGTAGACTAGTTCGTCGGATCGTGACATATGATACATCATTGGAAAGGAGAGGCGGTAGCGAATATGTTAAAACACAAAAAACACATTGCAGCATTGCTAAGAGGGCATTACATCATATTTCCTTTGTGTTTGGTCCGATTGCAGCGTGTAGTACGTTAAATGAAAGGGAAGGATGTCACGAATATATTAAGATAGAAAAAACAAATAAAGCAACTAACAAAAGGGAACTACACAGTGTCTTCATTATTAATGAACGTAATAGTTACATACCAGATGTCATAGGGCACTATGCATAAAAAAATAGTTTACCTAAAAGACAAATTTTGATTTATTGACTTAAAGGTCTCTGGCTGAATGCAAAATAAACAACTGATCGAATCCTAACAGCAAATGAAAGAAGAGATATATATTCAGATACAAAAAATATACAAGGCGACTACTAAAAGGGCACTACACATTATCTTTATTATTAATAAATGTATAGCGAGATAAGAAATATCATAGGGCACTATGGATCAAAATAGATTTACCACAAATTTAGATTTATTGACTTACGGAAGACCTCAGGCTTAGTACAAAATAAACAACAGATCGAATCCTAACATGCGACATAGCAAATAAAAAGGGAAAATATAACGAATATATTTAGATAGATAGAACAAACAAAGAGACTATCAAAAGGCACTACACATCGTCTTCGATTATTGAACATATAGCGGACATACGACATATCACATGACACTATGGATGATAATAGACATATTTGCTTTATATATACAGCTTAAGGTAAATATAACGTAAACTTGCTTTATTGGACTGAAAAAGGCCTCTGACTGATTACAAAATAAACAACTAGTCTAATACTAGCTTATAACACATCAAATCAAACGACGTGGGACGTGTAGTACATAATATAATGTATATAGCATGCCATCTATATATTATATATATATATATATAATATATATATATATATATATATATATATATATATATATATTACACTGGGTATAGAAAAAAAACATGATGTCAGGTCAGAAGTGCACATGAGAATACTTTATATTTACTTGGATTATATGCAAAAAAATTATTATTTTAAAAATTTAATGACTGACTGTAGATGACAATTGATTGGATTCCCCGTGCAAAGTTACTAGAAACAGATGATAAGGTACTATTTTTACATAAATAAACACACGACATAATACAAATTGTAACATTTTTTATCTAAAGAATAATGAAAGCAACAAACCTGCATAGCTTTGGCATCCTCTGCGCTGACATCGTAATCGGCGACATCGACTTACTATCCTTTTGATTCGGCGTAAAAACTTCTGTGCATGCTTTTAGTGGGAAACATGCCGGCGTGCTAGTTAAATAACCATTACAGTCTATAGAGTCTTCTCTCTCGCTTAATTCCGGCTCGGAAAAACTACCCTTACCTTCGTCTTCGTTATTGTCTTTGGTGGAAAGACGGTCACAACTCCTACTGGTTTTTCTCCGTTTTGCCGGCGTGGGTCCTTCGTTGGTTAGATCCGTGCTGGATTCGTAATTGTGGTAGCACAAGAGACGTGCTCGCATTGCTAAAGAAGGAGAGCCCGTAGGGCTCTGAAAAGAGGGTCCTTTTAGATATCAGTTTTACATTTACAGTACTTTAATTTTACCTAATGTATCGGTCATGTAAGTTTACTAATATTTACATGATATAGACCGAATTACTACAAAGTGCTCCTAGAACAGACTTGCTATTAATTCTTCAAAGACAATGTTACTTGTGGTTAGTAAACAAGATATTGGCCCTAGGCCAATTAGTTGTCAACAATGAGACCATTTTAAATATTTAGAATGCTGGATAAACAACACACTAAATCCCGATGAAGAAATTAAATCTGATATACAAATGATATGAGGAACATTTATAAAACTAAGACTTATACTCTGCAATTTTCAGCTGAACCTATATTTAAGATTTAATAAGTTCTTGAGGGTTAAGAAAAGAGAAAACTTAAATACTTAGGGCATATAATAAGAGGTATAAGATACTGGATATTGCAGTTTATACTCAATCGAAAGATAGAAGGAAAACGTGGAATTGGTAGAAAGAAATATTTGTGTTTCTGAATCCTTCGTCAATGGAACGATTTATCTTCTTCTTCTTCCTTCTTATATGTAGGCTTTAAAGCAGCTTCTTCTTGAATATTAGCCTCCTAAAGTGTTTAAATTATCGCTCTCTTTCTTGGTCTGCCGGTCTGCCAATACTTCTTCGTCCATTTGGTGACTTATCTCGTGCTATTCGTACTATTGTATCCTCCGCCATTCTACTGATGTGTTTTTTCCACTTTTGTTTTCGTTTTGTCACCCATCCATTTATGTCTTCTATATCTCTTCTTATGTTTTAGCTTCTCTCCCCATGAAACAAACTTTTCTCCCATAGTGTATATGGGTTTAATAAATACTGATTTGGCATCTCCAAAATGTTCAGCCATAGTGTATGTGGTTTCACTAATCACTGTTTTTGGATCCCCAAAATTTTCAGCCATAGAGTATATGGATTTACTAAACACTGATTTTGCATCAAAATTTTCAACCATAGAGTATGTGGGTTTATTAATCATTGTTTTTGGATCCTACACTTTGTAGCCATAGGGTATGTGGTTTTACTACTAATTGTTTATTTTTATTTATAGGGTAGGTATGTGAATTTACTAATCACTGTTTTTGGATCCCCAAAATTTTCAGCTATAGGGTACAAGGGTTTACTAATCACTATTTTTATATCTAATCATTGTCATATCTACAATCATCTAATCAATATACTAATCACTGTTTTTGGATCTTAAAATTTGTATTAGGGTATGTGGTTTTACTACTCATTGTTTATGTGAGTGAAGTGAAAATTGATTTTGGATGGGACTTGCGCCGTGATCGTTTGTGGGTTTTATCAATTATTTTTTATATTCTTAGAAGACTAATACCCCATTTCACCGCCCCTCCTAGATTGCGTATGTACTCAAAGAAAAATATATCATAAATCTATTCACTTTTGGTGATTTAAAACAAGAACTTAAAGTTCTTGACATTTCTAAATAGGTCTGAAGTTCCACTAATATCGATATATAAATTTACGAGAATTAAGCCGACCAATGTATTGTAATATGGGAAGAAACACTTCAATTTAGGCTTTTACAGCCAGTGTTTTGTAATTAAACATTGTTTTCTGGATTTGGCTTTGGGCTATATTGGGAATTATTTTTTTGTAAAGCTTCCTTTACAACTATTGCAGACATTCTTAAAAGCCATGCGGTACAGCTATGTATAGCTATCATGTGCTACCACTGTCAGTTGGTCTGAATTGGTACTCTTGTTATAACAAGCCCTGTGTTTCTTCAAATACCATTTAGTGGATACATTACGTGATGCTGTGTCCTGCAATGACAGTTCCTCCTGCGATCAGCGCAAGAATATTTACACTACATTTCGTTGTTCCAATGTACAACCAAACCACTACATATAATGCAGAACTTTCTGTGATAGACAACGGTTATCTTGGACCTTTGGCTGATCTGGACGTTCTTGTAATATCTTTGTTGGTTTTTTTCTTTTGTAATTACAACTTATTGTTGCTCTTACTGTTATGTTTAGTTATAAATTGTAGTTTACATTTTATAAAACATTATTCTTTGTTTAAATTTTTACACCAACTATCAGGAAAACTTAATAAGTGACTAATATTAATAAACTTACATGAAAGCTCTCGTTTTATGCACTTATGTTTAAGGCATCATAAAACTTTAATCTAAAAGGTAAGCATGCACACACAAGCAAAGTTTAAAATGCAAAAAAGGCTAGAAAAATGCCAAGTTAGTCACAAATGTTGTATAACACAATACATTATAATGGGGTGATAATAGTTAATTATGATAATATAATGTGATTTGTGGTTTTGATGTGTTTGATAGGTTGCTTTAAAAAACTTTGTGTATCCATATATGATTTATACCATCTAGACAAAAATACACACTTTTTTCAGTTCAGAGTATAGAGAAGTTCACACTACGACACATTTTGCTTCTGGTACAACTATCTAATCTAGGAAAACTCAAATTGGAAAGTCAGATGAAACAACAGTAACAGTAACAGTGAAAAAGTATTATTGCAATCGCAAAATAAAAAGTGGCCAGAAAACATAATTGCTGCCACATGACATAAAAGTTAATTGAAAACCCAAAATCACACAAAAATATGCACATGTAACTAATATAAGCGTCCTTATTATTGCACAAATCATTTACTGTTAAAACTATCTTTATATACAGAATAAAAAGCAACTAAAAAAACTCACCTCAAATCCTGTCCCAGAAGGTGAATTTTTGACCACAAATCCTTTCCGCCTAGCCAGATGTTTTTGAAAGATGTGTTTTTTGATAGAATCACCTATACTTCTATTCTTACTACTTTTTATGGCTTGCAACGGTGTACCATATCCATTTTCCTTGTTAAACTGTTTTATCAACTTTCTTTTTTTAGACGATTCAGGCAGACTTTGGATATGAGCATACAACTGAGCCAAAGCTGTTTCTGTAGGATTAGACTCGTTTTCTTTAGCAGTACGCTCTTGATCAACAAAAGTGAATACTGTGCTAGCAATATCTGCAGTTGATTCATTGAGTCGTTTGACAGGAGACAAAACTCTCTTCTTTTCGTATTTAGCTCTAAAATCGACTATTAACTTTGCAGGAACTTTAAACATGTCTGGAAACCTCTTAATCATAAAACTGACTATTCCAAAAAGGGGTTGGGATACCTTCAACAACATGGTAGGTGATAAACTCCTTGGACACAACAAATGAGGGGTGAAAAGTTTTGCTAAATTATCTGAAGACATCTTATTCTGAGATTCATATGAAGCGGTCTGATACAGGAGATGTAGGATGTCTTTCAGAAGGAGTTTATTTTCTGGTGGCAGGAGAAGCAGAAGTAATTGCAGAGCTTCCAGAAGTTTTTGTTCTTGTGGTATTTCATTGTTGATGTAGTATAGTTCTAATAAATAAAGAATTACTAATTTAATAAAACACAAGATATACTTTATATAATTAAACAAATGCAGATTGATTTAATTTAGCCATATTACAAAATATAAAAAGAAGATCACTTATAATACATACAGATCCAGTTAAGATAATGTTTTCACATAAATAATTTGGGTCAAATTAAGCCTAAAATTCCTCACAATTTTATAATGTAATTAACATACTGATATATTAATAACCTCATGTAAATAATGAGCTATATTTACTAAACAATAGACTATATTTTTATTAAAGATGAGCATTATATAATGTATTAGGATAAATAACACTATTACCAATAAATATTCATTTTCTCAATAATTGGTTACAGCAAACTACCTATTACTTTTGTCACAGTGTAACTATAACGTTGGTATTTGAATCGGCATTTGATATGTTGACTTGACAACATTGAACAATGGGAATCGTTCGCTCAATTGGTAACAGAATAGGATGGTCATTAGCCCTGAATTTATGATGAGCTTTATGTTGTGCCACTTAAATAGGTGGGAATACTCCCTTAAGCATGTATGATTATTAAGTCAGAGACTATGTTTATATGATTTATAATTTATGGTATAGTTGAATCATCTATTTTTAAGCCTCTGTCAGCTGTATATGTTTAATGTTTATTTTCAACAACCATCAAACATATGCAGAATGTTTATCACTCACGGTTGAAACAAAAATAAACTATAAACAGTAGAAATATTCGTTTATTGAAACAGATATTATGATTACTACAAGAAACTACAGCAAGCCAAGCAGAATGGAGCTACATGCAGCTTGGGTAATAGGTGACAAAAGTAATAGGTTACTGAAACCTATTAACTGTTTGTCACCGGAATGATGGACCCTATTGCTACAAAGTAACTGTATTTTCCATGGCTAATTTTTATACCAAATAAACTATATCTAATCTCAAAGAACCTCATATTCATACAATTGAGCTTGTCTGTTCATAGACATATAATACAAATAGGCAATATGCAATGACCATAGACACTTTATTTCAAAGATCACTATATATGCCATACAGTCATCTACTGTTGTGCTTACCTCACTCATATTATTTGAATTATGACTATACTAAAAAAATGTTTAAAATGACGGCTATATGTTACCTGCTAATTGACAATAAACAGGAAAATGAAGCTCTGTCAACAGAGGTTCAGGTAATTCCTGCAAAAAGCCCTTAAGAACTGAGGCACAATCATGTACACTATAGCTGCCACATCCAACATCTAAAGTTGAACCATGGTTTAACAAACATTTTAACTCATGTTGTCTTTCAATGGAACCAGTTTTTCTAAATATACCTTCACTCTTAATATCTAAAAATTATGTAAATAAAAAGATATTCACAATTGGACTTACAGCTATTACTTTCTTCTAACTTAAGGTATTCTATTAATTGAAATATTTGGCATATTCCTTCCTGTGTTAGAGGAGCACCTTCTCCGACTCCCCGTAGTTTTGACTTTTTAGCAAATGGTACTAAATTCCATTTTTTAATTCTTGATTTTTCAGGCAGGGAATCATTACTAAAATACATAATTATTATATCAAAACACCATGTAAAAGCTAGAGCTAGAACACAAACGAATAAATCATGACTTACTCATCTGTATGTGCATCTAATAAAAACGACAAATGCATCCTAATAAGAATAAAGAATTGTTCATTATAGTCTTTTTTAAATCTTTCAACGATTATTCCCTCATTCTCCTCATTTTTTGAATTCATATTCAAATGATGGAAAATTATTGCAGCTCTTTTAAGCTCGAGTCCATTTTATAAATTAGAATATACTTTTGCATATAAATTTATAAATCCAGCCTCATTTATGCCCCTTCAGAAAATTGCAAAACACAATTGTTTACAGTTATAAACGTTAATTTGAAGTTTCAAATTTATAATGGCCGGATAACCTAAGAATTTCTTTATCCTTGTCCTTTACATTTGAACTAGATAGAGAAAAAAGTTGGAAGCACTTGGAAGTAACTTTCCCGAGCAATTAGAGATGTCTCTAGTATAGCCAATTTAAAAACAGGAATATACTCCTGTTTTAAACTGGAAATAGGAAAAAACAGAATAAAGAAAACAAGTAATGTTTTTAAGAAGATCTGATATAAATTTATGTAACAGACAGTAAAAATAATGATGTAATTATTTTGTAGTTTATTTTACAATTCTTAGAAGTTACGGCTAAATGACGTACTACTGATCACAGCACAGATCAATTAAACGTAGATTGGTAACATGGATAGCGACACGTTTTTATTTGTGCACCCTTCCGTTTGGTGGTACTGCTAGTCTTGTTCCTGCGCATGAATCATATAAATTGTCTTATCTCCAGATTCCTGCGCGTTGTTCCTTGTCACTTTATGTCATTAGTTATTAAAGTCCAAGGTTAGTAAATAGACAGGTTGTCTGGTAACTTACACCAATCAGCGTCGAGAATTTATTAGTGGGAATGACGTCACTGAGAATGCTACAATCAAATTCACTCTACTCTACTGGTTGAAATGCACTCGGAAATCAGCAATGATTGAAAATATATTAATCTATGTATATTGAAAAAGAAAAAAATACTTTTTGGACTTTTAATAGCTATTTATTCCATTAAATGTTTAAAAAATTGATATACCTGCAGAGTTACAGAAATTGTAGAATATAATTGCAACTCAATATGTACTAGAATAGCACTAGTAGACAGAATAGAATAGAATAGTAGAATGCTGTAAGTGCTCTAGTTAGTGTAGTTATAGTACATCGAGCAAAGTTAGTAGTAGTGCTCTTTTAGAGAAGACAGAAACTATTTATTATAACAATTTTCATGTTATGCGCTAGTCATTTTAAATGGAGGAGGATATATCCTAGAAGACTAGGCTTGTTTGTTGTATTCATATAAAACTTGGCGTTTTCGCGTTAGAATAACAAACAATTATTTAGATACTGACAAGTTCTTGTCACATTAATTACACAATGATACTGCACTCTGCTTGTATTATTAATATTTCTTGAAACATAAAACATTTCTTGTAATATTTTTATAAATAAACAATTTATTCTATATTTTATTCTTTAATTTTTTTAACCACTTTGGCATTTAACTTTTAATATAATGGAGAACAAAAATATAACTTCAATATAACAAGAAAACCCAAATAGTATACGAAAAATATATACATATTATCGTATAGAATAAGGAATTTTTGTTATTTTACGATTATATTGATTTTCCTTTCCTTTAAAATGAGTTTACAATCCTATAGATAATTTTACGTGCCTTTGAAATTACCGCAATGTATATATAGTTACGCACCCTGGCACTAGACAATGCGCCAATCGTCATTTTAGTCTTGTAACATACCACTGGCACTGCTAGGTGGAAGTGTGCTGTGCTACTGACGCAAAGGTTGACAGCTCGTGTGTGGTTGATTCGGTTTGTTTATAAATCTTGTTTATTATTCTTAATAATTCTTGAAAGAAAATTCCAACTTTTCGTCTGCTATTTGCGGTGGATTATGTTCAGTGATTTGGAAATAAAAAATTTGTCTCCTCAAAAAGCGTCTGACAAACTTTTAAATGCTATTGATAACAGGTCCTGCACGAAACCGACCAGGAAGGTATGTTTTATGCATGTGCTTCTCATTGTAATGAAACTAAATTTATTATTTGTAGTTATGAAAATAGTAATTATTTATTATTTTAATGTTTTACTTTTACGTATAGGTGTGGCTTACTTGAAGGGTGTATTTCAAATTTTAGCAACTATATCATGCTGTTTCAATTTCGTAATATAAATGCTGTGCCAGAATATGTACTTATTCAAAATATATTAACAACCAAAACATTTAGATACACTTAATATACAAAACTACACGCTTCACTTTTTTTAAAGTAAAAAATTATACATGAATCTTTGTTTATTATTATACAAAACTTAACAATTAAAACAGCTCATTTAGTTTCACTCACTGAGGATCTCAGCTAGATAAGACTTCGTGGGATTTAAACTATGAGTTTGGACTTTATTTTATATTACATATTCCGTTTCAGGGCATCTGTTAGCGTAATATTGAAAAAACAAAAACGGTGACCTATGCAGATCATAGAAATGGTCTGAAATTTAAATATCCTGGTAAATTATAATTAGACAACAGTTATTGATATTATTTGGTTCAAAACAAGCTAGCTATGATTAAATAAATTCTCACAAGGCTCTGCTAACTGAGAAAGCATATGGAAAAATTAAAACTAGCCAAGGAACAAGACTTGTAAAGAAGAGAATACAGGAGAAGAGGATACTTTTCAAGAAGAGGATCTCTTCAGTGTCATAAATATGTTAACAAATACCTATGAAATGATCTAACTTGAAAACAATAACATCCCAAGCTTCCTAAAGTGAACAGCCCCACAAAGACTGCTATAATCCTGACTTATTTTTTCTTCCATACATCTTAGTGTATTAAACTATTTTACAGTATTAATAGCTGTTATAAATAATACTGTTCTACTCAGATAAACTATTCTCTTACATTTTTGTTCAAATCTTTCAATAGCTATCAGATATTTATTTACTTTTGGTTTCTCATTATCCATTCTGTTGAATAATTTTATGATCCATTATCAGTAGAATAGATTATTTGATCATTGCTAGTAAAATTTATGGGCTTAGAATGCATAACATATATAGTATACCATAATACATTAAACATTTGCAAACTCATTGGGTTATTGAATCTAATGTTAGTCCTTGTTTATTCATAGATCTCTATCACATTGACAACAACAGGTTTTTCCACAATAAAAGAATAATACTTCAAATTATATTTCAGTTTGAAATCCATACATTCCTGTATATGGATGAAGATTTCTCTATAAATTTTCCTGGGTTTCTAAGGAGAGATTCAAATTTCTTTTGAGCTCTACTTTTAAAACATTCAATCATCATTATCTTTGCCCTAACTCAAAGGTGCAAACTCATCTGTTTATTCATCAATTTCTTCTTTGTTTTCTCCTCGGAATTTTATTAGAATTTCTTCATCCATTAAATGCTCAACTGCCAGTAGCATCACACTTTAATCATTCTTACAACTCTCTTGTATCCACATTCGCTCACCCAGAAACTGAGTTCACTAAACTTGTAAGGTCAAACAGTTCATTTTTGTTTTTTTTTCCAACTGCTAGTTCTTCACAATTTTCGATGTTTGGTAACTGTTAGTTTTCGATGTTTGGTAAGACTCTAACACAGATGCGATTTCATAAATACTTTCTAGAATAGTGAGTCACTTTTGAAACTCTTATAAGTTATATCCTTCCTCAGTTTTTGACTGAAGTAATTTTGTTCTGTAGTTTCTCTTCATAGATATAATGATGCCTTGATTCATAAGTCAGCAGACTTAAGCATATGTGTTTTTGGATGTGAAGGGACCTTTTCAATGAAAAACACAGCGTTTTGTGGTAAATTGTTTGCTTTTAAATATTTCTGACTTCTGCTACAAATTTAGCTTCAAACCACTCTTTGAAATATTTTTTTATCCATTCACTCTTTTCTTTTGTTGAAGTAATCAACAGGTAGTTTTTCTGCTCTAGTCTCCTTAAAAGATTTAGGTTTTTTTGACTTAACTCCAGTTTGTGACTTGTGACTGTAGCATTGCTGCAGGTGCATAATCATGATCCGTTTTTTAGCTGAATTTATGGCTACCTGCCTTATCTTTACATGCAAAAGCTAGTATCCTAGTTGGAGGACATTTCCAGTAGAGCTCCCAGTTGCTTGCTTCATAAATTTGTTTATGGTTCAGACCCTTTGAAGAAAGAAACTCTTCTAACTCACATTTAAATTCCTCAGCTTCCTGTTGGTCACTATTAAGCTTCTTTCCATAAAGTCCTATCTGCTTCATTCTACAGTGTTGCTTAAAGCGAGTTAACCACCTAGATGATGCATCAAAATCTCAATGCCCAATTCACCAAAAAACTTTTTTGTATTTGCAGCAATTATTAGACCTGATAGGAGTGTACCCATGTTATGAAATTGGGCTATCCATTCTACCAATGCTGTCTTGATTACATGTAAGACTTTTACATTGTATTTTTTTTTCAAATTATAAAATACAATAAAATACCGGAAGAATGGATAACTAGTAAACTAATCCTGGTATTCAAAAAGGTATCCTGCTAAAAACAGCCAGAAAACTACAGAGGTATGATTCTGCAAGAACAGATACATCAAATGATAAGCTTAGAAGTTGAACAACAAAGTTTTCATACTGGAAGATACTGTGCACAGAAGTTCACTTGGATATTATAAAAACTGTTATACATGTTATGTATGTTAAAACAACAAGATGGAAGTTAGAATAGATGGACAACTTATAGACATTAGAAAGAGGATAAGACAGGGGGACTTCATTTATGCTCATTAATTTGATCACAGATGAAGTCAGCAAAGGAAGAGGATACAGACAACGCAATATTGATAGCCCAAGATTAAGAAGACCAAAGTGGTGAAAATAGAAAGATATAAATCAATGATAGAAGAAGTATCGGCCCAACGTGCAGAAGAAGCCGTATTTTTCAGAAATTTAGTCACTGATACCACAAACTCTTAAATAAGGCAACCTCTGTAATATACTGTGGAAGGGCTTAGGGTGCGATAAATACACATGCAGACTTTTGTTAATTCGCCACCACGTGGGAAGTTCCTCATTCACTTACAATTTGTGGAGTTTCAATTTACAATTTCACCTAATGAATTTTCCATATGATACTTTGGTAGTCTTAACCTTCAAAACCATTCTGTCAAGATTTCATGTCACCCAGGATTACTATTTATCAAAAACGGTGCTTGAAGTAACT